GACATTTACTGACATCTAATGGAGACAGAGAGAAAAGCTCCTGGGATTCACTATTGATTTTGTGTTCATACTCGTGCAGGCACGACAAATTGTACGCGTTTATGGTGGCGGTCATTTGGAACAATTAAGTACAGTTTTAATTTTTATTTGTCAGCTGCTTCACGCGACTAAATTTTTTAATTTTTTTTTACTACTTTTAATATTCGATTTTTACTACTGACGTCACTCGCTGGACATTTATTCTTAAATGTTGCTGGTACTAGCATTTTATAATATTCTCTGCTTTGATTTGTAGAATTGAGGTTTAACCAGAACGTCCTCGATAAGAGCTGGAATTTATTTTGTAAAAAATATTTGCAAAATAAAATGCTTTAAAATAAATATCCTTACCCTTTAAGTACACACATAAGACGCTGAGTACAGTAATTTTCTGCTCAGTTTGTGCAAAGGGCAGTACAATAACATTTATTTTTTTGTGAATTTTCTGACTTGACCTGTAATTAAACAAACCATGAAAATGAATAACAGACACATTTCAGCTTTATTAATTCACAAAAAGTCATATCCAGTGGTTATAAAACAGAGTAGAGGTCAGAAGTGTTTAACTAGGACCAATGTGCAACAAAACAAAAAAGCAATGAGACACAGAATAAAACTTAAAGTAAAGAAATGGACCAAAGGAGAGAAAAGGAACACTGGTGATTAGAGAAATGCTGTAATGCAAAGTAATCTTCAATGTTGATTTCTGTGCTTTTTGTGCTACACGAGGTAACAGGGATGAAATGCATATAATAGACACGATTTTACATTCGTTTCCATGTAGAGACACTTGTTCATTTTCTACTGACTTTTTTAATCAGAAGGTAGACACTTGTTCATTTTCTACTGACTTTTTTAAGCAGGTGGTAAAAGTGCAAAGAGTTGATGCTGGTAAATGAAAAATGTTTTTGTCTGTACCTTTAAATGCCAAGCCAAATGTACTGACAGTAGAACTAATGTGCTCAAAGCTGACAGGATGTAGAGAAAACCTGGGTCCACGTCACAGCAGATGCAACTGATTGGTGCAATTTGTCGGCCAAATCGGACAAACACAAATTAGTAATCTACCTCGTTTCAATGTAAATACGAGAACTGAAACCTAAACTTTCTTCTCAACTTATAAATACGTTTTCATCATTAACAATAAATAACATTCTTCAAGTGCAAAGCTACACAAAAAGTACAGCAACTTCAACATTAATCCAGAACAGGACTTAACTGGAATTTGTATAATTGCACGGTGAATGTTCATCAGTCCATTGTCACCACATTGGTTTCTGCCTCAAAAACAGGTTTGTCAGAGCATCATCGAACATCATTATCAGATGAATTTATTCCATCATCCAAAACCACTTGGCCTTTTAGGAATGAGGGAGAGCTGGAGACAATCCCAGCTCATCTGAATTATTTAAAAATATAATTAAACACTGCCTTTACTGATGAATAAAACATCAGGGCAGTATCACAAGACAAGTTCTTCAGAGGAACAAACAGGAAGACAGGGGCAGGGAAAGACTCACGTGCTGTCAGAGATACAGTACGGCTGACGTTTCTTTCCTGGCATTACACACATTTATTAATCGTTTTATCCAATTTATTTCACCCTGTGCAGAACATTTCAGGTTTTAGGTAATGTGTTAACGTCCATGGAAACATTTCACAATTTAAACAGAACTACCAAAAGTGGATAAGACACTTCAATGTGAGTTTTTTTTTCTTCTTAGTTTTTAGAATATGTTTCATTTTGTGTTAAATGTTTATGGCATCAGAGAGAAGAAGAGATTCTTTGCCCACAGTGGTTTGGGCTGCATAGCTGGTGATGAACAGCTTCAGGCATCACGTGGTCAAAGTTTATGGATGTGAACGTGTGTGTGTGTGTGTTTACTATGTCTGGGCCAGCTGAAGTTCTTCCAGTCCGTGTTTGCCCATGTGATATCTGGCCAGGTCCTTTCTGGTCACCAGTCCAATCACCTGCAGGGGAGAGAGAGAGAGAGGAAGAGAGCATCAGAATGACTGGTGCTGCTCTTATCTTCAGAGGAGTCTGAGAAAAGAGACAACTTGGAATGTTTGTTTTAGAGCTGCAAACTGATATTATTTTTCAGTTTTTCAGATTATTTCTAAGACTCACTGACAAACATTGGCCTCCTACATGAAGAAAATGGAAGGAAATATTGACCGATGTGTGCAAAACTGTGCAAAAAAAAAAAGTTTAATCCTGATCAAAAACATTCACTATTTAGTTATAGGGAAACTATCTGCTAAAAATTAAAATGTCATTGTGTTAATAAATGTGTGAAAATGATAGAATAACATTTTTTAAACACATACGCAGAATGACATTCTCTTATGCAAATTAATTTGTGTAAGTATTCAGTGTCAGTAAAGCCCTGTGGTGACAGTGTGAGGAGGCAGCTGTTCATTTGGTGTCAAATTAAATTACAGCACAAACAGGAACCCAATGCACTTACATTGTTTTCATCATCAACTACCACCAGGTGTCTGAGTCCCAGAGCTCTGAAGAGTTTGAACACACGAGGCAGCGATGTTTCCTGCAAAAAAAAAGAACAACAAAATAAATATTTCTGTAAAGGTCTGCAACACAGGTCACACATCCGCATCACGCATCCTTTTTACTGTTATACATTTCGTGTGTGTGTGTAACCTGTGGTACTGTGTACGGCGTCGGGTTCATGAACTCAGTGAGGTCCATCATACACTCGCGCTCGTCCTGGGAGACGTGGATGCTCTGGATGGGAGGGAAGCGAGGGTAGGCGTCTCTGAAGTCCTTCAGCTGCAGCTTCCTGTGGGTGAGTCGTGACCTGGCCAACTCCACAAAGACCTGCAGGAGCAGTTGGTGAGTGATTTCGTCTTGATTGTCTTCATAAAGTAACACGATGAACAAATCGATTAGTCACCTTGTGTTTGAGGAGAACGATGAGCTGAGAGCGGAGGATGAGCCCACAGAGCCTCGCAGGCTGAAAAGGAAAAAAGTGCACAAAAAAAAGGGAGATTTATAATGGAATGACAAGTTCTTGTTTCCTTCATCTGATTTTTTCGGTCCCTGTTTGAACAAAAACTCTTTAAAGAAAATTCTCAAAAAAAAATCACTAATTTTTAGACATTGCCATTTCCATTATCACCATTATCAATTTGTGTCTAATTAATAAAAATAAATGAGACAAGGATATTCCACCATGTTGGTACAGTACCTCATCAATACCAGAGACCTGCACGACCACAGGAAAGCCATTGTGATTGGTGGACGTGTTGCTCAGCGTGTCCACGATGGTTCCCACCTTCTCTATCCGGTTCAAACAGGTGACCGGAGAACTCATCACTTCTCTGGGGGCAGAAAAATACTTAAAAAAAATGCCAAAACCAGAGGTAAACCAAAAAACATCGATCCAGGACCTTACCTGGCTGTCAGCCAGTGGGAAGTGGCAGGCGCCTCCCAGTGGAGGAAAGGAACACTCTGCAGCTTAATGTGGATGTCATACAGACCCTGAAGTAGGAAGAGACTCTGTTAGGTGTTGTATACATGTTTAATACATGTATGTTTATTACTAAACATATGTATAAATTTGACAAATGTGAGAAGACTAATAACTACAAACCTCTCCAGTCAGTGAGTTGTTTGAGACATTAAAGGATCATGACAATGATAATTATGACAATGACAACGAAAACAGGTTCGACAGCTTGGGTAACTGACCTAAATTACTGCACAGACTGATCACATCTCACCTCTACAAAGTAGTCTCCTACTATCTTGGCAGTCATTAGAACCAGCATGATGGGAAGTCCGTAGGTGACATTTCCTGTCGCCTCCACCACGATGACGGTCAGACTGAGAGTCATTCTGACGATGCCGCCTAAAACAGGGGTTAATGTGGTTTGAACTTTTACTACCCCAATTGACAGCAAAAGCTTAAATATGAATTTTACAAAGGCCATATAAAGAGTATTAGATTACAGCTAATAATGCAAGAAAAAGAAAACAGTCACTCACCTAACTGAGCTGCTGCTCCAATCAGTGCATATTTACCAGGGACGGCCCAAATCTGACAAAAACACACAAAATAATATAATTTATTAACTACAGTAAAACATACACATAAATATATACACACCTATATGCAACCATATATGTGTATATATACAAATATACATTCATATACTGTACAGAACAATTATACATAATAGCGTGGCTGTGCACACAACTACACATAGTGCGAGGTATGTAAACTGTGTTCTAACTGCCCCCAGTAGGGGAGGGGGGAGAAGTCTTAATGCTGAGCGCTTTCAAAGACATACGAAGAATTTCTGCAATTACTACCTCAGTGTTAAAGTAAAGAATGAAGCTGTAAATTCCAAAATACAGGAAAGGTTGCTGTCATTAATCAGACTAAAGAACAAACCATAAAATGACACTAACTGAGCCTGTTGTGGTGATGGCTGCCAGCAAGATTCCAAACAGTCTCCCCCAGGCTGCTCCTATCAGAAGGGAGGGGATGAAAACGCCCGCAGACACCGCCAGGCCATAGGTCCAACAGGCCAGGAAGAAGTACGTCAACGTGAACAGGCCCAGTGTCAGAGGATTGTAGCTCCCTGTGAAGAGAAATTTAAAAATCCCTTGAATGTGACCATACAAATATCTGCACATTTTGATCATTTCTTTTTTTACCCCTCCTCCTCCTCCTCTTCCTTCTGTCACAGTTTTACCTGGCTGGTTGTGGAACAGGCTGCGGACACTTCTCTCAGGAGTGTTGAAAAAAGCCGTTGCCATGGCGTTGTACTCTCCGTCTGCACAGAACAGCTAAGAAAAGCAACAGTGACTCAACATTTAATGCTGCTCAGGATCAATGAACTGACTCATTAAAAATTTAACACCAAAGATGCCCCAAAGGCCGCGTGTGAAGAGGCCAGACATTCCTTGGTTTATCAGTGTGTGTGTGTCTGGTGTGTGTGTTAGTACCTGGAGAGGGTACTCCTCAGTGTTGTCTGGACTCAGAGGCTGACAGTCATTAGAGAAGTAAATCATGGTGAATGACACGGTGGCAGTCACGGCAGCCACCAACATGGCCTCCATCACTTGCAAACAAGGACGATGGACGTACCTGACACATAAACACACACACGAAAGCACACAACAGTGGTTTTTTTTTCTGGTTGTTGGTAAATATGTCAATCACACACTGAAGTCTATAGAGTAAAAGCAAACAAATCGAAGCTCCAGGGGAGACAGCTGCTGCTGCTGCTGCTGCTGCTGCTGTGGGAGTTGTTATGTTTGAGTCAGTTTGAGTAGTTAGACCAAACAACATCATGGAATAACAAGTTATGTGTTATTAGTGTCTTAATGATCATGGTTGAAGCAGGTCAAACATGTGTGCCATGATGTAAATCACTTCATTTGTATACAGAGACATGAATTAATGCACCCACATTTACCGTATGGCTTAACCCGATCTGAAAGAAAGAGCCAGTGATGCCTCCACTGTCCTTGGGGGAAAACTATCATTTCTAACTCCACGCCTTGGAGTCACACATCTCACAACAAACATGAGAGGAGACTGATGTGAGTTGTCAGTATTTGTTAAGATAAGGAAGCAGGAACTGAATCTGTATTTGCAGAAGCCTCCTGCCAACTGGCTGTGTGTCGGAGTGAATGTAACCAGTCCAGACACAGTGATACTGTGAGAAAGTAAAATAACAATCAAAACTTCCTTGTGTGCCACCTGACTGTGTCTGTCGCTTCTACTGCCCTGACGACAACAACCTGTTTATTTTATTCCAAGTACTGTATTAGCATTGAGTCGCTTCTACTGCCCTGACGACAACAAACTGTTTATTTTATTCCAAGTACTGTTTTAGCATTTAGTTGTTTAGTCGAACTCTACCTGATCCTAAAGATAGTCAACCAGTAGTTGAGGATGTTGAACAAAGCTCCCAGCAGCCCACCTGCAGAGGAAGAAAACACATGAGCAATGTGGTAACGGAGGTATGATTTTGTATGTAAAAAAAAAAAAAAATTTTTAAATTTACCTATAGCTCCCATAGCAATGAACAATGGGATCTCATAGAGGTAATAGGCCTCACTCTGAGAAAAAAAACAATTCATAAAAAAAAAATTAACAAATATTCGTGTTGACTAATAATCCAGAGTTGTGAAGAGAAAGAAACTTTTAGTTAAATTTCTCACATCTGTCTGAAAGCGGCCAAAGTTGATGAGACCTGGGTTTGAAAGGTCGCCGGGGTTGTTGTGATAGATACTGAGGAAGAAGTTCAGAGTGAAGGTGGAGATCATGGAGGCGAAGAACTGTAGATGGGAAAAAGTAAACAGAAGAAGAGGAAAGACCACACAAAATAAGAATAATAATAAAAAAAAACTCAAACATTTCCTAATCTATCGATTTATATCATCCAGATACACAGGTCAAAGTGACTTACTATCCTCCAGGTCAGCATCTGGTTCCAAAAAGATGCCCCCTCCTCCAGAGAGAACAGAACGCCACCTGGAGACCAAAAAAACAAAAACAAAGCTTCACCTTAAAATGTGTTAAAAATAGTTCAGAGAATTGATGGAAGTCAATGTTGTTGTTTTTTCTTATCAATTCTATAAGATGTTTTATTGTCATTATAAGTTACTGCAACAACCAGGTGAGCTCTGCCCATTTCCTATAAACTAATACACACAAAATTAATGCTTGTTTTGTGGTTTCAAACTAAAACTTAGAACTGAAATTACCTCTAAAAAATAATGTAATATTTTTGGTGAGACGGAAACCCCCGTGTTTCTACAATAACGGAACCAATTTTTGGCTGTGGAGAAATCCTTGCCTTTGAAATTATCATATCACCTATAGACTGCTATTTTGTCTCACTTCATCTTATCAGAAATCTGCAGTACTTAAATTCACCGTTAGATGTCAGTATATTACCCCTACATAAAGAAAACAAACCCTTAGATCCAGCAGTATTCCAGATAAGACACAGATAAGTCCAGGTTTTGAGACAAAGCTGTAAACAGGACTGACCCGAGTAAACATCCTGTGTTTTCAGATCACTGTCAACAGATGATAACAGTGTGATGATGTTCATGAAGCAGATTCTCACCCACAGCCTCTGCATCTTAACTGTTATCTGTTTGTTTACTTTACGGAATATTTACAACTTTTTCATCTCTTAACTGTTATCTGTTTGTTTACTTTCTTCTAAAAAGTACCAGTGAAAATGACTGGAAAGAAAATCAGCTACAATGAGGGTTATAATTTTACACACCTTTAACTCGCTTGTGTCATTGTCATCGTCATAATTTTATTTTATTTTTTAATTTTCCAGGAACAATGATTTCACAGGGACTTTCTAAACTTGTTTGTCAGTTTGGGCGTGCACTCAACACGTGGCAGTTCTGGCTCTGTAATGAGGATAAATTTAACCCACAACTCAGACAGATTACTCAGAGGACTCTGAGAAGACGGCCGGGATTTTTACCGACTGGTGCTCCGAATGCAGCCGAAACTCCAGCAGCAGCGCCAGCAGAAACAAAGTCCCGTTTCTCTGTGTCTCTCCTGAAGTATTCAAAGATCTACACAGAACACAAAAGACAGATCAGATGGAGGAAATAAGAAAATAAGTGACAACAATACCAACACACCCAGCACAGAAAGTCCCTGCACAGATACTGACCTTAAAATCTCTTTTCAAAGAGGTGCTTCTTCCCTGAGAGACGCCTGCTGCTACAACTGCACCAGAGTGAATCATGGGCCCTTCCTGAAGGATTATGGGTAGGCCAAGGTATGAGAGTACATAAATATAATGTAAATAAAATACTATCTTCATTCTAGTCAATTTTCTGCATTAAATAGGCAAATTAATAATTTAATAAATAATTGACTTCCATTCATTTGTCAATAAATCAATGTTTATTGACGTCATTATTTTTTTAAATCTTAAATTGCATCATGAATCACTCAGAAACTGTATTTATGTTACCTTTCCAACAGCGAGACCCCCGACAACAGAGCAGATCACACCACACACTTTCACCACCAGTGTCTGTGGAAAACAAACACAACAGAAGGAGAACACGGTTACACTGTATACGTCTGTGTGTGTTTGTACACGTGTGTGTGTGTGTGTGTGTCCTTTTGACTGTCTACTGTAAGACGGTTACACTGTATACGTCTGTGTGTGTTTGTACACGTGTGTGTGTGTGTGTTTGTGTACCTTCAGTCTCACCACCCTGGGAATCTTGACACCATTCAAGTAACATTTAATCTGAGGAATTCCACTTCCTGCTGCTATGGGCTGAAAGGCAGAGGGTGAGGCAAAAGATGGGAAGTAAAAGTACAAGATTATTAAAGTTACTTCACGTGTAGGTAAATGTGATTTAAGTTGAGCTAATAAAAATAAATGAATTGAAATCTGCCATTTCATCTCCTTTTTTTGGCAGAAGTGATGTCATTGTGTGATGATCTATAATTTGTCCTTGAGTAAAAGCTACAAGTGTGTTTAATGTATCAATACAGTAATGGAGCTTTAGATTGGGACCATAGTTTGAGTCTCTTTCAACTTAAAACACCAAAAGGTATTTTTAGGGAACTACAACTTCACACCCCATTGAGACGACCAACGTTGTTAACCAAACAAAAACAGAAGAGAACTGAGAGACACCACTGATTGTACAAACAGAGTCATTTCTCTTTTACAGTCTTACCTCAAAAAAGGCAACAATAATGGCCCCCAACATGACGATGGCAGAGTTGAGTGCAGCCCAAAGGAGCAGGGAGATGGAGAGGCCGCCAACCTCAGTGAACTTCTCTATATCTGTGGGGGTGAAAGGTTAAGGAATGTCTGTGGACGCTGACATCATGTGACTGAAATTATAAAATGAGGTCAAGCAATTTCACAGCCAATTATTAGAAAAGGGAAGGAAAAAAAATCATCAGCAGATCAGATGCTTCTCTGTTCTGACAGAGAGCTGGTGTATGATGACTTGGTGGTTCTCAAACTGTGGTGCATGTACCAACTGTGGCCGTGGCTCATCATATGATGCAGATTTATTTATTTTAAATCATCAGGATACTCTCTTTGACCACTTGGTACTTGATCCCGGCCAACTGCTCCACCACGATGTCAATGAAACAGGCGATGAGGCCGGTCAGAAAGCCAATCAGACCGCAGACCACCCAACGACTGATCTCCAGACAACGAAAACTCTGAAGACGCCAAACAGAGTAAAAACAAGGGAAATAAACAAAAATAAAAAAGAACACAGAAGCAGAGTGCACCACCGTTTAGCAGTTCTTTTTTTCCCCCAGCTATTGTGACTCACCATGTGACTCATCCTCCGCTCCTCCTCCAGAAAGAGCTGGTTTTCAATGTTATCATAGTCCAGACTCTGGAATTTAAAATAATTACAGTTAAAAAAAAACAACAAACACACATCATCAGAATCAGGAAGAGCATATTTGGCCAAGTATGAAATAAACACATACATGGAAATTAACTTTTCTCTGTGGCTCCACAAGACTTGAAATAAATTAATTAAAAAAGCATAAGGAACTAAATCAATGATGTGTATAGAATCTTTTTTTTTTTTTTTAAATCAACTAAGCTTGAAAATCTTGAAACTCCCTAAACACCATGTCAGGTATCTGCCCCCAGAGGAGTTCAGGTATCAGGGGGTCTGTGGCTTTGGTTACCATTAAACATAAAACAAAGTTTGGTCCATGATCATCTTTGAGTAACTGGTCTGAATTACCTCAAATTTGAGCGACAACAGCTTCTCATTGTGAGGAATCTCTTTGGGTCTCCCTCTGACTGAGTCCTGCAGGAGAGAGAGAAAAGGAAATAAAAAAAACTGTCAGTCGATTCTGACGTGGTCAGCGATGAACAGTGACAGGGAGCTGACACACAAAAAGGTGGTGGAAACGTGTTCTATAGATAGAGTTTGTATGATTTTATAAATTCTAGGAACCAGTCGATAAAACAGGAACTCGGCAGAATTATGACATGCATGAAAAACATGGTTAGAAGATGCAAGGATTATTTTAGTTGTGTTTTGTTCAGAACATCCTTTTAATTGGTCATAAAGGTAAAAAAAAAAACTAATACAGTTCATGTTTATTGTCAAAGTGAATAGATCTGCAAATAAAATTCCATTCAGTCACAAGTTTAAAACATGCAGCAGAAGCAAAATAAACGGTGCAGTGTTGTGCAGGTCTGCAGGGTCGCTGTATCTGCAGCTGGAGCCAAAGCATCTACACAAAGGTAGACATGCAAACAACAAACAAACAAACAACAACATCACATGCACGTCACGGTGTCTCCCATCAGACGGCGATAAAACCAAGAGAATCTGATTGATACTGTCATGGTGAGAAACGAATGCAATGTGCTGCTAAACTAGGTGGAGATCAGATGAGCCCCCGGCAGTGGTCACATGTTCCTGGAGAATGTGCCAGTAAAACTAGAAAACTAGCTTTATTCTTTTCTTGAGCAGTGCAACACTATTAAAAACAAAACAAAACTGTGTCATTTAATTTGTATTCAGTGGAAGTAAATTAAATTTAACCTATAGAAAAAAAATACACTATAATGCACTTTTAACAACGAAAAAAAGATCAAAAATCAGAGTACGTCTAGAAACAGTAAACACACTGAAATTTTAGGACATAGGCCAATTCATTTGTGATGGGACGTTGGAATTATTTACTCATAAAAATCCCCCCCAAAAAAGTGAAAGGTCTACAGGAAATGCTTCTTGTGGTCTCGTTGGTGGGACGGTCGACAGGAGCGACACACAGACACAGGAAGGCGATGACAGTCGGAGCTCAAACTTTACCTCGTCAGACACAATCTCCTCCTCCAAATCCACCGTGCTGAGTCTGCCTATCTGAAACAAACTGCCCCCTTCAGACGTCTGCCCGTCAGAGACAACAACAGAAGATATAACTATATGTACAGCAGTCTTATGTAGGTGAATATGAACAACCAGGTTGAACAAATGTAGCATGACCGACATGAGTTTCACCGTCAGTGTCCATCTTTCATTTTTCTGGCTATAAAAAAAGATAGAACTGGTTATAGCCCCCCCCCCCCCCCCCCCCCGTGGTAACAGATGTGGTACATAATGAATGTATTACATTAAACCAGTCCTAGATTACTTCCACTTTTGGTCTGAGGGTGCAGCAGGTCACCGACTAATCCTTATGTCTGCATTTCACGAGGAAAGGAAGTAGGATTTTCCAGAGTTTAGTTTCCATTTAAGTAAGCAATGAATCAAAGAGAAATATAGTGTTTTAAAAATATTTTTGCAAAACCAAATCATTTTGTTATGTAATCTAGAAAAAAATGTATCATTTGATTTTTTTGATTTTTTTTTTTAAGATTAAAACAACCCAGAAGTTCACGGTGTGTTTAGCAGCATTTAAATATGCAACAGAACTCTGTACTTCCTGGGGTGGTCATTTTGACATCCAGTCATTACTCATTTTTATCAGTGCACTCTTTGCTGATTTCACGATCTTGATGGAACAGGACAGTCGTAAACCAATTAGAAAAAAACTCCACTGTCAAATATTTCTGCAATCTAGTCAACAATTTGTCAGGGATTCATTCCACCACAGCAATGATTCTCCGGCCAAGTTCCATGACAGCTACCAAAGAACTAGTTTCTAATTATATCTGGGTGTTTTGACCCATTGAAAAGGAAAGACATCAATGCCATTTCATATTAAAACATTATCTTTATTACACTCAAAATACCACTAATTAAAGTTTTCCTTTTTCTACGCCACGTTCTGCGTCACGAAATGAAATAAAACAGACATAATTTAGCAACTTATGCTCAGCCGGAAATACCACTTCAGAGCCATGCAGTTTTAAATAATAAGAGCTTTTTTTAAAAAAAATAAAATATGCCCAAACAGCTACTTCCACCTGTTATCCTCTATTAGCCTGTTAGCTATACCTGTCTGCCGTGTCTCTGCTGCTCGGAGCCGTTCAGTAGCGGTGTCCCCTCGCCTATTGCCCCGGACTCGTCCGGTCGGCTGGACCACGACACTTTCTTGGTGATGTTGGCCATGTTGGCCCCCGGTTCCTGCCGGTTCTCACCCCAGCTGACGCCGAATTATCTCATGGAAGGCAGCTGGTTAAGAGTTATTATTCTACCACAGCTCTCCATAATCATCCCTGTAACTCGTGACGCTTTGTAAGGCTCGCGAGCAGGGACAAAATAAGTGACAAGCAGGGTGCATTCTGGGTGTTGTAGTTGTACCACTCGTGGTACTAAACGTATGTAAACAAGCTGCGATTAAAACATTAATGGTGGTGTTTTTTGTCCAATTAATTATTATTATTATTATTATTGTTAATAATGATAATAATAATATCAATAATATTTATTACTAATTAACAATGTTATCATACACTTTGAATAGAGTGAAAACACTCCATGTTCTGTTACAAAATTATTTAATGAAATGATATTTATTACTAATTAACAATTTTATCATACACTTTGAATAGAGTGAAGAACTCAATGTTCTGTTAAAAAATTATTTAATGAAATAATATGGTGTTTTACCTTGGTTTATATTGGTTTATTCACAACAACACAATATACAATAACAATATAATTATCAGTTTATTCATCATAACAATGTCCTGATAATTCAAAAGACAGACATATTGGCTATGCACTGTGTTGTTACAGCTTGGCTCTACAATTAAACAAAGTGCAGCACCATTAAACATTGAAAAGAAACATTCTTCACATTTACCCAGAAACATGACCAGTTTAAGAACCGAGATTTGAATGAAGTAAATGGCCTAAATATAGCAAATCTATGTTTATTTTAATCTTGCAAATATGAATTTATCGAGAACTGACTTGTTACCAGCAGTAGCATTACCTCGGTAAAGCATGACTACAGATATGTCTGTACATATATAAGACTTTTGAATCAAAGATACTGAAAGAATTGACCTGAAGACTCGTTCTCAGACATTTAAATTCTCATCCCAAAGCCTCAAACACAGTGCTCTAAACATTCACATGCCACATGCTGTACCCCTCCATGAATCTCTTTAATATCCTCCATTCCCAGCACCACACCTCTAGGCACTCCTTTGCCTTCTGCCACACCTTTCACCTCTGATGGACTCAGCACTCGGCTCCAAACCCGGAATCCTGCCATCTGACCAGCAAAACCCTCTGCGGAATCAAACTCCCCGCCAACAGAGTCCTGCTCCTGCCCCAGAACCACTGATCCGCCCCCAGGAATCTCCCAGCCCTTCCTGAAGTTGGAGCCTGAAGAAGTGAGCCGAGCGTCGCTGTAGTGCCAGAACCGACCCTGGATGGAGGACCAGAGAATGCAGAGGTGGTGCCACTGGGCGTCAAGGATGGATGATACTGGGAGACGGCGGTAGACGGTGTCTCCGATGACAAAGTCCAGAAAGGGCGTAGAGGGGGAGTTGTGGGGATAAGAAGAGAACGGAGAAGAGGAGAAGAAGGTGTGAGGCGTAGACGGGGAGGTGGAAGAAGGGTCGCGGCCATACAGAACTAACTGGTTATCATTGTCTTCGGTGGCATAAGAGAACAGCGTGCCAACGTAGGAGCCCTCCACACGGATCCACAAGCACAGGGAAAGTTCAGGAAGCAAGGGGAGCGTGGGGGAGATGGTGACGTAGTTCGCCGATGATGCAGTCGGGAAGAACAGCATGGAGTCTACGTTACAGACTAAAGAGGAAGAGGGCAAAAATATTGCATTTTTTAAAACACCAACAAACAAAATGATAAAGACTAAAGAGGAAGAGGGCAAAAATATCTATATAATATATATAACATTTTTTAAAACACCAGCAAACAAAACGATAAAGATCAATCAATCAATCAACAAGGATCCATAAATGTGGTGAAATTTAAGGCAATGTCATTTATCTGAAAAAAGGTAAATTGACAATAAGGAGAACTTTATCCCAATCTTATTTTAATAAAATTGGGAAAAAATAGTGCTAAGCAGCCATATGTAATAATGGTGCAATGTAGCAACTTTACTCACTGGTTGCATCTTTTTTAGGAGTTGTTCGTTCTGGAATCTTGTGCCTCACAGGAAGCTGGAGGTAGTTAGGGATCACGGAGGTGCCGTTATCCTCCTCTTCACCTTTCCACCTAATCGTCCTGGACTCATGCGGTGCAGGCGGACGTTGAGGGAGAACATCCTGGGAGTCAGTTCTGGTTCGGCTCATGTCTTGTCTATTTCTGTTAGATTCGAGATGCGTTGAAGTCCGTGACTGAGAGGAATGATTGAGATCCTGTCTCCTTGGCAGTGAGGCCTCAGTTTGACGGTTATAAAAAGGGACAGATTGGCGAGGTTGGTGCGGTTCCTGTCTTATTGGGTAGGGTCTGGTTCGGCTCTGCAGCTGGACCTGTGACTGGGGCTGGTGGGAGTCAGGCAAGGGTCTTGGATTTGTGTATTCATCTTGACGAGAGCGTGGCAGAGGTCCTGGTGGTGGGGCTTTAAAATGTTTAGGTTGGTTTGTTATTTTTCCTTGGTGTGGGTTAACGTGTGGACGACTGGTTTGACCGAGTCCTTCTGTCCTGGGCCGGTAATATCCCCCCGGAATCCTTCCAGGCCTGCCTTCTTTGTGAGTTTGTCCTCCACTCTGCGGTTCGTAATATCCTCGTGGAGTGACGTTGGAGCCAAGATGTCCTCCTTCCTTCACCGAGCTCCTCATGTTTCCACCTCTGTTCGTGTGCAGGACCTCACTCAGCTGTCCCTCCACTCGAGTGACACGCAGCACCTGGTTTTTCAGTGACTCCTGCAGCCCCTTCAGCCCCACCAGCAGCTCGTCCCGTTGAGCCTGCAGGGCAGCCAGCCTTTCCTCTTGGCTCTGAAGCTCCTGGCTGAGGTTGGAGAAATCCTGACCAAGATCAGGCTTTTCTTTTTGGATTTGGCGGCGGTTTTCCCTGAGGCTTCTCTCCAGCAAAGCCATCCGTCCGTCGATCCGCTTGCACTTCTTCTCAAGCTTCTTATTCAACTCCCTGGATAAAGAACGGCACGGGACAGGAAGGACAAAAACCACAAAACAGATTCTTCGATTTACACAAAGTTTCTCAATAACGTTTCACCTTCACTGACCTCAGACTCTCCATCTTCTCCACTGTGCTCTGATTCAGCTGCTCCAGACTTTGCGACATTTGTTGGTAACGGTCCTCCAAGGCCTGAACACGACTCTCCAAGGCCCACGCAGAGTTTCTGCTCTGGTTCAGTGCCAGCAGGTCCAGACGGGTCTGGGTCAGTGCCCGGAACTGTTGGAACTAAAATGGAAATTGGAATGGATTTTCCCAAAGCCTGTCATTGGTTTAGATTATAGTTTGGTTCTGTGACGAATGTTACACTATGGATTTAAAGTTAAACTTCAAGTTAACAGCTAACAACATGTTTGTGAAACGACATCTTTTTTACATCATGCTGCAATGAGAAGTATTTCCATGACATAGTTAACAGATTATATCTGCTCTAACATTCTCTCCAAGCACCAGTAAATATTAAACTAACTCCTCCATTTCAACTACCAGTCCTGCCCGCTGTTTCTCCAAGGTCACATACACAATTCACCATTTATATTTATCAAGGCTGAAAACCAAAATGCAACATCTTGTCAATAACAGTTTACAGATTCAGACCAACCTGTTCGTTGAGTCGCCGCAGCTTCTGGGATGCAAAGTCAATTCCCTGCACGTCTGCAGAACGGAGCTGCAGCAGAAACATGGAGATGAGGATCAGGGGCCAGTGGATGGATGTGAGGCTGACCATGGTGCAGCAGAGCTGGGGCTGGAGCTTCAAGCAGCCTGGATCCCTGTCTGGAAGGTTTGGGGAACAAATTGAATTGTAGAGAGAAAGACTTGTAAATGATGTTGGAACACCCACGGACTGGGACAGGAACACACATTTTCCATTATCCACAATCATATCATTGGGGAAATGAGAGGAAATGCAGATGGATCTAACAGGTAGCCATCTCTCTCTCTCTCTCTCTCTCTCTCTCTCTCAGCAACTATAACAGTTTTTTGACTATTTTTCGTTTGAAAAAACTTGGGATCATTTAAGGACATTTAGTAATAATAATATTAAAACCACAACAACAAATGAATACTGATGGAAACACAACACACTAAATGTGTTGATCGGCTGAAAACATGCTCATGTCCTGTGAAGCTGTGCTTTACAAGGAGCAGTAAAACTCATGATGAGTGGGTTGAGGGTGGGGTGAGGTGTGGGTCGGAAGGTGGGGTGAGGTGGGGGGGGTTGTACTTTCCTTTCCCCTCCCTACACTGACTTTGACCAAAGGCTCTGGCTCCAGCTCTTCCTCTTCTATAACTTCTTCTTCTGCTTTTTGATCAAATGAGTCAATCCAGGAATGATCCCTTGTGTTTTATGTTCATTACAGGGTTGCGACACCTTGGCTGCCTCTACACCACACCGTGGAAATTAAAAAAAAAAAAAAAAAAACGGCTAACATCACTAATCCAAAAATAGTCACAGGACATCGAGGGCAACTGGACGAAGTAGGTTTTTTTTTTGTTTGTTTTTTTGTTTTTTTGGATTAAATAACACAGATGACCGAGACCCTACACAGACTAACATCAGTTTAAATAAAAAACCAAGGAATAAAAAAATCATCCTGATGTCCAGGTTGTCCACCAAAATTGATTAAATAATGAATTAATTAAAATTAATTTTACAATTAGAAAACTAGTGATTATGGCAGTGGTTCTCAACCTTTTTTTTTTGGGTTTTGACCCCATTGGGACATCACAAATTTCATCACAACAAATGTCTCACAACAATATGTAATGTCTCAACATCACAATTGAGACATTAGTAGCTGTCCCTGACTGCAGTCATGTGATCACAGATGGATATTTTATATGCTGCATTTTATTTGAACCCATATTTAATGCTGTTGTGCGTGGTGTCTTCTAAAAACAACACAAAACAAAAAAACCAGAAAAAAACCAGGGGTCTTAAGCAACGGCTCCTGTTTCACCACAGTTGTCAGAGACATGATGCCTAGAACCTTTCACTTTCTGTTGTCAAGCTGGAAACCCCTGAACGCCTCATTTCAGGGTAGAGAAGTTAAGCATTTGACCAACTACATCTCTGCAGACCATTTCTCTGCCTTTAGTAGACACACGTAGTTTGTCTCTACTTTTTACTTTTCTTTCCCTGTCTGAAGGGATCGCACTTACGGCAGGATTTCAGAGTCTTTTGTCTTTTTTTTATTTTTTATTTTTTAGTTCTGCTGCTGAGTGTGCTCAGGTCACTCTGACACCGTTGTCATCATGTCAGAGAACACAGACGAAAAGACTCCACTATTGAAGAGAAGACTGACATCCTCTGAATCAAAGGTGAGAAACGACAACACAAATAAATATATCAGTAAAATCATTTTTTAACATTGATAATTGCTGACGACTAATACTTTCGGCCACAAGCTTCTTCACTTCTTCACTTATATTTCACATCCCACATTTCACATAAGCTTTAATGCAGAAGTCCACTGTAGTCTTAGATTCATTTAAAAATGTGTCAATTATCCCCTCGGTTTAATGTTACAGGGAAACTAAACAGATGCTGGAAAATGCAGATTATTTGAATCAAAGCAGATAAAGTCCATGTGTTTTATTATGACAGGGTGACATAATCAGGACTCAGATGCAGAATCAGTCAAATTCCCAAAAAAATCTGCCAATATATTTATACAAAATATTTATAAATTTTCTACAGCTTAGTCCTGCAGTTGTAAAAACAAGTTGCAAAGGAGGCTGAAGCTAATGCTAATGCTAACTTCCATGGAGGGGAAACAGGGACAAATCCTTGAGTGTCGTTAGTCCACGGTAGGATCATGCATAAAGACTGAGTGTCGTTAGTCCACGGTAGGATCACGTATAAAGACAATAAAAAACAATTCACACTAACGTTCAAAAACAATTCAACATGTTTTTGGACTGTGGGAGGAAACTCAAGTACCTGGAGAACCCACCAGTGACCACCAGTAGTAGGTGCTGTTTCACTCTGTGAAATATCTCTTCCTTCCAGATCAACAACTCCAAGCTGTTCCTGGCAGTCTTCTCGGCTGTTCTTGGGAACTTCAGCTTTGGTTTCTCCATGGTCTTTTCCTCCCCCGTCCTCCCACAGCTCAAAAACGACCCAAAGCTCGGGATGACGACAAGTCAGGCCGCTTGGTTTGGCTCAATTTACACGCTGGGCGCCGCGGCCGGCGGGCTGGGGGCGATGTTGCTGAACGACCTGATTGGGCGGAAGCTCAGCATCATGGTGTCAGCGGTGCCGTCCACTATTGGGTGAGTCTCAGGAGCAGTTCTTCAGATAAATCTAGACCTTTGTTTTCCAAAGACTGGGTCACGACCCTCAGGTGGGTCGCAAGAGTTTTTTTTTTGGGTCATCTCGCATCATGTTTCCCAGGAGTTTACGAATAATGTCTATTGACTTGGGTCGCAAAGGTTTGTGACTTTTAAAATATGGGTCCCCGACCCCTGACCTGAGAGCAGTGTACGCACACCTGTGCTGAGTGTGTCAGTTTGTCAGTACCCACACCTGTATCTGTGCTGCAGATACATGCTGATGGGAGGAGCGATGAACCTGTGGATGCTGAACGTGGGACGTTTCCTGACGGGGGTCGCTGGTGGGATGACGGCAGCATCCATTCCTGTAGGTGTCCAATCATGGCTCCAGAAACAAAAACAACAAAAACAACTCCTTTTTGTTATAGAATTCTCATCACGTGTGTGTCCACGTCACAGGTTTACATCTCCGAGATCTCCCACAGAAAAGTCAGAGGAGCTCTGGGCTCCTGCCCTCAGATCACGGCTGTGTTCGGTTCCCTGGCTCTGTATAGTTTAAGTAAGAGTTTTACCAACAATGTAACTGTAATCTGACCTCACCAGACGGTCTAACCCCTCACCATCATGTCCAGGTCTGTGTGTGCCGTGGCGGTGGTTAGCGATCCTGGGGGAGGTGCCGGCGGTGCTGATGGTGGTGCTGCTGGTCTTTATGCCCTCCTCTCCCAGGAGGCTCCTCTCCTTGGGCAGAGTGGAGAAGGCTGAGAAAGCCCTCCGTTGGCTGAGGGGCAGTAACTACGACACCTGCATTGAGATGAGTGCCATACAAGTAAGAGTGTAACACCTGGTGATCATCAGCGACAACCACCCTCAGGGGTTTCGACTGACTTTTTTTTTTCTTTCTTTTTTTTCTCCCGTCCATGCTTTGACAGCGCAGCATCGACACTCAGACCAGAGTCACCCTGTCCCAGCTGGGCATGCCCGTCTTCTACAAGCCCATACTGATCTCTGTGGTGATGCGTTTCCTGCAGCAGATGACGGGCATCACGCCCATTCTGGTCTACCTGCAGTCCATCTTTGATGAGAGTAAAGTCTCATTTCCAGCCAAGTATAAAGACACAAACAATATCACCATTATCTGTGTTCAAATGTCTTGGTAACACAGAAGATCTTGATTTGATTTTTTTTTTTCTTTTGAAGATATGACGCCGCCCTCGTTGGTGTCGTCCGCCTCGTCTCTGTGGCCATAGCTGCCTTTTTGATGGACAAGGCGGGTCGCAAGGCCTTGCTGTACACATCGAGCATGCTGATGTTTCTGTCCACCCTGACTCTGACCATGATTTCCCACACTACGCCGTGTCCTCCGGGTCCCACTCCTCCAGAACCTACTCCTTCAAATCTCACTCTAGGTTTGGACCATAACAGCTACGAACACGCTCTGCAGGCCGCCGCGAAAGGTTCCGGAAGCATCATTCCTCTCATCAGCACCATGGTGTTCATTTTTGGTGAGAAGTGAATCTTTCTTAATGTAATTTTTTTTTAAACCAACTTTCAATATGCTGAATTTTTTTTTTTTAAAGGCGCTACATCCTATTTATTTACTACAGCCAGTTATTCTTTGCCTAATTTTGATATTTTTGGATTAGCTCTGTTAGCTCCTTTATTAAGGACACATTTTGTTGATTGTTTTTTATCATGCTACTTGTTAGCTTTGTAATAAAATTGTTGCTAATTTTCTAGGCTATGCCATTGGCTGGGGCCCGATCACATGGTTACTAATGTCCGAGGTGTTGCCGCTGGTTGCCCGGGGAGTGGCTTCAGGCCTGTGTGTAATGGTCAGCTGGTTGACCGCCTTCATGCTCACACACGCCTTCAAACACATTCTGGACCAGAAGTTACTGTACGTGTCGTACCTGTGCTTCACCGTGGTGTGTGTTTTCTGCCTGCTGTTCAATGCCGTGGTCATCCCAGAGACTCGCGGTCGCTCGCTGGAGGAAATAGAGAACTACTTCAGGACGGGCCGCACCTTCACCATCAGACCCAGTCAGTCCTCGGGGCAGACCACCTGAAGCTGCCGGCCCTTCTTAAACAGTAAAGACATGTTGTGGTCAAAAAGATACTGTCTTAAAATACATATATATATATATATGTATATATATATGTATATATTTATACATATATATGTATATATATATGTATATATATATACATGTATATATGTATATATATATATATATACATATATATGTATATGTATATATGTATATATATGTATATATAATGTATATATAGCCATCAGCCATGTAATACATAATAAATGTAACAAAATAATACTGTAAAATGAACAGTGTTTTTAAAGTATAAAGCAACAATACAGCTTCTGATGTTTTCTCTTTCTCTTGGTGACCAAAGGTCATCAGGTCAGCACTAATGGACATGTAACTGTTTCATTTGACCAAAAACAACTGTATTTTCTTCTCTCCTTTTGTTAAATGTTATATTTATACACATAAACTATGGCCATACAGTCGAGACTTTGATTGTTGAGAATCTTTTTTTTTTTTTTTTTTTTTTTAAAGACGTGGAGTTTCCTGGTGAAGTTTTGCATGAGTCACGACCATGAATCCTCTCCTGTAAACACTAAGCCTCGGTCGGATGCTCCTTTTATAATCTTGAACCACACAGAAAGTTTCTCCAACAATATTTGTGAGACGTTTTTCTGGTTTGTACGTTACTCTCCTCTCCCTGTGTCCAAAGAAACGAGCAAACAAAAATAAAGGGAAGGGAAGTGATGTCTGCCTCCCCCTGTGGTGACTCAGCTGGTCACATGATGCCCTGGACTATCAAAACAACAGGATTAAGTCGGATTCAGCCACTGATGCACCTGTACACGCTGACATACCAGGTGTACGTCGCTGGAAGGCTTAGGCGTATCACTGTAAGATGGACACGGCAGGTTTCAGTCTTTGTCTGTGTCTGTGTGTGTGTGTGTGTGTGTGCGTCACTCCTTGGTAAAACAATAAAGCCTTGCGTTAATTGATGACAACAGAGGAAGTTCAATAATAAATCAAAATGATCAGAGGTTCATGTTTCATTTAATACTATTATTCAAATATTTTTGGAATATCTTCCTTTTACAGAGAAAGGCTGAGATGATTTGACGAGATGAGGATGAAGAAGAAGACGAAGAAGAAGACGAAGAAGAGAGTGTGAGAGTTTATTCATACTAGACATATACATTCACAAAAACATAAATATGGTCTGAATACACACATCATTGAGATGTTGACACACACACACAGACAAAGAAGAAGAAAAAGAAGAAAAGGAGAATTCCACACACACACAGACAAAGAAGAAGAAAATTCATATTCATAAAATGATATTCATATTGAATTTCCTTATTTTATAAGATTAAAAAATGTAAATTATTAAATTAAATGTATGGTTGTCATGTCCCAGAATTCTGGATCAATAGAGGAGGAAGGTACTGTGTACTGTAGTACTACAAAACTGAAAGTAGTATTTTAGTTTAATAATTATTTTTAACTGTCAGTCAGTGCAGGAATCATGAACAACCACTAAACTAAAAAAAAAAACTTTCACACACTTATGGTGTATCTCTCTCTCTCTCTCTCTCTCTCTCTCTCTCTCACACACACACCGTTGTTATCATTGGTAACCTCAGTTTATGACAGGACGAAAATCTCTCTGTTCTCAGGAATCTTGTTCAACAAGCCCATCGAAACACACACACACACACACACACACACACACACCACCTCACCCAGCTGGCATATCATGGAAGACCACACCCCAACATCAAACACACCTTCACTCCTGTACAGTTACAGATGGACAGATTCTGACTCATCTCTGTTGCTGTCCTTTAACAAAATTTTCACCACATTCCAGAGAGTTTTTTTTTTTTTTTTTTGCCTGAGGTGAAAATGCCACTGATGTAAATCAGAGTAACATGTTTCCCTGTGTATTAATGTGCAGTCACTCAGCGGTTCTCACTCTGTGATCCAGTGACCAGCAGCAGAAGAATGTGGTGGAACGGGCCTGCTCCCAGCTGAGTGAGGAGGGAACAACCTCACCAGACCGCCTCGCAACGCAACTCTGACGCTGACGCCATGACACGCAGCGCAGGCGGGGTGAAACCCAGCAGAGAGAGCTGCAGACTGGGCCACAGCGGCTGGTCTGACCTGTGAAATAAATGAATTTAAAAAACTGATCCTGACAACAGTAATGGGTCTGAGTGCAGACTGAAGGCTGCTGTTTGAACCAAACCATCAACAGGTAATCTGTGCAAGAAAGTCACAACGAGTACGTCACCACCCAAAGGTCATCGGTCCAATTCAGGATGTGAACCAGTGACCTTACTGCTGTCAGGCATCCACGTCAAACACTGCAGCACAGAGCTTTTTTTTTTGTCACAGCACAATAATAATAATAATAATAATAATAATAATAATAATAATAATAATAATAATAATAATAATAATAATAATAATAATAATAATAATAATAATAATAATAATAATAATAATAATAATAATAATAATAATAATAATGTATGTTTAACATTATATAAATATACATTATTATTATTATTATTATTTGTTCTATTTCTTGGAAGCTCTTCAGCCATCTTTCCTCGTACCTGGACTTTTAACATTTATCAAAGGACATTTTAGTCACTCACAGACAAATCACAGACACTTCACAGACAACAGACAACTTTTGGAACTGCTGGCCATCCTTCAGTCCAATCATCCAACCACTGATGTCATAATGAGTCCTAATTTTCTCCTTTCTACATGTTCACCACATCAGTTGATTGAACCGTCCACAGCCCAGAGCTGCAGCTTCCTGATCCCTGAGGGACTGGTAACCCTGGACTAACTAACTAACTACTCTGAATTCCTGTCATATTTTAAAGGTGGGCGTTAGACTCAGTTGTGAGATGTGTGTCAAGGTATGATGGTGTTAAGATGTAGATGTCACCCTCCGAACCACCGCCCCGCCCCGCCCGTTAACTCCCAATGTAATCCTCATGAATTACAATCAGAAAAAAAAGAACTCCTTAATTCTGGAGCCATCATTATACGACGGGACGACATCATCATACGACGGCACCTCAGTGTCTGCAGGTTCCACCTAAAACTGCTGAGTGACTCACTTCTTCAGTGTCTTTGTCAGTGAGGGCGGGGCCGTGGGCGTGGCCAGGGAGAGGCCGGCGTCAGGTACAGGTGACACAGGTGGATGTAGCTGCTCCAACCAGTTTGGACTCTACATCATCATCAGTATCAGCAGCAGCAGCAGCAGCAGCAGCATTCACACACTCACACACTCACAACTCTGCACACTGACGACAAGGCACCAAGGTAGGTCTGTCTCTCACACACACACACACAGACACAGACACCACTGCAGCAGTGAAGGCTGGAGCATTGACAGAATTAGATAAGATTGAGTTAAGGTTTAGTTAAGGTTTAGTTAAGGTTTAGTTCAGTCATTTCCACAATAGAATGAATGTAAAGAGACGACTGTAGCTGCACAGGTCTGTCTCTCACTTCCACACATTATTCTGACCTCGCTTAAGTTCAGTGACATTAGACACACACACACACACACACACAGACACAGACACAGACACAGACACCGGGGTTTAAATCCATTTGGAGTTGATGTAATTGACTTACGTTCAGAGCAAAAGTCTGAAAAATGTCGTGTCGTGTCATCATCGTTGACACCACGGTGGTTAAACTTACAACTTTCAAATTGATTCATAAAAATCCGATGTGCAGTTGTCATTGGAGATCTACAGATGGATGAATGTGTGAATGTGTGAATGTGTGTGCGTCGCAGTAGAACTGATTCTGAGCCTTTTTTTCTTTGGTCGTTTGTGAATGAAACTGGAAAAATTAGAAACTGAGGACGAACTCCTTTACAGTGGAAGGTGCGTCTCTCTCTCCCTCTCTCTCTCCCTCTCTCTCTCTCTCTCTCTATTCTATTGCCATGAATTGTTCATTGTTCAATTGTATGTTTGTGCATTGAAGCATTAATTTAGAAAAAAAAAGTTATTTACCTTGGTATCAGAGCTGTGGTAAATACATTACACAACAGTTACTTCATTCACTGGTTTGAAACTACAGTTAAAAAAGTAAAAGTAAAAAAGTAAAAAAAAAGTAAAAAAAAGTAAAAGTTCAGTTAAGCTAAAATAATTTAAGTAAAGTTAAGAGTTATGGTTACATACGATGAAGTAAAGGTTTTAATTAAGGTATAAGAAAATACCATTGAGGTGAATTAAATGAGTTAATGCTAGTTTGGTCAAATTAAGATCAAGTTTAAAATAAGTCGATAAAAGCAACGGAAATAATGAGTCAAATTAATGTAAAATTTAAGTTTAGTTTAGTTTAGTTTAGTTAAGCTCAGTAAACGTTTGGCAAAATGACACTGTTGTGATTCCACCTTAAATATATAAGTGAATTATTAATACAGATTAGAGTTTAGGAAAAATCAAAGTTAAGGGTTTTTTGTTGTTGTTGTTGTTGTTTTGAGACTACTTCCTGGTTGGTGTTTTGTTTTTAAATCAGGGATAGTTTTGGGTTTTTTTATGATTAATTTTTGGTTCTGGTTCAAATCATCTGATCTCATCTGTGTGACTCCTGTAATTATTCACATTATATTAATTTGAGTGACTTCCTTAATTAAGACATGTGACGCTGACAGTAGGTTCCTCCTTCTCTCCTCCCTGTGCTCCTTCCTCACCTTTCCTCGCTCTGGTTCCTTCCACCCTACACTCAGTCAGGTTTGACCAGCAGGAGGAGACACACCTACCACTGTTAAAGTCTTTCGGGGTGTAGCCGCGTCAGAAGTGACAAATTCTACCTCACCCCCCCCCCCCCCCCCCCTCATGTGTTACAGCCCCACATCTCGGTTCCCTCAGGGTCACACGTGTCACTCCTCACACACATACAGACGCCTTTGTTTCGACAATAGCCTGAAACTTTCCCCGTTTGTCCTTCTAAAGTATCTGTGCAATGTGACAGAGATACATTTTCGGAAGCCGCACCCAGCGACTGCCTCCACGGCAGCATCACACCCTCCCATCCCTGATGACACGGATGACATGAGCATCAGAGCAGTCACTCATATTTAGGTGTGCTCCATAAATATGTTTGTAAAACATCTTTTGATTCTTGTAAAAAAGCTGTACTTTTGCAGATTTTATTTGTTCACTCACATCCCGTGTTTTAATCTATCCCACCCGCCACCACCCAGCAGTGTCCTGGTTCCACCACAGCAGCTCCACCCATATTACCTCTCAGTGTTTTTTTTTGTTTTTTTTTATCACTTACTGAAATTCAGCCTCAAAAGAAAAACGAGCGAATCATCAGTTTTCCACACAAACACAAAGCTAAGACGGGTGTGTTTGTGTTTGGCTCGTCCAGCTTCAGTTACAGCTGCTGATTAATACACAGTGGAGCTGAGATGTCGAGGAAAACACCCAGCAGTGCTGACCTCAGATCAGTGATCCTGTTCTCCACCAGCACGGAAACACAACTATCAACAAACAGCTCATACGTTCGTCCAGTCGTCAGTGAAGGTCTGCAGAAAGATTTGATTTCTGCTCTCACTAATCCAATATACAGAAGACGCACACACACACACACACACACACACACTTGCGGGAATGCAACCAGCCTGCATGTTTCTGTCAGTGTCAGCTCAGACAGACTGAAGGTGTGTCGACCAAACGTGCTGCCTCACACACACACACACACACACATCGACTCTCATAGAGAGAAACATCTTTTCACACTAACGTTCACATCTACAGCAAATACACACTTGACAGATCAGGGCCGTCCGTCTGTTCAAAGCTGGGCCTCAAACCGCTGTGACCTGTGACCTCTGTATTCTTTGGCTACTTCCTGTTAACATATTGATCTTTTAGTAAGCTATATATTCAGATAGTTTGTTGGTTTATAGTTTTTCTTAGCTTAGTAATCTTGGGCCTTTTCTTAGTTATGTTTTTGAAATACTAGAGTCTGTGTCTCTATGTGTTTTAGCGACAATTGCTTTTGGCTAGTTAGCTAGTTAGCTAGTTAGCTAGTTTAACGACCATTATGACCATTAATGACTTTTGATCATAGTAAGCAGAGTAATATTTGAGTTCTTCTTCATGTTTTTTAGTTATATTTCAAAACTTTGAGTTTTTACAGATATTTTAGCTAACTAACTAATGGTGCTACATTTTTTGGCAATCTTGTAAACAAAGATTAAACGATTAGATTATTGTTGTAATGTTTAAATTAATCTTTTCTTCTCTATCTGTCTGTCAGGATTTCTCTCTTGTTCTCTCTCTGTTTTTTTGTTTATAAGGCAATATTTGTGGGGTCACTTTTTTGGAAAAATACTATTTAGCGTTTGTGGGGTCACTTTTTTGGAAAAATACAACAGGAGTTAAGATTAGCATAACAGTCAGATTAAAGTTTCGGTAAGGATTAAAATTAGTCATATATTTTCAATAGTCAATGGAAATAGTGCATGTGTGTGTCACTGGGATAGTTGACGTACTGTAACAACAGCAGCGGTGATGTTTTTATGAACAGCTCAGCAGCTCAGGGTTGGGCTTTATTAACCCTCCACAAAATGACTGTCAATCGATACCACTTGTTGTTTGTTTTGTTTATGTGAGGTGACAATTAGAAAACCATCGTCTGGTTTTTAAGTGGTCGAATGATTTTCATATTTTGCCGGCAGACATCTGTCTGTTCATCAGGCCACAGCTTTATATTCCTCACTGACGGCGACTGTAACCTGACGGTCTGTCTTGTAAATACAAGCAGGTTTATCAATGACACTGCACTTTTTATGAACCAAAACATTAATATCAAGTATATTTCTATCAGATTTATAGGAATTTTTCTTTCAATTCCTACACTTTTTATGAACCAAAACATTAATATTGTGGTTAATAATCAAGTATATTTCTATCAGATAGATTATAGGAATTTTTCTTTCAATTCCCTCCTAGAAAGTGTTTAGGCAAATATTCAACTGTTGTAAAAAAAACATAAAAAGGCATAAAAATGTGGCTTCTACGTGGGTGAGGTCACCAGCTCATCACACTTCAGACGTAAAGTCGTGAGGAGGAATGTCACCCCAGGGCGTTGATGACAGGAAACATCCCTACAATGAACCAGGGCTGAAATATAACAGTGACTGTGTAGCACAGGCGTTTTATAACTTTTTTTGCGTCGAACTTTGTCTCCATCTAGTGGCAGCAGCAGCATCACATTTTGCGTGTGTATATTAAAGAAGCCTCTACCAAAGACTTAATACCTAGTGGTAGGATTATGTCCACTCTTTTTCACCCACTGAATCACAACTTTTTGTAATATTAATTAGAAAAATATGGCTTTTTATTTCTAACTTGATGCTGTTTTTGTTACGTTTATGCCTAACTTTTTACTATTTACGTGCAAACTGTTACTTTCTTCCTTGTCTTTTTGTTTGTTGCATCTGTTTCCTGTTGCCTCTAACGCTCTTGTCTGTTTGTAGCACAATGAGTGCAGATGGGAAAACAGAACTTCCTCCCTACATCTTACCAGGTGCGTCCAAACACAAACATGTAGATGCAATTCATCATCCTCATCATCATCCTCATCACCATCATCATCATCAGCTCTATTTATACATCTCTATCTGTTTGTTTTTTCTTTTCTTTTTTTTCTTCCTGTTGCTCCAGTAGAAGCTAAATCAGATGGAGTGAAGATCTACCACCTTCACACACCTTTCACTCCTACATCTCCACAAACAGGAGTAACCGCCAGCGGAGCTGCACCAGGTAAACCACTTAGCTCATGTTAACAGCGGTTTATCCTTTCACATCCTCTTTGACTTCCTCGCCTCTGTTTTTCCCTGCCCATCTCTCTCTCTCTCTCTCTCTCTCTCTCAGTGTACACAGGTGGAGGAGGGACTGATGATGGCAAACATAAGTTTGTTAGCTACGACTCAGAGCTGGGACGGAATCCGGGCATGACGACCTGCACAACCTGTCAGCAACAGGTCCTGACCAATGTCACCTACAAAGCAGGGACGTACGCCTGGCTGATGTGTCTACTCTTCATCTGCTGCGGGTGAGTTTCTCTTCAATTCCTGTGACTAGTTAATTTTTTATGTTCAACTAAACAGGCCAAATACTGCATGTTAAAATTCACAGTCACAAATGTTTTGCTCAGAACAAAACTAATGAGTCTGTCTCTGCACGTGTGTCTCTGTGGGCCTCAGGTTGGTGTTGTGCTGCTGCCTGATTCCATTTTTCCTGAAAAACTTCAAGGACGCCTACCACACCTGCCCCCGCTGCAACCGAATCCTGCACGTGGACAAGAAGAAGTGCTGTAAATGACCTGCATGAGGACGGAGGTGGAGTCATGGAAATGAGCAGCGACAACTTTTGTCCACATTCTGCTCGTCTGATGGAGGAGAGGTCGGCGGGGCAAAACAAAGCACAGGACAAATGCAACTTATTCCTATGGATATCCGTCACAGTCAGGACTAAATTAGGCACCAGGGATTTTCACACCACACTAAATTATTCACATCCAAACCAGGAAAGATTGCACTGTCAGCGCTGTGTTGTCTCTCCCTCACTGGAGCTCATACTTCAGTCTCTCCAGATGCAGTTTTTTGTAGTTGTTTCTTTTTTTTTTTGGAACTCAGTTATATTTAATTCCCATGCCCTGCAGTAGAACTCTCCTGACCAATCTAGTCACAGCGTTTACATCCAAAATGTTTAAATGAAGACTTGTATATAGATTATCTTTGAATATATCAATAGACGAGTCAGAAAACAAACATTACACCAAAACTAATAATGCAAAAAAAAAAACAAAAAAAAAACCAACACACACTTCCTCACCCAGTATATGTCAGTTATGTTGTTTTTGTTTCTGTTTTCAAGCTTTTTTTTTACCTCCACTAACTTCAAGCTCGGTTTATGGAGGGAAAAAATGTCAGTTGTCATTTATAAACCTATTATTTTAACTCCTATATGAAGAAGGGAAGACGGGCAATATTAAAGAGCATGAAGTTCAAGTTTCATTCTTGTATCATAAAGGACAAACAGCAGCCAGCTGTAAATATAACTTTGACTTTTTGTTTAGATCCTTTTAGGCTTTACCTCCAATAAAGACTTTTGTCTGTGTCTTTACGTTGCAATGCAAAATAAAAGCAGCACTATTCCACAGAGTGACGTGTGTGGGTTGTGATTGTTATGAGAAACATGAGGGCAAATGAAGCTCAACACTTTACAAATACCTCGTATAATTGTCTATGTTACCCACAAATTGATAACTGATAACACTGATGACTTTTTGCATCACTGAACATTTTCTAAATTCTCTCAAAAAAAATTACAGTGGAAAAAAAAATAAGTACACACTATGTTCTTCTAGCAGCTGCCTCTAGAGGGCGCTATAGCAAACCACAAGCCTCAGCCTTGTCTGTCCCCCCTCACATCATGTACAGATTGTGGATTCTTAGACCCAGTCACTTAGTACTGTAACAATACTGTAAGGACAACTGAAGGAAATTGATTGTGGATTCTTAGACCCAGTCACTTTGTGCTGTAACAGTACTGTGAGGACAACTGAAGAAAAATTCACGCAACTGTTCACACTCACATTCACACCACCGATCAATTCATAACGCAGTTAATTCACAAGCCGTCCAAGCCAGGACACAAGCTGTTAAACGCAAGTCGTCCAACTATTGGTTATTTTCTAAATGCTTCGTGTTAGCTAAAAGTTAGGAAAAATGGAATCAATCAAACGTTAGCGGAGAAAATGCTAAAAGTTAGCTAAATGTTAGCCAGGATTTGGGTAACAGGTATTGGAATCAACTAAGAGTTATCTGGTCTTTTCCACCTTTCTGTTCAGCTTTTAGAACATCGACTAAACAGAAGTCCTCGGTCTCTTCACCTGCGTTCACTCGTGTGGACAAGCAGCCAGGATCGATGGGTTTGTTTTTATAGAAAATTTTATTCAACATACATTTTTCCAGCAAAAAGGCAATATACAGGAATAGTTGTCATATGCTGCTGCTACACTGAGGATTTTTAAACTGGAAACCATCAAATTAAGGTGTGATTCTGCAGGTCATCATCGTACTGCACTTATTTTTTTTTTCATCAAGACAAAACCAATGCAGTTAGTTTTTTTTAAAAAGAAAAAATATTGTAACAGAAAAAAAATCATCATCATCCATGGTACATCAGGAACGCAAAGTAAAGAAAAAAAAAAAACCTACACACAAGAAATATGAACACCTGGCTCCTTCTGTACCCAACAACAAAGGCGTGTTTCTCTTTAATTTTACACGTTCATATTTTTAAATATACAATTCTTAAATGTTGTCTTTACAGAGCCAGCCATAGCCATGAGGAGAGCGTTTCATCGCCGCTTCCAAAAGAAAACAAAGAAATAAAAATTCATCGGGCTTAAAGTGTTTCTTACAATGCTGGTTTTGTCTCTACACAATCCTCACAAATGTGGGCTCTAAGTGTCTGCAGCTCCCTAACCAAGCACAACGCAGCAGTTACCACTTCCAACCACATGGGGACTAACGACTGAACCGGGAGATTAAGGGGGAAGTTTGTGTTCAGAGGAATGACTGAGAAAAACAACTGCCCCCACAAATAAAAAAAATAAAAAATTAAAGGTCAAGTGAGTTAATGTTTGAAGTCAAATCCACAGCCACCGTGTTTTTCTGCCCGTCCTGAGGAACCTCTGACATTAAGTGCCAACGTGCAGGATGAAATACAGACAAATTTCCTTAGTTTTCCGTTTATTTTTAGACAGATTGTTCGAACTTTTACTTTACAGAAAAAAAAAAAAAGTTTTGCAAAAGAAAAAAAAAACCTAGGAAAGTAACAAAAAAACTTGTGTAACGTGTAAACTTTTCAAACCCTTATTTCTGTAGCTAAAGGAAGGGAGCAGAAATAGCAGAGAACCAAATCAGGCTCTCAGAAGCGTTAGGAGGGACGTCAGTTTGCAGAATCACAACCAGCGCTTCCCTCAAAGTTTCTTTTTTTTTTTCTTTTTTCCTGTCAGGTTTTTGCCAAGACCTTTCCATCAGACTCTACACACAGCGGCACCACTCGTAAAACCAACGTGATGATGATGAGGGTGGGGGTGACAATGGAGGACGGGGAGAGGGGGACGGGGAGGGACGGGGGGGGCAAAGAAAGTTCATTATATTCGTGCGTACTTCTATCCTATTTGTCATCTATTAAAACCCAATCATTTCTCCGACTTCCAGACGGACAAGGAAAAAAAAAATTCTATACGGCAATCGACACGTAGAAAAGCCAGAAAACCACCCAAACAAAGGGAGAGACAACTCAAGAATTAAATAAACAACAAACTAAACAGTCAGGAGGTGGTGGTTGGTGCAGTTTATTTTGTGGTTGAAGAATAATCCATCAGTTGCAGCAAGATCCATATCGCTGAAGACAGTGCCGGTGTAGAGCTGTAGAGGTGTCCAGGCAGGGTGTTAAAAGTGATGAGCACACAAACACACGCGCACACACACCCAAACCCGGGCATACATACATACATACATACATATGAGCGCACGCACGCACACACATGACCAGAGGCTCTCGCACACGGTTGGTTACAGTCTGTGGTTATCGTGTGTTACAGAGGGTCGGAGGAAGGCGGAGCAACAGGAGCAGAAGGAGGTGGACGAAGTGGAGGAGGAGGAGGAGGAGGTCACAGAGGAAGGGCGCGCTGCTTTAGTTGTGGATCTTGATTGCTTTCTCCAGGTAGGTGTAGCGACCTCTCTTTGGAGCTTTGTTGAAATGATCCAACCCAAGCCAGGGGCGCGGGTGGGACATGTTACCTGGGAGAGGGCAGAGTGGTCAGCAACGGGTACCGTTTATTTCCCCGACGACGTGCTTTGAATATAAGTATTAATAATAAAGCAAAGTATGATTAATTACATCTGAGGTTTTTATCACCTCAAAGAGAGACATTTGTCTGGTCTCTCTCTGCACACAAAAAAATAAAACGGTTTCTTGAAGTATTTTTTACTTATGTATGTTATTTACACTGCACTCATGGGAAAAAAAAATAAAAGAGTTTCTGTGAGCCACGGAGCTAAACAATATCGTTGTCAGTTGATAATGTTAGCAATAAATAAAAACGATCGTTCCGGTCAAATACAAAGACAACAAAGAAAACATGTCTGTCTGACCTGACTTCAGCTGCTGCTGCAGTTCCTGTGGAGCACAGAGCTGATGGATCTGCAGCGCGCTCCCGTCCGCTCAGCCTTTAATATTCTCTTGACTTAAACGTGCCAGATGTCGCACTGATGTTTATTCACGGAAGTGGACTTTTGATAAATAACGCTTTTAGAAAAAACACCACCGCGCATCTGTGGTGCAATTAATATGGCAGAAAAGTCAACCCTTTTTATTTGGTCACATGTTGAACCAATAAGATTGATCGTGGTGAATTTCAAATGAGAGACCATAACACCGACGCAACCGACCTTATGACATCATATTGGAGTCTGATGACATCACACAGACAAAAATATTGCAGCCCAGATAAAGCAGAGACATTAGAGTGAACGATGTAAGTATGTGACTCAGATGACATGGATCTGCCCGACCAATCATACAGAGTTTTGCATCAATCTTTTTGGAAACTCTGGCAACTCAAAGTTTCAGAAATGAAATTTAGATTTGAGGAAGAATTCAACATAAGAATTCGTGTTTTACTTTACCAACCCAGCAGTCAAATGAAAAGCCTGCTTTAAACACTGTTAATGATTCACTTCAAACTCCTCTTATATTTATCATGTATCTACTAACTGTTGTACCAGAGTGACCAGCAGGTGGAAGCGTGGAGGGTAAATACCTGGCTGTGGTTCAAAGTCCTTCAGGTTGACCTCATACTCGTCTTCAGTGATGTACTGATGTCGGCCCATCATTACAATCGCAAACTTAAACTGAGGAAAGAGCAGAACTTTGTGTCACTACATATAAAATAGGTGAAATGTTTACTGTTTATATATATTTACACCTTAAAGAGTGATAATGTTTGAGTGTACTGAACGTTGCTCAGCCAAAACCCTAACACAACAAGTACCTTCTCAAATTCTTTCTCCTGAATGTCCAGCATCGTCTGGATCCTCCTCATCACCTCCCGAAAAGATTCGCCCTGCAGAGGAAGCAGAGGAGTCGCATGAGGGAAAAAAAATGTAGTTGCACACAGAACAAATAATGACCAGTGATAAAATTGTACTGACTCAAATGTTTTCAAAAATAGATCAGCACATTTAAATTCTGAAATTGGAAGAGTTACTCCATAAAAAGTAATAGAACTGAGATTGTAACTGGACTTGAATTTAACATTGTTTCATACAATAATACACACAAACTAATAAAAAAGAAAACATCAATAACCACGCACCTGTCTAATCTTTAGCAAAAACGGGATCCCAAAGGTTCCAAAAACTTCTTTGTGGAAGTGAGCGACTGGAATAAGCATTTCACTGTCCTTATCCAAGTCCACCTGGTCCAACGGAATCTCCTGTGTAACAGAAGTGAACAGGACAAACAGGAGAAGTTCAGATCACTGACAACTACAGATGTGAGTTTAACTCAACACAATGTTAGTCACTGTGATTCTACTCGACTCCGCAGTTCATTTTTACGCAGTTACAGTCACGACACGTTTACATTTGTTATAAAAAAAATGTAGAATTATGAAGTGAACAGGACAAACAGGAGAAGTTAGGATCAAAATAGTGGGTTGAAATGTAATTGTTTTGAAGAATTAGTGACCGCATGTAGATAAAACACAAAAGAAAAGTTAAGGTGGAGGTGGAAAATGACTGGCACTGAGGCTCAAACATAGTGAAGGCTTCACACACACACTTGCCTCTATTCTGAAGGTGCGGCTGGCAGCCGGAGATAAACATTCTAGCAGCTCGTCCTCCTGGTGAACCCCAATGATTTTATAGCTTACTATCTCTAACAGCCTGAAGGAGCAAAGAGAGAGAGAGAGAGTGAGGGGACAGATAAGGATAACTGACACCTATCAGTGTCATAAAATTGCATTTTTATTATAATTAAGTTGATTTAATCACAAAGAAAAAGACACAAGAAGTTAATGTTAAAACTAATCATTGTAAAAGATTCGAAAGTAATAAAAACCCTGAGGTGTAATTATGAAAACAAAATCATAATCAGTGCATAAAACAGACATTGTTATACAAAATATATATATATAAAATTAGTGATAAATTCAATTATTTGATCATAAAAAGGGAGTGACTTGTGAACAAATACACTACAGCAGTCAGATAGTGCATTCTATTTCCCCACCACATGAGGGCAGTGTGACAAGTGATGCCCATTGGATGACATCAACCTGAAAAATCTCTTGGTGACTACACATTTTGCGATTTCAATCCACAACCATGGCATGATGTGAGGAATCTCTACTGAAAAAAAAAACAAAAACTAAACAACACACGGTGGTGTCAGTGTCGTGTCTGTGGTCATACCTGAGTTTCTCAGAGCCTTTTTCAGACAGCTCTACTGCCTTTTTACATTCTTCCAACAGGTCTCTCACACAGCCGTGTTTGTCAGGATAGAGGGTGATTTCCTGCAGCACAGACACAAACGGCACAGACGCACGTCTCTGTTAGATTACCAACCAATTCGCACATTTCATCCGCGGGTTTACGCCACGATTTACAAACTCGGCTGGGATAGTTGTGTGAAGCTCACCTCCTCTCTGAACTGGCTGTTGAGCCATATGGATTTAAAACTCCTCCTGTTCTCAAAGTCAGTTATTTTCATCTTTAACTGCAAAGGAAAGAGACGAGAAGAATTGGATGAAACGAGTGCGACTGAATGTGTGAAACAGACACTGTTCACGATGAACGGGAGTTTCTGTGAGGTTTCTTTTTCAACAGAGCAAAATGCAGAAATATAGGAAACAAAACAATGTCATACAGTGAATCAGTGATTATAAAATATAATAAAATATTCTACATTAACAGTGATCGTCCTGAAATACAACACAATGATCATCTAGTTATGAATTATATCTTACAAAGCACAGTTTCCGCCAGTACTTTTTTTTTTTTTTTTTAGCCACATCAGAAGCAGCAGGTCATCTAGCCCCAGCCCCCACCCCGTTCCCACCACCTCTGCTGTTAAAGTCTGTCTATTTCTGTCACTTGTCTTATGGGTTAATGAGAGATAGAGAGACACAGACAAATGAAAGACCGAGAGAGAGAGAGATAAAGGGAAACTAAGCAGAAAACCAAAATGAAGCTGACTTCAGTAGAGAGCTCATTAGCTTAGCACTTAAACCTTATGAGATTTTAGCATTCTGGGCTATAACAACCTCCAACAACGTTCACTGACCAGCCAATGTTCATGTAATAAAAATTTTAAAAAATCTGAAAATACTTCAGGAGCAAATGTCACAGGATAAGAAGCTAAACATCACAGCCTGTTTTTAGGGGTCGGGGGTAAATGTGTAAACAAAGAATGGCCATGAACCTGTTGGTAGTAGAGTTTCTTGGGTTGTCTCGGCTTAAAGAACTGCAGGAGATCCCTCAGTGTTCCCTCATAGTTGTGTCTGAGAGGATTCCCTGGACCATCCCTGTACCTGGCCACCACACCACAAGGCAGGGGGGAGGACGATGAAGGGAAGGAAAGACAGACGGCAGAAGAAGAGGACGGAAACACAAAGGGGAGAAGGACAGTGAGGAGGCACACAGGAGACAAAAAGAAGGAGGGAGAAGGAGCCAGAGACGGAGAAGTAAAGGAAAACAACAAACAGAGGTGGGGGGGACATGTTACTCAACATTTTTACTGACAAGTGCAGATGATCACAGCTTTTCAGTATTTCATTATTATCTACCCAGAAATGGGGTAAATAATAATTATAACAACAACAATAATAACTGATAAAAAACATTAGAAATGGGGTAAATACAACAACAACAACAACAACAACAACAAAGAGCGACAGCTGTGGATCTGTGTGTGGATGAGACAAGCTTCCTACCCCTGTGACTTGAAGAACTGCAGCAGCATTGGATCCGTGTTCAACCTCTGTGCTACCGTCTTGGCCACCTGTTCAACACACGTGATGATGGCGATGTTTACACATGACAGAACGGAAACTGGGCAGCTGTCAAATATAATCTGGAGCACATATCTACCTGAAAGTAGTTCATGCGGTTAGACAGTGTGACCACGAAGCCAGGGTCGTTGTGGATGGTCTTGTCACAGAATATGACGTCCACTCTGTGGTACAGATCGCGGAAATAGTCCTTCGCTGTGGGCAGCTCACTGCTGTCGTTCTCTGGGTCGTCCCTGCGTGACAGGTAAGAATAAGAGGTCGAGTCTTAACGCGCGTATTTGGTAATAACTCAATAAACTATGCTCAATAGAAGTTGATGTTTGATGTGCATTCTCTTTGTTTGTAATTTGATGGTTGCAACATTTTTAAAAAAATACTGCATCAACTCTTATTTCTTTCACACATATAAGGTACAAATGCAGACAAACTTACTTCTGGAAGACAATGATGTCCCCATCCATGAGCTCATCCAGGGCCTTGTCCAGAGAGACATCGTAGTCCTGTATGCGCTCCGTTAGATTGGGCTTTACTTCCTGTAACACAACGGGAAACAGGAAGATTACATTCTGTGTGCAGCCATCTGCAGACCCACAGGAGTTTATCAAACAAGAGCTTGTGTGTGAGATACGACGTGGGAGGTGAGTGGAGAGCTTGAAGGAGTGAGAATCAAATGTGTCAGAGTGAGTGGGACTGTAAATAGATNGATGTTACAGCTAGTTTCCTGCTGCAAGCCAGCTCCCTCACACATAACGGGCAGTAGGTCGCCTGGTGACACACACAGAGAAGGCACACAAATTCACAGATGTGCAAAAAAATAAATAAATCATTGTTGCTGCAGCCAGACACCGACTCTGCTGCTACTTACTTATTTTGCAGGATATAGGTGTGTAGATATGTCCACAATAATTTAAGCTTCTGGTTTTGGGGTCATACATCTTCAAGAACAACATGACATCATCTAGAAATAAAAAAAGAAAACATTAAGTATGAAATGAGGATGAAACAGCACTGAAAGTTCTCTCTACAGGAGGACGGCATTAAAGACCTGGCTTTGGGACATTAAGGAGGATGAACGTCACATCTGACTTACGATCTTTATCAAACTTGGGTAACGTGGCACCACTGGCTGCCAACTCTGGATCCACAGTCTCTAAAAATATTGTCCAGGGGTTTTCATTGTCACTCAAGTCGATCATCTGAAACATTCACAGTAAACAACAAGGTCACATGTTGAAACATGTTGAGAAAAGCATGCATTTCAAGTACACATCCAAATAAAAAAATCAGAGCAGGTGACACTCACAGACTTGCTGCAGTCTGCCTCGTAGTCGAGCATGGCAGGGCGCTTGGTACCATTGCTTCGAGCTTGCATGGGCCACAGTCTCATCTGGTCCTGTGGGAAACCCTGCGGCAAACGAGTCAATGAGTTTTTGTCCCAAAGTTACTTCAAGTATCATTTTCTCAAGTCATCATGACACACTGTCAACTGGAATTCAATCCACAACAGCAGTAGACAAAACCAGATCCGGTTTTTCTGGACACCATCTCTGTGTCACCACATCATTTATGACTTCTCACAATCTGTGGCAATGCACCAGTCTGCACAGTAGAAATGTTTCTCACCATTGTCTGGGAGAGGTTCTGCACAAACTCCTGCAGCGTGGAGCTCTTGAGTACTTTAAAGACCGTGTACTTGACTTTCTCCTCGTCGTACATGTCGTTGCCCTGATGACCACAGAACTGGTCTTCTGTCACCATCTGAAAACAGGACAGAAGTTAGTCACAAGGCTTTAGAAATGAGAATTGGAAGATAACATTTTAGAATTTTCTCAGGAGGAATTACTAGTTAGTCACAAGGCTTTAGAAATGAGAAATGGAACATAACTTTTTAGAATTTTCTCAGGAGGAATTATTATTATTACAATACTGTGTACTAATAGATAATTTGCCTTGTCAAATTGCAAAAGCATCTCACAGTACAATACTGTGTACTAATAGATAATTTACCTCATCAAATCGCAAAAACATCTCACAGATGTCCCTACATGTACTGAAATAAAACCCCCAGATTCCTCACCTGGACCTGCATGTAGAGATGAGCCTCTTGACGTTCCTTCCTCTTCTGGGCTTCTACCCGTTTCTCCTCCTGCAGACGCTCCACCAGCTGCTGAGGGATGTCCATGTCTGTCATGGGCTGAAGGACCTCGCCTACAGCACAACACACAAAACTCTAAAGTCAGGCATTGCTGCCAAATAAATCAATTATATGAATGACACACAGAGGGATGAAGACGTCACTTACTGAGCTTGGACTCCCGAATGTAGACCAACATGTAGGCGTTGGTACAGTGACGTACGGAGAGGTCATCGTCGTGTCCGCCGTAGTTGTGTTCTATGGCCTCCTCTTTGGTGCATCGCGACACCACGTCGTCGTCGAATTTACACCACTGTAACACAGGAGGAGAGTGAGACCAGGCATTAGGAGCATGGGAGGCAAGAGTAGGACAGATGAGGAGATCTTGACATGGTAGACATAACGCAAAGACAATGACATCAACGAAGACAGACAGACATCTGGATCTGCTTTGACCAAACTCACTTGCCTCATCCACCTCATGTCTACACTTAGTTTTTATCCTTTATATAATGAGCCCACAGTTGACCTTGCTGATACATTAATGCATGGTCACTGCTTCAGTAATTCAATAGACAAACAGAGGTCGTGCTGTTTTTTGTATTGGTGCTGTGACAGACTGGATCTCTACTTTAATAGCTTGAATCATTTAGAAATTCTAACACTGAAGCAGATGCTGTTAGTAAAGCCCATTTTTCTGTTTCTGAAAGACAAAATCTTTCAACTGTGTAATTCATTTAACTCTGGTTATATAAAACATTTGCCATTCAATGGGTTCAGTAAACACTAAAGCTACGTACGTTTTGTTCACCATCAGGTTAATGTAAAACATACAAAAAACATTTTTGTTTTACAATCTAGACTTTTATGCTACTTTCTATACATTTTCCTACAATCTTTCAACTGACTTGTATAAAAACCAACTCACAATAAAAACAACAGACAATTTCAACATCAATTTTTGTAATATGGAATAAAAAAAATTGTTCTCACTATTGGTTCCTTGACACTCACTTTGCCGTCTCCTTTGGGATTAAGATAGACGACGTAGTGACCGCCATGGTTGTCGCCGCTGTGGACCAGCACTGCGTGCAGGATGTAGTTGGCTGGATCCTTGGAGTCAGGCTTCTGGAGAAACTCATCCAGAGGTAACTGATCTGGAAACTCAAATCTAATGAAAAAAAGAGGCAGTGGGTGGAGGGGGAGGAGAGAGGAGACAGATATGAAGATCAGAAGACGCAGCGGTGAAATAAAAAGTAAATTATCTTCATTATGTATTCTGGTTGTGTGTGTTCTGAAAATGTCACCGTCTCCATGGATTGTAAAAACACTATTTAACTCCTGTTAAGATGATAGAGCCTGAGGGAAATTCCCAGTGACCCACATTTCTGAGCAAGAAGTACCAAAGTACCAGATGACTGAAGTTCTGTTTCCCAAAATAGACATGTTGATCTATGTCATAATGAACCAAACTTTTTTTAAACACTCAAGTACTGCAGTTGGTACAGCATGTCACATAAGTTTCCATCATGTTTGGACACCAAGTCAAATCAACACAGCTCTAATGTCTTTTGAAATACAAGGTCTGAAACATTTTACCTGTCATTAATCTTGATGTTTTGGTCTGTCTGAGGGTCATACATGAACCTCATCAACTGCAGGTGAAGGATAGGAGGAAAAGTGAGGAACTTGACTCCCTTTTCAGCCTCCTGTGGTGCAAACAAAGATGCGTCAGAATATCTAGTATACATTAAAAAAAAAACAAAAAAAAACAGCTCAATAAAATATTAGAGGGGAAACAAAGGCCCTCACCTGTAGACCGTGCTCCCCTGCATCATATTTGTTGTCTCCGTCTAACTGTTCGGTAGCCACATAATCTTTGAATGACTCAAAAACTGGGGTGAAAAAAGCAAAAAAAACACAAATGTGGTGTAAAAGATATAGACTTGTAATTTGTTGTCTCCGTCTAACTGTTCGGTTGCCACATAATCTTTGAATGACTCGAAAACTGGGGTGGAAAAAGCAAAAAAACACAAATGTGGTGTAAAGGATATAGACTCGCATGTCACTGTGGTACCATTACTGTCCATGAGAGCGTTTCTACTCACTGTTCTTCTTTCCTTTTATGCTTAGCTGGATGTCGTAGTAGTCCTCTATCCGCTCTGACCGGTAGTCCACATGTTTACACTGAATATATGACTGCAAAGTGACAACACACACACAAATGTCAGATGAAATGGAAATGAATCCTTTGCTTTAACAGTCAGCAATTTCCTTAACTTTATTTAGTGAGTGAGCATAAAAAGGCTGGACTACATACCACCATCTTTCCCCTGAAGAGCTTAGGTATGGTTCCTTCTACACAAGTGCCTTTCATTTTATTTTCCACATTGTCCAGGAGCTGAAAAATTACAAACACACACGTCAGTTACTCAGAGTCTTTACTACCACAGACATTGACAGTTGAATTTTATCCTCCACTCACCACTCTGCACAGCTCCTGTACATCGTGTTGCATGAAGCTATCTAGTGTTTCCCACCTTCACAAAGAACATACAAAAAAATACTAGGGGTGTAAGAAAATATTGTGACATTGAAATACTGCAATATTACAACGTACCAACCAAAGATAAAACTTACCCAAAAGACTTGGTTAATTTCTTGGTGCCGACAGGTTTGTCGCTGTGTTGCAGCTCATAGAAAACCCTCTGCAGTGCCAGTGGAACACTTTTGGACGAGTCATCTCCCTCTGTGGGCATCATGTACACCGCCTGCATGGATTGACACGCATAAATATTATAATATGATGATGTAATACTGATTTTACTGATGTTTAATCCACATTTTCAGGTGTTCTTAAAAAGGAGACAGAACAGGGCAATTTGGTATTCTGACAACATATACTGACATACTTCAATTAGTAGAAATTCAAGTTCAGAATGTGGACAAAGATAAACAGTTGCAGGATAGGCACACAGTCAAGAATCATTTCATCAACTTTTAAAATCTTAGAGGTGCAACTGGAGTTGCTTGGACTCTTGATGAGATAAAAAAAAAGTCCTGTAGCACACATAAATGTATAAACACGAGAAGAAAATATTTCTGAGACACAAAGACAGACACCTACCCGCCGTAGCTGGTTGGTGAAGAAAAGTGTCTGCAGCAGGCTATTCATGTAGCATGTTGCCCCCTGGTTCTTCAAACCAACATAGCCTGTGTGTTTCTTAGAGTCCCAGCTGTTTATAAAGAAAGTCATGGATTTAAAAAAAAGAAAGAAAAAAATAAATCACAAATAAAAATCACAATAAAAATGACTTACGCGACTCCATGTGGGGCGTCAGCCTGGACATAGACTTCGAAAATAACTTTGTCATCATCGACGAAGCCTCTCTCTGGATCAGTCACATCCTGGAAAACAGAGCAAAATTATTGATATAAAAAGGAAACATTTAATGTATTTTTATTTATGAAAATCATTATAAAAACAAACAATACATATTTTTTTACTTACAGTCCAGGACATGAAGTTGGAGAAACCCCAGTCGTTCTCTTTGTGAAAGAACAGGTGACTGATCCTGCGGCTGAAAGATTTTTCATCGTCTTTGTAGTTGATGATCTTAAGCATGGCCTGAGCATGACAAGACCATGACCTGTAATGGGAGAATCAGTTAGTTTCCACTTGCTGCAGGGACTCTTCCAACACAAGAGTAAGATCAAACATTCCGTTTTACAAAACAGACTCTGAAAATTGTAGCCAGTGCATCAGCAACACCTTTTTAATGCCACCACCTCATGCATCTTAAGCAGGTATTATAGCAGTAGTGTATTATTCATGAAATATGGATCATGTTGATGCTCATCAGATGTGACCCACTTGCAGAGGTCACTGACACAGGATTTGAAGGCTGAAACAACTTCAAATGAAATCATTTTTCTTATCTGTATCCTTTTCTCTTGCAAGATATAAATAGTGGAAATATAATAGTCATGCAGTTAACATTACACTGACCAGGCTTTAAAAATTGATTTTTATTGGTTAGTTATCATTTTGGGGGGAGTTTTTGGATAGCCCACTCTTAACCAACTGAAAATCACACGAATGGATGTAAGGGATAACTAAGCCAAGGTTTTTTAACAGTGACAGCGAATGCATTTCATCAAAGTGTAATTTACAAAAATGTATCCAGTTACTGTTGGTTCTATTTATTTTTGTCAAGGTATAAATCAGCAAAAAAAGGCTCTCAGCATATACAAGGCAGTGTATTAAGCGACAGAAGACAGCGACAGACAGAGGGGTATTTTTACATAAAACACTGCATGCGGCTTATGACACAATCTTGGTAAAACTAAATGACATTTCCCAAAAGCCACAACACAAAAACTCACAGCTGGTTGACGGTCTAATGAGCAGTCTATTGTTCTGCTAATGATGCTTCAGATGATGTTTGATAACATCTAAACACTTTGAGGAATGAACCATCACAATCTCCTAGGCTGTGTGCCCTAATCAGAATTCAACCACATACTCAACATTTTTTTAACAAAACTTTACCAGTGAAGAGTAATGGTCTTGATGTACGTTGAACCACATATTCTGGTTATTTATTAGCCCACTTGTCTAAATTAAAATTTCAGACTCTCTTGAGTCTTTGTGGTTTTCTGGATTCTCCGTTTTCTTTAAAATTTGATCCAAATATTTAGGGCATGTTTGTGTAGTTTTTAGAGGGCTCACTAATTCTAATGGTTATAAAACCCACCAAACCGCTTGACCCAAACCAGGACACTTACGTGGAGTCTGATTCTGCGTTACACTGTAGGAAGAAGCCCACACTCTTCTGATGCGGTCGGTCTGGATAGAAGCGTGGCATCACCATGATCTTCCATGGAAGGTTCCGGACAAAGCAGGACGGGCTTAGCACAGACTCGCTCAGGCGGCTGAAACGTTCCACAACAAACCGGAAGGTGGCCTCTGACCGCCAGCTTGTGTCTGTAGAAATATGACGGAATAAAAAAATAGAATTTTGTTGTCAATCTTGCATCAATGAAACATAAAAAGGGCAAAATACATGATTATTTATATTATCTTAAAATCTTTATTTATTCTGACAATTTCATGTTCAGCACAAGATTCAAAGAAAGAAAAGATGATGTGTCCGTTTGTGCGCATCCTACACACCATCCTCCATGTCCTCCTCTGTGTTGTTGTGTCCATCTGCGATGGCCATGTTACCATTGATCACTGGATTGGCTGGAATTCTTGGAGGATCGTCTGTGTCCCCAGCTAAAAGAGATGGACAACAATGTGATAAGACTGGATGATTTTAGTGCAGATAACAGGATAGAGAACCTTTATGGTTAATTTAATGACCGACCAAAGTCTCTGCTTATATATGTGCACGTTGTAGCAATTTGGAAACCAACAGAAATCTCAGGAAATTTACAACTCATAGCTAAGATTTCTGACATAAAACAACCATCTAAACCAAACATGCTTAATCCATTAAGGTTGCGTTGCATACGCTTTTGTTGAGAAAGGTAGATTATAGGGTGTGATTAATGAGGTTTTTTGTTGTCTTATTTTTCTGTTAATTGACTTTGTGGTTTTAATCACAACTTTAACAGTTATCTTGGCCAAAACAGCAGAGGTGAAGACTGGGTTTCTGCTATATAACTACTGCATCCATCTTTCTCTTCTTTATTGTTTCTGGGGAAACCCTGCTGAGACAGCATGACAAGTCCTCTGCCCAAATCTGTGTGTCAGATTGAGGGCAACACTGCAGTCAGCTAAATAGTTACGGACACATTGCAGGTCTGAGCTGCAAGTCATCAGAGAACAACATCAGCCAAACAAGACACATCTTGTTTATCTGCGAACAATGAAAGCATCCTGACAGGTTTTATCAAACATGTATTATAATAGAATTGGACTAGGATGTTTGATTTTGGCTGTGATGCTCAAACTGCACTGGTAGGAATACTGTATTTGATGTTTCTGTGTCATCACTGTGCTGATGGTAAGTGACTTTGGTGTCCAGTGCCCTGGAACACTGCCCTCGATTCCCAAAGTAGATTACATCCTGTTAATATGCCCTGCCTGTCAATTCTATAATAACTTGTTATCCCACACAATTCATTGGCCTGCTAATAAGTCATTTACTGGAAACAAAATAAGCTGTTATGTCAAACATGAACTTGTTTACCATGGAAAACAGCAGCCACAACATCCCCTGGTCATTTCAATAAGGCCGTTACTCTTAAAATGTGCGTGACAATGATAATTTGTCATAAAACTACTCAAAACAATGTCCCAAAATGAACTTATTTCGGGCAGTTTAACCTAAATGAATAATAAATAACCTTTAGACTAGATTGAAACAATTTAGCTAATCCTGGACCATATGTATCATAAAATAAAGAAGGTTAAGATTGCTCTTTACAGTAAACAGTTTTCTACTGTCCTCACTAGACAGATATACACGTGACACAGCAACCGTCAAAAATGGCAAACATTGTCATTATCAAATTAAACTTTGACAGTGACAACCGGATTAACGTGTAAAAATATCGCACCCCATGTAATAAAGAAACTATTTTGTTTTGTTTTTTTTTGGTCTGCGAGTTTCTTTATTCATTTAGGAAAATTAGTTTGTTGTGTCAACTTGTATTCAGTGTCCTTTGGAGTCTGCAGTACAGTGGGAGAGAACCCAAGAGCGATGAGCTTGCAAATCGAGCGACTCTGCTGAGCACACCTGCTACTACTAAGACCAGTAAAAAAAACGGTTTACCGAATCCTCAAAATGGTATCTCGGGCTGTTTTTAATCTTATTTTTTCTAATAAATATCGAAAAACATTATATAACGATGAATAGCAAGTATGTTGCCATACAATGTTTATGTGGACAGATAAAAATCACCAGTACTGAATGACGCAGTGATGCTGAGGGATCCCACACGCCTCTGCTCACTCTAAAGTTGATTATAGTATAAACTCTCTTTAAAGCCTATTTGGGAGTTGTTATGGTTGGTTTGAGAACGTCAACGGGAGCGGCCCGGACCCACAAATCGGGCAAACAAAAACACGGATCATTAAAAATGGCGAGCCCCATGCCGTTTGGTTTTCCATACAATGAAGCAGCAAATCCCCGCGCTGTTGCCGTTGCTGCACGGGCCCTTGCTTTACTGCAGCGGTGACTACCGTTACTCGGCGGCAGTGCCAAACTGTTCCTATTATACGCTGCAAAATGTCAGTACATAAACGAATAATTAATAACCCGGTTATGCTGGATGTGGTGTAAGGAATAGTAACATTCTGCATTTCAATTACTTGTATCGTTATAGCGGAGTGAGTCAAGCAAAACTGCACTGACGCATCTGCGTTAGCAATTTAGCCGCTAGCCAGTCATCTGCAGGCCCGTCACTAGCAGCATTAGCTAAAGCCGCCAGCCCGTTGACAAAACATATTTAACACTTGGGAGTAAACCTGATACGGAAAAATGCCCTTTGGTGATATAGTGGTAAAAACACGTCGATATCAGGCTATCTGCATGTTAAAAACCTAAAAGTTTTAGTAGCAGCATGATAGATGGTTGCAAAATACAAGCCACCATTTTGATAAGCCACACACCCCCTCTGCTAGCGTTAGCCTGAGCAGCTAACTAGCGCGCTACCGTGCAATGAAACGGAACAGCGTAAGATTCTGAGCTAAATGACGGTCTCACAATTAGCTGCACAGTTAGCAGTGATAGTCAAGTTAAACCTAGTAAAAGAATGGATAACAATGACAATTACTATGCACTGCCCTTCTGATGTAACCAATATTAACTTGGCATTTTCAGGCCTTGTAATTATCTGACAAATTGTGCTTTTGTAGGCCCACGATACATTTACAAGAACAGAACCCTGGAAACATCCCAAAGAGGCTCCCGTGAAGTCACTACTATTGATCTTCATTTTAGTGTTGGTATTGATAATCATAGGTAAACACTAACATCATTGGGTATTTATGATTTTATAACATTTAACTATCATTGTTGACATTTGCTAATACCTACCAAAAGCTCAGTTTAATCAACATGGTAAGATTTATTTACCTAGTGATGGATCCAATATATCCATGTATGTCAAAAAACAGCGCCAACTTAAAAACCTATGGATTCGATCTGTGGTCTTGTTGCACCAAGGGGACACTAAGCTGTGATTTGGCAAACTGCATTTGAGAACTTGTTATAGCAGACGCACCATAACAATGTGTATGCAGACAATCAGCGGCCGATAGAAATGAGCGTGCCAGTAGCACATCCCCTCAAAGCTTGGATAAAGAAATTGCTTTTTGGATCAAATACACGCATCAATCATACAATGGGGGGAATGCGAAATATGTGCGTTTATGATGCAAAATGGGGTCAGCGCCACACAAATATACTGCAACGGGCGCACATTCAGCAAAAAGCAGCCGGCTATCTTGGGTAGCTTGGGGCCTTGATGTTTACTTCATTCGCGCGACTCAACTTACACAAATGTATTTTACCCACAGCTGCAAATAGTGACATCAAAGTAAAACATGTCATGGCCTTTGTTGTCACCATAACTTACCTTCCATCTCCATGTCTTCTGGTTCGCTGAGCTGCTGCTCGCCGGCTTTCTGCTGCTGCTGCTGTTGTTGCTGCGTGTGGTGATGGTGGTGGTTCATGTTGGCAGCTGTCGTCGTGGTTGAGATGCGCTGCTCCTTGCTATCTCTGTCACCCTCGACCTTGTCCAGGATCGGCTCTATGGGGAACCGGGTTCTGGACTGCTGGTGAGGTGTGGTAGGATGCGGAGGAGGGGTAGACAGGTCGAGCCTAGGCGGCCGGGCCTGCTCTGTCGCGACCTCGGCCTTGTCCGCTGTCAGCGCCGGGGAGTGAGGAGGGGAGGTCGGCGGGGGAGCGGGTAGAGAAACGCGGACGTATTTGCTCGCTATTCGCCCAATCTCGGCGCCTTTGGTGGGTGCGAGTCGCTGGCTGACGGCGAAGGTGGGGTGGACAGAACGGGGCTCCGGAGGGAGGCCCAGCTAAATTAGTCAAATCAATCCGGCTTTACCCCGGGAAATGTGGGGCAATAAGACGAGCCTCAGCGCAACCTGCACCACTACGAACAAATGCTCTGTTTATAGTTAGCGTAAGGCTACCTGACACTGGGCAGCCAGCGGGTTATAAAGGTACAACAACAATGAAAACAAAGGCTCATTTGCAATAGACACGCTCAACAACTTTCCCTGCGATATCCCCAGTCCGTGTGCTCCTCCGATTGTCCCTCGTCTGGGGGAGAGCGGAGGAAAAACCTATCCATTCAAACCAGTTTCCAATACGGAATAGTGTTAATTTGGAAGTTAGCGGAGACTGAGTTGCCACGGCCAGACATGAAACAGCGTCCCTTTAAAGCGTCCCTAAAACGGTAAACAACTATACGTGGTACCTCGCTGCATTTCCAGCTGCGCCTCCGTGTTTCTTGTGAGGAATGTGCCCGGTCATACAGTGTTAGCCTGGGCCGTGTAGCTCTCAGCCCGCTCCTCCCGTGCGCTGTGATGTGTTGAGTCTGAAGTAAATCTCAAAATGGCGGTCGCGCTCTTCTCTGAAATGTCACATCCGCATGGTGATCCAAACACTGGCCCATCCCCGGCCAGGTTCACATCCATGCTAATGCACTACGATCAAACCTGTGCTTCTGAAACTTGTTTTATAACCGCATTAATTGAAAATTATAATATATGACACAGGGCCAGATGTAATGCAACTGCATATAGCAATCGGTGTTTTACAGTCACCAGCAAAAATCGTTGTCATTGTCAGATGACAATACATAAAAAGTAAACGAGTCATATTCATAAAAACAATAATATATTATTATTTAAAGCGCTTCAATATAATGACATTCATAATATAAAAATCACAAAATTAACATTTCAATGAACCAATGATAAGCAATTAAAATACTTTTTAACTGAAAACACAACCATAATAAAGTATTTTTTTGTTTTATAAAAACAGTAGTTATAAAAAGCTATATGTTTTCATCTCATTAGTGACTTTATTGAATGCATTCTATTGATTCGTGGCTGATAACTGTGTAAAAACAATGTCCCTTTTGATACCCAAGGTTTTATTTATATAGTGAATAGTTCACAAAGTCACATTTTGCCCACAGAAAAAACCCCAACTTGATACCTTTCGTGTTTGGATGACACCTGAGGGCTTTCATTATAACATTAGGGTCACACCGTACAATAACAGCTAAAACTTTATTACTGGTCATAATCTTAGTCTCATTTACACACTTTACGCGGTTGTATGCACACTATTCGCTGCACGCACCTCATGTCCTTTCCTGCGCTACAATTAACACTGCTTCTATACACACACATTTTTTATACTGTTTATCTGTACATTTTATACTTGGGGCATATCTTTCTATATATTTTACCAATGCAGTTTATAGTGCTTACCTATACATTTTAAACATAACTTTTTACATTTTATTATACCATAACATGTCTATGTTGTGCTTCTTCTTACTTCAATTTGTCTCAGTAGTAGCATGGTATAAATGTATTGTCAGTAAATAAAACGAATAATATTAACTCCTTTAGTCGATTGGGTTACAGAACGTTCTTAATTGTTTTCTTTCACAGGAGCACAACAATATATTTGTACAGTTCTACGGAAAGCAATTACTCTGCACTATAAATTGATCCCAAATATCAATTTCAAGTTGGAACTGACCAGCAATTTAAGGGATGTGGCAATTGAATGCAGCACATAGTAACCAGAGTTTAGAACTGTCGCCTGCTTGCAATTTAATGTTCAATGGCAATATTTAATCTTTAAATTTTTTACAATGTCTACACAAAGCACTATCTATCTTTTGAAGAGGTGTGATAATAGCAGAATGTAACACAAGTAATCTATATGGGGTTGTTTTGGCTTAGTGGTTATGGAAGCGGACTTGGGTCCGGAAGGCTTCAGGTTTAAGTCCACCAGCTGCCAAGTTACCACTGAGGTGCTCTGAGTAAGACACCCCACACACTGCTCCCTGGGCAGCTTAAAGCTGGCCTCTGTTCACTTTGGTGATGGGTTAAAAGCAGAGGTCACATTTGGTTGTGTGCTGTGTCACAATGAAAGTAGTCCACTTTCCATATGTTTGTTATCAACAGTCTAAATACCTCCCATGTTTAGTAATGAAAAGTAAAGTGGAGCTAGATGAATAGTGTCATTTCACACTATATTTATTTTTAATTATTGCAATTACCACTAACTACTTTTTGTTCTAATGGTTGTCCAACTTCTATTGTTGTATTTGTCCTATCACAGTTCACATAATACAAATCAACATATTGCAAGATAATAAAGCCTCAATGTAATGTTTTTCAATGAACGTTATTACATTTATTGTCATAATTTTGACAATCCTTGCAGTCTCTTGCAAGCTTTATTTGCCCGGAATTTAACCAAGATTCTTTTGTGTCAATGCTGGGACGGACATGTCTGAGACCCAATTATGTTAGGAGTATAATCTCCAGTCAGCCCAGTAGCCCAATTTAGCCAACCATTGTCGAGATTTGGACTAATGGGCGGGAGGAAGGGTACAGCACGGAAGGCTGTGTTGTATATAAACGGACGTCGGCAAATAGGAAAAACAGTAAGCGAAGCTAGTTCTTACAGATGGGGGTTGTTGTCAGGTCTGGGTTTACAGTTTATTACGATATAATGAAACTATACAGAAATTAATGATTTTTGACACAAGAACAGTTTTATAGTGTCAGATCACTCTGACTTGTAAAGGTAAGGGCGTAGTTGCCAGAGTTGTGGTGCATTAAATGGAGGAGAAGAAGGAAGACGGAGACCCGGAGATACAGGAACACGGACCCGAGCACTGGTTCTCCAAATGGGAGCGGCAGTGTTTGGCCGAGGCGGAGCAGAGGGAACTGGGCGAGGAGGAGGCCGACAACGACCAAGAAAAACTATGGCATCTCTTCCAAAACTCCGCTACAGCTGTAGCCCAGTTATATAAAGGTCTACAAGTGTTTCTTTTTTCGTCTGCCTATTCGCACATATTTTCACAAAGCCTTTGGTGAAGCCTCTGGGTCGTTTCTGAACATCCTGGTAGTTGGCTGGTAAAATGCTAACTAGCCCATGAGCTAACTCGCTAGCGAGCACATTTACATTTACAGCTGATTTTGCAATACTAAATATAGCTAGCTTGATTTTTGCCAATCTTAAAACGTCCATAAATTCAAACATTAGATTCAACTAGTTACAATTTCCAACCGGTTACAGCCAGATTGATTGGAAATAATTTGGGTTACCATAAATGCGCTTGTAAATAAACACCCTTGTTGACATCAAGTTAACAGCAGCTAACCCAGAGGTTAGCAATGCTAGTTACAAAATGGCGACGGCAACAACAACCGTAGCTACGCGACATTCCCAGATGACGGTAACATGTAAACTGTCAGTAGAACCATCTGTAGCACCGGAGTTGATTCGCTAGCAAAATAACCTTTACGTGTGTTGAGTTCAACAGTTAGCCTATTTATCTTGCCCATACCGTAGCTGCTGAGTGAGCGGTTTGTTCCACAGCGCAGCAGCAATATAATCACAAAATGGCGAGGATATTATTGGTTTTATGTTGATAATTAGTCTCTTTACTTTACCATTATATTATATGGCATTATACATCTTTGTCAATACATTTCGCTCGACTCTCTTTGACATGCCTCCGCAACTTAACTGCTGAGAAGGCAGTAAAGTTACCAGTTCTTTTTTTGCTTTTGAAACAACTGCTGAGTTGGCAGCAGTCTAACGCTGTCTTAGATATTTTGGTCAAACCCATGTCCGTGTGATTGTACATACAAGACAAAATGGCGATTGCCAATGATCTTCACCATAACCTCCAAAATCACCAGGCTGTTGTTCCTCAGACGTGTGGCTATAGGACAGGACATTAGGACATCCTAGGCTGTCATGTGTAAACTAATCATATTTTCTCCACAGACAGAGTATGCCATCAGCAGGGTCTGTCATTGTGGGTGCCATTTCAGAATGCTGCTACAGCAGTCACCAACCTTTACAAAGGTATTTAACCATATCCCTCTTCTCTCTGTCTATACTTCTTCACTTCCCAGTTATTGGGATCAGTGCTTCACTAACCATTTTAAATTTAGAGTTATGTTGTTAGAAACGGACTCATTAGCGCAGTAAATGACGGTGTCAATATCTCATTGCTTTATTTATCAAAGGGTGGGATTCTTATAGTGCAGAACAATATTGACAGGTGAGAAGTTTAAAGCAATACTGGTCATCTAGAATTGTGTGTCTAGAGTAATGGAGGCCAAAAGTTGCAAGCATGTATTCTCACAAACCATCCACCAAAAAAAACCCTAATATACAGTATATACACAGTGTAGCACCCCCCCCCCAATATACAGTATATACACAGTGTAGTAATCAATAGAATGTTTCACATAAAGTACTTCACTTTTACTGTGGTAATATTTCAGAGAGTGTGGATGCTCACCAGAGAAGCTTTGATCGGGGCATTCAGATAGGCCATCAACGACGTAATAAGGTGGGTCTGCTGCCAATGTTGGTTGGCATATTTGAGATCTTGTTTCTGGACAAGATACACATACTGTCTGGTCATTTTGGTATCATTCAGTAACTTTCATTTTAAGAAAAGAGAATACCTTTACTTACTTGAAGGGTGATCACATTCATATATGGCATTGGATTGCAGGACATGTTGGCCTGGGTGAAAAAGCGCAGGAGAACCATTCGCAGGGAGGACCTGATTAGCTTCCTGTGCGGCAAAGCACCACCACACAGGAGTAGCAGGGCCAACACTCGTCTGGCCATGGTGGCCCCCAGTCGGGCCAATTCGCCAGCTGAGACGGGCTCATCTGTGGAGGCAGATCTTCAGCCCTTCAGGGAGGCTATAGCACTTCATGGTAAGAAAGACTGACTGACAGCTGCTTGACTTATTCTGAACACATAATAAAGACATTAATTTATCACATTCGAGAACAAGTGCGTTTGTCCTCAGCTTAGTAGACTGCTGTGTGTCTCAGAGATAAGTGTTCAAGTGTTTGCCAATGGTGAAAAGAACTCGATGAGCTTGAACCAACTGTTCACACGTGCCCGTATGTGACAACAAACACTTAACTAAACTGGATTTAGCTGTTGACTGTGCAGAAATTTCCCAAAGGGAACTTCCAAGGGATAATAAAGTTATATCTATCAGACTACTACTGTTATCATGTTAATATTTTAGTTTAATTCAAACATTGAACAATTTTTGAGAGGCCATTTAAAGGTGCAGCTGTGGTTTAGGGTGGTTCATGTAGGGCATTTGTTGGTTAAGGTTACAGAAACACAAGTTCCGTCTGTGTCAGGACATTTCTGCCGGTCTTAGTCAGAGGATATATTTTGCATTTCACTTGTGTGTTGTTTGTGTAAGTGTGGGGCTTGAAGGAATTTGAGGAAGCATCACATATCATTCAGCTGCACTCTTCAGTCTTGGTAGATATGTTTTTCTGTGGCTATTGATTTGAGAAACAAGCCATTTTGTTTTACCAGACTATGCTGGTAGAGACCATCATGTGAACAGCTGGTTACACATAGTTTCTTATAACACAAAGTGTTATAAATAGTATTGCCTATTTAACAACTAAGTTTCTGTAATAAGGCTGTTAATCAAATTTTAGATTTCAATTTTGATTCAAACTGGTTTAAAAAATAATGGAATAAAAACAGGTTTCACTAAAATCTGAATGCATGTACATATCTAACCTGTGGTTGCATCATGGCTCCACTTAGCCTCATGGCATTGGATGAAGCCTTTTTTTGGAATAAGCATAATTAAAACATTTCTTGAGGATTCCAATTAAACTGCTTAGTTTGTGTCTTATCTTGCTGTCCTGGTTCTCTTGTCTGTTGCTTTTCTCACTGCTTCATCCCATTTCTCTTCTCTCCAGGTCTAAGTGGAGCCATGGCCAGCATCAGCGTGCGCTCTGGTGCTCCAGGTTCTCCCACGCATGTGAGCAGTGGTAGCAGCAATGGAGGTGGTGCTGGTGGAGGTGGTTCTTCTGGCGTGGGTCCCGTGTGCCGCAGCAGGCGTAACGGGCTTCAAGACGTCGACCTGAACACTTTCATCTCAGAGGAGATGGCACTGCATCTGGACTCTACAGGCGCTGCCTCTGCAGGTGTTGGAGGAAACAGGAAACGAAACTCCACCCAGTGTAGTGATGTCATCACAGACTCCCCAACGCACAAACGCAACAGGATGATCTGATCTGAAGCCTGGTTGTGTCCATGAGAGGGAGGGGGAGCCTTTGAAGCCAAGGCTAGGGAAGAGGGATGGGGTCACGTTGAACAGATGTGCAGAGGGACAGACAGACGGGTGGACGGACGGATGGACGGACTGTCGCCTGGATGTGCTGAACAACCCGGGCTGGAAAAAAAAGAAACTGTACTGGACTGTTAGGTCGCTTCAATCTAAGCAGATGTTGGATGAATCGTTTTCCTTGTCTCCTTTTCTGACACTAATACCACAAATCACTGCTCTGCAATCACAACATCTCATGAGTTCTTGAGAGAGTCTGTGGTCTGGTCAACATCACATACTCTGCAGACATTTCTATCCTGGAAAGGAGACGACAAAGGAACCATGGCATTGTGGGATGCAGACTGTTTCGGAAGGGTTGACTACGCACTGTGCTGCTTTACAAGTAAAAAGCCACTTGATCCTTGACACACTTGTGCACTTCACTCCTTTTAACCTCGCTCATCGTCACCCGCCACCTTAACAAGGAAGTGAGGGCCATGATCAAATCGACTCACTTGGTGAATCGAGTTGCTCGCCAAATGTTGGACCCAGTTCTGTCAAAGAAAGCAGAATGAAGTTATTCTGTGATGTCATCACAGCTCCTGGTCGATGTCGCCTGTCTGTTGGGGGAAGAAAAAACAAGTTTCCCAGTATCAGTCCATCGTTGGCAGCACTGTCCTCATGTGCTGCCTGTAACCACTCACACTTATCTGGTTACAAGACTTGATCACATGTATCTACCAATAGCAGGCTATTGATAATTGGACATAAAGATCCTATTCTCTGCAAACTATTCTGCGTCATTCATTGCTTGAGTTACTTAAACCATTTGCCATTTTTTTCTTTTGCATTTCTTTAAACCACCAGTGTTAAAACTTTGGTTAGCCACTATTTGTATTCATCTCCACCGTGTTCTTATTTGTTTGTTTTTTTGAGGATAATGAAAAGGAATAATCATCTTTGTCATTTTCTCAGACGGCCCGTTTGCTGACAGTGACACCCTCGTACCTCTTTACCCTAGATGTATTTTTAAAAGCAGCTCGTGTTTTGTGTGATTTATTCTGATAAGTTGCAATAAGAGTTTTTTTAAAGGATTTTTTTTTGCACTTAGCTTTCACTTGTTACACATGCAAACAAAATCGGCTCTTCCATAGTATCTCAGTTGTAGCCTTGTCCAGCCCTACACAGGCCCTGCTTATGGCCTGTTTGCACATGAATTATCTGTTGGTGCTCAGAAAAATAAAAGTAAACTTGGAAACAGACCAGAAAGGAGATCTTCTGCACACCTGCTTCTTCTTTCTCAGGTTTCAGTTCAGGTCTGAGGGATTTTTTTTTTTTTTTTTGCATGTGGGCCCGGGTTGTTTTAAAAAAAAAAAAAAAGGGGGGAGTTTAGCTCCCGTCTGATGAATAATTTGACTTACTGGTCGATAATCTGTGCTGCAGAGGAAGCACAAATCGCAAAATGATCTTGTTAAGGCAGCGTTTCTCAACAGACATCCAAAATATTTGGTCGTCCAGTGGACGCAGGCCACTGGGTCACTGAGCTACAGCATTGGATTGGCTGTTGGGAAAAACTGCTCTTTGTATAAGGGGTGTGTGCATTAATAAGATGTGAATGGTATTTGTTTTTTTAACTTGGTACAGGATGATGCAACTCCACTTGTTTCATTATTGAAATAGTTGTTGCCTTCCATTCGTCTGTAAGAGCAGGAAACACTGATATCACACGAGCTGCAAATGCCAGTAAACAACAGTTTTTAAAAAAATTATATATATATATATATGAACCTGTGTATATATTGAATTATAATTAACAAATGATTATTGAAATTAAATCATATTGGGATTTGGAGTGAAGATGCCCAAGTGTTGAAAATACTGTTCTTATTTTGCATAAAAATTGTAAAAATAAACAACCCAAAAGTGTAGAAACTGAATCCTGATTAATGGCGCAAATCATTGATGTGATCTAAGTTCTTAACTAATAATTGTATATATTTGCAATAGTGCAATGCCGCATTAGTGATACACAAATGGACGCGTGTACAAAGCAGACCAGTTGTGAGACGCCAGTGTTTCCTGCTCTTTTTACACCTTTTTTTTTTGCTTTGTTCGCTCTGCTTGACTTTTTTCTTTTTTAAACCTGGACAGTAGTTTTGTTTAGTTGTGTAAAGCATGCCAGATTTTAAAATTCTGTTACATATTGGTCACAGAGTTCTGTTCTTTTGCCTACAAGCTTAGCTATTATTTTCACACACAGACTTGTATATGAAAACACATACTTGCTGATCAGAGAACTAGAAATATTTAAATTGAAATTTGCTGATTCTGTTTGACACTGTCTGATGGTATGGTTAAAGAAAAATCAGTTTTCATGGCTATTGGGTTGATAAGATGTTTACTGTACGGAAGAAAAGCTAATGCTTACGAGCGAGTGCTCATTAGGTTCACACAATGCAAAGTCGGGAGAATAATGTGAAGATGGAAGTGACTTTTCTGGTTGTGTCTAAAGTAATTCATTTATTATCCAGAGGTTTTCAACAAGTGCTACGAAGTGACATGCTTTGTTGTAGCCTACGAACTCACTGTTTTCTCACAATTTAATCTTTTTAAGCACTTGAGATGTCAAGAGAACCGGCTGCAGATGAAGTTAAATCCCTAATTGGCATCGGTTTCTCTGGTGACTTAAACCAAACTGCGTTGAGCCACAAATTAGTAGTTCTAAACTCGCCAGTGTTTCTCTGACTTTAGAGAGAAGATGAGAAGCCTCCACTAAACCTGAACTCTTGACTACCAACAGGACAGTTCTCCAAAGGCTCGAGGAGAGTTTGGCCATGAGCAGCACGGTGCTGTTTACCCTTCCCATGATAATTGTTTCAGTTGCACCCCCCATCTTTATTCTTTCGTCACAAGAAAGGGAATTTTTGCCCTGTGTTTTCCTTTCCTTGTTTTAAGCCAATCGCTGGCCTTCATTTATGATGTTTCCAAAAAGGCTGACTCATGCCATATGTCTCTGGAGCCAACACTATTATTATTATTAGCTGTTTCTTGCTACTTATTTGTTTTAAAAGGAAATAAATGGCTAATCTATATACTAAACATTTAATTGTTGGTATGATATGTGGTTCACATTGTAAACGAAAATAAACCATTGAGTTGCGATCGGATGGACTGTGGTTCATTAAAAAAAGTTAAAATATAACACGCGACTGTTGAGTGTTTTTATAGGGTTTGGGAATACGGGCTTTAAATAATATCAACGCGCATCACTACAGACAAACGCAGAAGAAAATCCTTACTTTGAGTGGACGTTACTTTTAGGCTCATCAACCACTGGGTGGTGCTAAAGGGTAAGAAACTTATAGATGGGTAGAAACCAAACAGCTGAGATCGATCGCTTTGTGGTTGCGTCAATAAAGGTTTTTTTTTCTGAAGCACAGGACACAGCCCACAACATTTACAGTCTCTGTGGGTTTAAAGAAGACGAAGTTGAAAGTAATTGATTGATTTTTGCATGTATTGTCATAGCGACTGAAAGAGTAGGATCTCATATCGCTTTGTGGTTGCGTCAATAAAGGTAAGGAAAGGAAAGGACTAGGATCTCACACCCTGACTAAGCTAAAAACACATTTAAGTCACATTTCACAAGTGATATTTTTATGCTGCCTGGCGGCTGTAGAACTCGTCTTATCTACTTACTGCATTTGTCCAAGATGAGTCCGTTTGTCAGAGAGTCTGCAGCAAAAACTGTTCATATATGGCTGAAATAAAGGATAATTCTATAAATAAATCATTCAACTCAAACAACAAAATGTTGTCACAAAATGTATAACAATGTCAGTCATTATTTTCAAAGGATGTAAAATTAAACTTATACATATACAACATATACAATAACAAAGAAAGTCCGGCTCACTGTGTTCATTTTAAATTTTTTATATTTATTATTTTGCTTCACTAATTGAGATTGCGCCACTGAATACTGCAATGTTTTCACAATATAAACAAGTGTCACAACTGAACAGTATATTGTTGTAGACTTGATTAAACATAATAAAAACATGGCTGAAGAAAATGATATCACATTGGCCAGTAAGTGTGAGAGAAGCTAAGCATTTAAATAGAATGACAATTAGGAAAAAAAAAAAGTCTTCATCTACTCAACTTTGATGTTGTAAGGACTTGTGGACAGGAACAAAGCTCTGATGCAGCCAACATCCTCAAACATTACTGTTGTTTTTGGTCCACCAGTGTCTTCAAAGGGTTGTATTACACTTTCTCTTTCGACCTTCTGTTCCATCACTGCTTCACCACCTCCTCGCTTTCACCTGCTGCTGCTGCTGATGTTGCTGCTACAAGAACCAAAACTGCCCACACAAGGCCTTGGGTTGTGCACAGTTTATAAAAAAAGATGCAAAAATGAGCTCAAACCCAGAGCAACTGTTCTCATATGCAGAGAAAGTTGAGAACATGGGGAGGTGAAGAACAAAAGGTAGAAAACACGCAGAGTCCATTTCAGTCTTAGTGTCAGAATCCAACCCTGACCTGATATCAACAGTAAAGGGTTGGGACCCTGCTGAGGGTTGTTCAAGTGCAGGACTCAGATCTGACTGAGGGGCAGGAACTTCTGGTAGTAGCTCTTGGTCACGTCAATCATCAGATCCTGTGTGCATTCGGGGAGTTCACCTGAAAACAGACCTAAGAAGCAAAGACAAAAGCAGTTGAAGACATTAGGATGGATGAGGAGTATGACAGGGTCAGGTGTTGGTTCCATGGCACTGACCTGGACATCCAGAGAAGACGGTGAATGGCGGAACCACTGTTTCAGGAGGAAGCACAGTGTTGTCTAAGATCTTACAGCAGTCCTTCAGCACACAGCGACGACCCTGAGTGGACCGTGGGCAAGAAAAAAAAGTTTCATGAAGTTGTTAAGTTGTCTAAAGCTAAAGGCTCAACGTTCTATATACAATTAATGTACACCAGAGGTGGCCAAACATTTGACACGACAGATCAGTTTCAAGAAATCATTCTTTAAAAAAAAAAAACAGCACAAAAATAAATGATCCAGGTCATAATCAATTTTCCTTTCTTGATTTAACAAGTGCCTTATCATGTCAAGACACCTTTGTTTGCTCCTCCATTACTTAAAATACTTTTCCTTAACTGATAATCAATTACATGCATGGATATGATCTTGTTTAAATGCTGCAATAGAGACCAAAAATGTTGGTTTTTCAAACAAAAAAAACAAAACATTGAGAGTTTGACATTCGTGAAAAACAACTTCACTGCCACTGTCAGCAGTAGCAGCAACTAATTCACCCCAGGCAAACAAAGACACTGACTTCATTCAGTTCAGCTAGCGTTTGTTAAAAGGAATCTGATCACATGTGGAACGTTTTCCTTCACCTCTCAGTGAAATCCTATTTAAATTTCACTCACAATGACACAGTTCTTGCCGATGTGGACATAAGATCCGATTTGTGCCGCGTTGACCACACAGTCCTCCTCGATGAAAACGTGGTCTCCGATGTGCAGAGGGAAGAAGGCCACACTAAGGAGGCAGATAAATAGGCAATTTATTTCTTGAAATTGAACTTGATATTGGCAATTTTTCCAGACCTAAATAAACACACAAAACAAAAAAGAAACCAGTAAAATCCATGTTTGCATTTTGACACAATCTTTGAACATGCTGCTATCACATATTCCTTGGATATTGGGATATTTCCCAAAACGTAACATTCGCACATTTTATGCTTCTACATGTGAGTAACATTACCGACATAATCACAATGTGGTTTAATCTTGAATAAAATAATAAATATCAGGGTTGATATTTTAAACCCGGAATTTATTAACTGCTGCAATAACGACGTGAGAAAAATACACTTTACCCTTTGCTGAATTTTTTAAAAGGTGGCCGAATAACACTGCGACTTTTCACTACACAGTGTCTGCCCACTCTGACGTTTGCCAGGTCTCCTCTGATGATGCAGTCATTCATGACAATTGTCTGAAAGAGAGAAACAGCCAAGAGACGAACATGATGAGACATTTACATTAGCCGTTAAAATGACAGCCAATTATGTGTATTAGTATATATTGGTATATTGTTTTCTTACCTTTCCATTAAGGACGATATTTTGACTCCCACACAACACCGACTGTCTGCTTACTTTGTTGCCAGAAGCCTGAAGTTAAAAGTATCCAAATTATTATTGTTGTTGCTGGTAGCATCATAATTTACACGAACCGTTGGTGTTTTATTTAATGAATGCCCAACGCCCTATTGAGCATTAGCTACAGGCTAACAAAATAGCAACCAGTCTTTTTTGCTAAAAACAGCCCATTAGAAACTTCTTACCGTCTCAATGTACTCCGCTTTGTTGTAGAGTATTTCAGACAACTCCATGGTTACGTGACTACTTAACTTTATCCAGCCAGTTGTTGGTAATATACTAAATAAAACACTATCAAATGTAGCTGTTTACGCGTTCCTCTCTGCTGTCAGCCGACTGTGATGAATTGCTTGTCAGACATTGTGAGCTGAGAACCAAATTATCGATATTGATTTTAAACAATATATTCAAGCTTTATCAGTTGAAACATCCTAATAACTGTATTACAACACCACCATTACAGTTAAATCAATCGCTCGAATATAGAACTGCACTATGAAAACTAAACAAATTCGATTTGGCACTTTTTCTGCACTTGATTACTCTTCCCTGGCCAAACGGATGTCATCGTCGCTTGCGAAACACATTTTTAAATTAATAAACTTACATTTCCATGTGCATACTGGTAACTCATATTAAACTAATCAATTATAAGTTTAAATTAAGAAAAAGAAAGCTTACACAAATAACACAGGACTTTGCTGGGCGCATGCGTATAGGCAGCGCTTCCTTGACCCTGTTTCTCCTTCGCTTTGCATGCTGGGAAGCAGTCACTCTTCTCCGTCATGGCGGCTCGTGTCCTGTTGCAGTGTGCCCGCTCGCTCGCCCGGCCCTCGCTGAGGCTCAGCTCTGGAAGCTTGGCAACCAGAGCCGCTGTTGCTGCACCGACAGCAGCCCTTCGCCGGCCCGTGTCCTTCGCCGCAGACAGCCGGAGGACGCGGTGGCTTGTCCAGAGCCGGGTGAGCCATTCAACCGTCGTGGCCTAGCGCTTAAGCTGTGACCTACTGACGTCTTTCAAATCTGTCCGTCTCACCTTTAACAATTAAGGCTCTTTGCAACACCTGTGGTGTGGATTATTGCGGTAGTGAAAATCATCAGTGTTCCACCCCCCCCAAAAATCCCACCAATAATCTCGTATATTCGTTTTAAAAAACAGGCGTGTTTTGCAGAAGGCTAACCAGCTAAGCTAACAAAGTTATTGGACTTAATGACACTTAATGATGAGTGTTGTTGTTAATGACGAAATTCTTAGTATTCTATGTTGATTATTATTTAACACGTCAGATAAGCATACTGCGGAAATGCTTTTTATATTATTTTCTGCAGTAGTTTGAATGTTTTGTTTAACGACAGACATCTGTATGTTTAGAAACAAATTTTAGCAATCTAGCTTTTTTAATGCAAAGTTTTGATTACATTTAGGATTGAAATATTATTCTTAAAAATTCTGTTAGTATCCCAAGCCAATGCCTTCATGTAGCAATATATTTATCCTTTGAAAAATATGATTCTACAGAATGCACTCTGTCAGAAAAAGATCTTGTTTTGCATGTGAGCATTAATTCATTATTAGCTGCAAAGCAAACAAAGGTGGAAAAGTAGCTAAGTAGCATTTAAGAACCCTAAATCACAGATGCTTTTGTAACATTTCTTGTTGCTAACAGCAAAACAATTTAGTAGCATTGAGGTGAAGCTGTGCCCACAGCACCCTACACAGTTCCATTAAGTCATTGTACCTCTTCCTTCTCCTCCTCAGGTCTCATCGGTGGGTATTTTGTGCCGACATTATGGAGATCTTCCCCCACTCACCATAGAGGACATCAGAGAACGCGTGCTTTATGTGCTTAAACTCTACGACAAGATAAGTCCAGAGATGGTAAGAGTCAGTGTCGGAACAAGTAAAGAGAAAAATTAGTCACACATCGGTGAACGTACATATCATTTTATTGGTAATTTTAAGAAGTTAAAGTAAATAACAAAAACCATCTCCACAGCTTCAGCAAAACTCCCACTTCATGAAAGACCTGGGTTTAGACAGCTTGGACCAGGTGGAGATTATAATGGCTATGGAGGACGAGTTTGGTGAGTCAGAAATTTAGGATCAACTTGGTCAATTCTACGCATTAAAAAAATCTGTAAATCCAGGGTTGTATATGTTGAAATTAAAAAAAGATTTTTTAGCTCATGATAGTTTATTTCTAAGCATTTTCATAAATGTTCTCGTCTTAATAAACCCTTCTTTTAAAGGAACTCACTGGACTTTTTGTTGCTGTTAGGTTTTGAGATTCCAGATGGAGAAGCAGAGAAGTTGATGACCCCTGAGGAGATTGTACAGTACATCTCAGACAAACAGGATGTTTATGAGTAACCTGTCCTCCAGCTCACTTCACCGGTGAGTTACTCAGTGTCTGTACCACTTCATTTAAAGCCATTTTTCGTTTGTTGCAGCTTCGCTGTCTATAAAAGTTTCTTTATCCTTATTTTTCAGAGCTGTTGACCCCAATGTGATGCACACAGGAAGTGAAGCAGACGGCCACTAATTACAAATCCCACTTCCTCCACATCAGATGTTCTCTGTTGCAGCATTGTTGGTGTCGGCTGCATTATTTTGTGTTAATCTGTATTTAAGTGACCATGTGCTCTGGGAGCTTAGAGACAATACAAAAATATTCCTGAAAGGTTCAAACAGGATTCTGACTTTTTTTTTCTTCAGCTCCGTACTGTGGTTCCTATGTATAATTTCTCATGAGTAATACGTCAATAAAAACAAACTATGTGTAGTCATGTAGTCAAGTGTGATGTTTAAGTCTTACAAACAAAAGTCTACAATCATCACATTGTTCCTCTGAAGTTGGATGTATTTGCATTGATGAAACTTAACTTTAGCTTTCATTGGCACAACTAATTTAAAAACTACATTTAAATGCATCAAGAGTAAAAACAGCAACCTGAACACCTGCTGCTCACCAATACTGAACTTAAAGTATTTTTTCCCACAACAGAAAAAAAATCATCAATCCAGACAGAACGGTGAAAAGACTGCTACAGAGAGTGGATTCTGGAGGAATTTGGCAAACATCAAAAACATTTAAATATTAACACAAAACTTTTCTCCTATTTAAGTCACAACAAAGGCCTCTGTGATAATTTGTCTTCAAAGAGCCTCTAAGCAGTAAAATACATTTAAACATTGGAGAAAAGATTTGTAAATTTTAAATTAGAAATAATCTTACAGTAATCTTGAAAACCATTCCTTTCAGATTTTTCCAAAAACATATGGAGGCAGAGATCAAATTAGCCAATCACAAAACAGCAACTGCACACGTCTGTGGTAGAGACGACCTGATAAACTTTATTCTGACGTTAAGTCCTAATTATTAAAAGCAGACATTCTAAAAACAAAAAACAAAAACCCCATTAAACTAATTTAAATGGCTATGACCCCAAGCAATATCACTGCACCTGCCAAGGGTACCCACCCCATATTTTTGCAACAACTGGGTTAAGGGATGTCTGTATTAAACAGATTCAGGCAATCTGAAAACAAAAAACTGCACAAAAAGGCCTGAGAGAATAGTCTGACCTTTGACCCTTAAGGTAATTTCTATGTTAATGTGACAGTGGTCATCACATGTGACATTTGATGGGAGTGTTGGAGAAAGAACGAGTCGATGACACGACCACACAGTCATTGTTAGTCTTTTATTGAGGGTTGTACCCAAGTTATACAGCTTTGTATGTTGGCTGCAGGAGCCAGAAGGTTACAAACAGTAATCAGTTTACGAGTACAGCCAACAGAAGACCTACTACCTACTACTCTACACCTTAGTACAGACTCTCATAAGAGCACTAAAATCCAGAAAAATAAGGAGAAAAAAAAAAAAACAGAACAAACCAAGACAAAAGGAAGGAGAATAAAGAAGTAAATGAAACCAAGGAGACAGACAGCATCAGAGGAGACATTCATTATTAGAGCACACTGGAGTTGGTTTTTCTATACCTTGTAATATCAGGCGACTTCATTTTTTGTCAAATTTTCTTTTTATACCCATACAAATAAAGATTGTCCTTCAAAAAGTGCAGTTTCCCACGAAGTTTAAGATAAAATTCTTTGATGACCCGAGGAAGACGTTTGAAAATAAAAAGTTACTTCCTGTTTTTTTTTGTTTGTTTGTTTATTTGCGAGAGGAAGACGCGTCTCCCTCGTCGGTTATAGACACGGTACGTTGGTTTTTTTTTGTTGTTTTGTTGATATTGTCATATATTCTATAGTTTTCAACAGTCTCCCGAAGCGATGTGCATAATAGGTTTTACAGGTGATCCCACTACACGCTGTGGATTGATAGAATCTCTCTCTCTCTATATAAAAAAAACATTGTAGTTGTGTAAAATTTGCACTTTCACCAGCCTCGCGCTCCTCGGCTCGTGGCAGAAGGAGACGAGTGGCGACGAGAAACAAATGGACTTTGCAAATCTTGACCTCTCCTGCTACAACTGGCCCGGCGTGTGCTGGGCAATAAAGGTAATCATCATTAATATCATTATTATTTGTACTAGCCGTACGATTTAACAATGGCACAACACGTTTGAGGGATATTATTGGGAATCCCCGTCACCTTTGCCCCCCCCCCCCGGTCCCACCCCCATTTTTGGGAATTTTTTTTTTAATTCAAACAAAGCAAAAACAAAATAAAAACCCAAGGTGGACATGGAAGCCTGGGTTCAACACTCCATCTTTGTGCTGGTTAGACTAAAGCTTTTCAGGGTTTGTTTGTGTGTGTATTCATACTAAATGTAGAATGACAAACGACAGCAGGTTCTCACAGTTTTTGTGTGTGTTTTTTTCTTCTTTTTTTGTTAGTTTTTTTTTTTTTTTTTTAACGTTTTGTTTGTTGTGTTTACAAAAAAAAAAAAGCCTTTGCGTTTTTGATCCTACTGTAGGAAGGAGCCGCTGGGTGTGTGTTACGACATGATATAGCATTTGCTCACAGGATAGTTAAGTCAAGAGAGAAGAAAAAAAAACATAGAAAAGAAAAGGAAAAAAAAGAAAACCACAAAATCACATTTCTTTTTCTTAAATATTAAAAAGTAGTAGAGTATAACCAGCCAGCCTCCCTCCTAATCCCTCTCCTCTTTCCTCACTTCCTTCCTCTCTCATCTGGCTCTGTTGGGAAGCTGCTTGGCAGCCCTGGGGATTGTACATTGCTCGTGGTGGTTTTCACTTACTGAAAATAGTTTTTCCTCACATCATCCTTTTGCAAATGACATTTTCTTCAAGCATTTTAACATTGTCCAGCTATTTTTGTTTTTAAATACACACAGACACACGGCAATAATCAAGAAAATAAGAAAAAGGAAGAAAAAAAAGAAGAAACAATATAAATTATCGATCCCTTTCCTTCCCTCTCACCCTCCCTCCTCAATTTGGCATGATACTGTGTTTGAACATACAGTTTTGTGTACAAGACTGGGGGTTTTGCAATAAGAAAAAGGAAGACACACACACACACACTCACACATAGACACACACACACATCTAGCAATAGACGAAACAAGAGAGAAAACGTCAGATCAAAAACTGGGAACCAATGAAAAAGTGAACGTCAGTAAAAGGCGTTTTTTACGGACGCTGCTCGTCCCTTCTCTAACAGCAGAACAACTCTGCCTCCTGAACTGCCTGATCTGGGGTCAGGTTTTGTTCCAAAGACTCTGAGGCCAGACACAGCTTCTCATGCGTCACATAGCGCTAAAGGGGAGGAGCACTTCCACCGTCAGAAAGAGTAAAGTGATTTCAAGGAAAAAAAAAAGGAAATATATAAGTATTTTAGCGTTCAACTGTCTCCAGCCCTGTCAGTTTGGTTTCTCCTCTCCTCTAGTAAAGTGTAGGAGCAGGAGAAGGGAGCAGCGCTGACCGTGGACAAGTCAACTAGGAGGGCAAACACAACGCTGTGTCCCAGTGGAGCCGGGCGGAAGAAGGTGATCACAGGTCACATCTCCAGGCCCGAGTCACGGCGGGAAAAAAATAAAAACAAACTAGAAAGCTTTGCTTTGTTCAGTCATCCTCAGGGTGCTGCCGTCCGTCACCATGACAACCAGGTGATGGACAGAAGCGTAGCAGAATACTTCAAATCTAATACAACATTGTGCAGGGGCCACTCACTCTGACTTTTCAGCACGTTTGAGGCTGTCGCTTCACCTTTTTGAACCGTTTCAACAGCTACCTTCACACGGACTGACCAACAAAGTTATTATTGAGTAAAGCACCATCTTCACTGATCACCAGCATCCAGGCACACACACACACACAATCCTGGACAAGGACTCTGTTCACACCTGGCATTGACTTTAGCTCTTAGAACAATTATTTCCATTGCTGAGTATCCTTCCTTTTTTGTGTCCTTAAAAAAAATCCTTATGAGTAAGAAACAAGTAAAAATGTCTTTTTTTTGGCCCACAACTTTGAAACGACCACCTTCGTTTGTGCAATACTGCTGAAGTCACACTGGTGAATATTCAGGTCAGATAAGTTGAAATGTATAAAAGAAAAGTGGGATTATTTTACAAACTCAAAACCGTCAATAAATAAAGACAAATTTGCTTTTCTACGAGATGACCATGTTGTTGGTGTTGTTGTTTTTTATATAAACAGTTTAAGATGGAACTAAAAGGAAAACTGAGAATTTGGTCCAAGTTGTTCTCTTTGTAGTATCATTTCTTAATATAACATTACAAGTGCACTGCAACATGAACCAGTACACTTGTAATGATATTTTGAGTATGTAATATGGTGAAAAGCCTGTGTTAACAGTCTGTTCTTAAACGTTTCACTTCTAAATATCTGAACAGCGTTAACAAAAAAAGGACTTCATCTGTGTTGAACCAAAACTTCTAACTGGAGTCAGTTACGCCTCATCTAAAAAGAAGAAAGGAATCCATATTGTCTAGTCCCTTTTCCTGACACAGCACCACCAGGTGGCAGGTTGGGTGGCCTACACCTGCTCCGTTCCACTCCCTACGTTAACGATGACGTGTGAAAGAATTTTACAGTTTGTTCTGGACCAATAACTCCAGAGGTGATGTTATGAGCACATCAATGTTTTTGCACATTTTCATCGTCACATGACCAATGTAACTACACCTACTGAGCCAGGTATGAACAGCGGCCATGATGCGTTCCTCTGCCTCAAATGCTAATGTGAACCATTACATAAAACGCCAATCACAGCCATTCTTTGCCCTTTCAAGTTGAAGAGCGGCCAAGAAGTCCACACAACAATATCTTTTAAAAACAAAACCCTAAATGTGTCCGCATAACAACAAAGAGACGTGTACACACATGTATGCACGCACACACACACACACTACCCTGTCACAATACTCTGACAGATGCACCTCCTCACAACTAAGACACAGCTGAAAAAAATCCAAACTGCACCTTTACTCTCCGTCTGAAAGCTCGGCCTCTCCTAAATCCACTCAAGTGCAAAAATCCAAGGCTCCTCAGTTCAAATTTTGTCAAATTAAATTAACTCAAATACAATTGACAGACATGGTTCAGGTGTTCCACTTGAAAACATTGGATAAACGAGACAAAAAAAACAACAACAAGTACAAATAAGATACCCATATATATATGTATATAGTTTAAGCAAAGAATTGTGGAATTAAGTAAACTAATCTTTTTTGTATAGTTGAATTATTTGGTAGAGAGCAGTTCAATACTGGCACACACCACTGTCAAGTCTGACTAATACTCAAGGTTCTCACTACGTACGCTTTGAAGTTGTTAAATAGTCACGGCTAAACTTAAAAGCACAACTTAGGCAAACATTTGTTTTAGTATTACTGAAATAAAAAGCAAAACTGAAGAGGAAAAACAGGCACGCAAACACACACACACACACACTCACACTCACACAATAGCATTAACACACACTTATTACATTAAAAGAAAAAGAAATTAAGGTCCATGGCTTCGCTGACGCTGACTTCTAATTCACACACTGTCTGAAGCGATTTGTTTTTCTCCGGAAAAAAAAAGAAAAAGAAAAAAAAAAGTGCATCATAGAGACGGAACAATGAATGGTAGATAAATCTGGTTTTCACACGTGTCATTTTGTAGAGCGACATCACTGGTGGATTTTACATTCATGTGCACACGACGACGACGACGACAACTCCCTCCAACCACTTAGCTCAAGCATAAGAACTCACATCTGACGGTACAGGACGGACTTACACACACACACACACACACACGTAATCACTCACACACACATCATCAGGTCAGGAACCTCAGATCAATAGACCCCTCCCCCCCCACCAAAAGGGAAATGAAAACAAATAAAACAGTACAATACAATCATATTCTATTTGTAAACAGGTAGAAGCCACTTGACTTGTTGCATCTTCGGACACAATTATGATCAAGGCAATGAAATGTGGACGACTTTTGCACTGTTAAAATATTATCTTCAACCAAAACTATATTTTTCTGTCTTTTTTTTTAAAAAACACCATTTGTGGCAATCAGCGAGATAAAAAAAAAAAAAGAAAAAAAAAAGCAAGTTGTAATTTTCAATTTCGTTGTAATAGACCCAACAGTTTGAGACACGGGGGACGAAACAAAAAGAAGAAGAAAAAAAAAAAAAACGAACAACAAATGCCTCTCGTTAGGCCATGTCAGAGGCTACAGTATGCATAGATACAGATTCACCTTTCTCTTGGTTTTTTAAGTCTGACAAAGACAAAGTTTTTTTTCTACTAACAATCACAGACTCGCACAACAGACACCCCCCCACTTTTGATTTGTTTCATCAGTGGAGTGGAGGAGTGGTGGAAGAGGAGGAGAGGGGGGAGGAGTCGGGTTTTCTTACAACCCACCTACCTCCACCCCCCAACATCAAGACCCCCCCCCGTTCACCAAAAGACAGCATATCAAAAGCAGTGTGTTGAGCTTCTCCAGCTTAAAGCAGTTATTTGGCAGAGAAAAAAATTACAGACCTATACATGGTTTTCAGTGCTAGAAGTTGGATTTTCCTTACCTACAAGGAGTAGTAGTAGTTCTTTTTTAATTTAACTACAAGGAGGGGGAAACTGGCTTGATTTCCTGAGAACCATTGCTGGTTATTTAGCAGACAAAGAGGAATAGTTCAAATAACCAACACCATGGCCAAAAACACTGATCCGAATTCCCAGAGTTACAAAGCATCATCTTCATCCTCAGTGAGAGTGTATTTTTTTTTTGTATTTTTTTTTCCATTTTATAATTTTTTAAAAACATTTTATTATTTTTAATTTTTTTTTGATATTTTTGATATTTTATCTTCTTTTTAAAATGAAAGATGAACACACAGTTCGCCTCCTAAGTCTTGTAAACAAGAGGTTGCAGTGTGGCACCTCCAAAACATTGAAAGCCTATTCTGAAAGTGCTGTTCCCCCCACGCCCACCAGGGGGCGAATGGGAGGGCTTGCTAGTTAACCCCGCCCCTATATTAAGACGGGCGTGGCTTGCTAGTCCCAGCTGCGGCTACAGTCCTTTGCACTGCAGAGCTCGACGTTCTTTAGTTTTAAAACAAAAATTGGTGCAATACTTTTTTACTTTAATGTCACTTTTTTTTAACTATCACCAGATAATCCTCCTAAGTCAGCTTTTTACTCTTTAACTATCTGTTGATCTTGAACTCCACGACAACGCAGTAAGGTAGGCGTGCCAAGGCAGAGAGGAGCACACACACTCATTCTCACACGGGCACACAAAGTACTTCCACACACGTGCGTGTGCACACGTATTCACACATACACACACATACGGTAAGGACCTCAATGAGTAAACAGCTACACTGGAAAAAACTGGCTGCTCCCTCTATATTGCAGATTATATATAATATATATACTGAGAAAAAACCACATTCAGTGCAAAGTTAAAAAGCTCATACTCCAACATTGTCAGCAAACAAATGCAAAAAAAAAAAAAAAACAAATAAAAAGAATTGGAATTCAAATAACACAATGAATGAAACAAAAAAAATATATTTATATATAATAACGAGCTTGATTGAAGCTTTTTTTTCGGTCTGAAAGAGCACTACCTGGAAGCAAATATCCATCCGTTCACATTATAGAATTGGCCTGCATGATTCAAGTATTCCGACTGATATGTTTTTGGGCTAAAACAAAGTGGACATATGTGCAGAGAAACGTAACTTGTTTTCCACAGGGGGAAACCCCTATTTGTTGAATATATTGTAAGTGAGAAAGAGTCCAACTAGTGCCATTGTGTTTTTTTAAGCTTTTTTTTCCATTTTTCTATCGCTGATTATTGATAATTCTCTACTGACCCTTGACCCCCAGCCAGTTTGATTGGCAGGCGGTTCACATGGTGTCCCCACCTCCTGTCAGGTGATCCACCGGGAGGAAGGAGCTGATTGGAGAAGGGCTGCTGAGCCTCCCTGCCTCGGTGCCACTGGGGCTCCCCCACAGGCTACTGGAATAGTTGGGCCCGCCCCAAAGGGAGGAACTGTGGAGATCACTGCTGTTCCACTGGTTGGGTTCAGGAGCACGGCTGGGAAACGGATGAGACTGATCCATTCGGCTCTGAGAGGAGCCGATGGTCTGCCAGCTGGAGGAAGGAGTGGCCAATGACTGCCCTTGTGCAAAGAAACGGTTGATTTCCTCCTCACTGGCAAATTCAGCCAGAATAGTAGTGTTCCCCAAAACACACCTGCAGAGAGACACCAGATGAAGAAAGTGTGTGCTGTGTGTGTCGGCATGCACAACTGCAGCGGAGCCAATCACTTGGCTCGTCACAGCTCAGAAAACTGGTCTGTGAGTATGGACATAGAACAGGGTGGAAACGAGTGTGAGAGTTGACGAGTTACGGAGGAAATAAAAAAGGATTAACAGGACAGAAAAAAAACGTGAAAAGAAAACGAGTGGAGCCAAGGCAAGGGCAAGGCTGCCATAGAAATTGACACTACCAGCAGGACATTTGCTAAAGTTCAGTTCTCAAGTCAGTGGCCAACCACAACCCTTGAGCAAAGCAAACAGGCATATTAACAACCCACGCAGCTCAATATTCTGATTCCGTCTCAGACGGCCATTAGCCATCTGGGCGATGGTTAATGGCCGTCCATCTTAGGACCAGGTGAAGAGAGAGTGTGTGTGTGTGTGTGTGTGTGTGTGTGTCGTTCTTACATGTGCAGGCTCTTCTGGGCTTTGGCGGCCTCGTCTTTTGAACTGTAGCAGACCACAGCATTTCCATGCGGCAGGTTGAGGTGGAATGTGATCAGAGGGCCGTGCTGCATGCACAGGGTCCTCAGGGTAGAGCCGTCAATCTGGAGGACAAACGGCCGCAGAAGTTAATCAGAGTGAATTATATATAACATAATATAATTAGACTTTCACGCATCAGTACCTGAGGTGTGAGATTTTTCAGAACAAGCCATTGGGATCTCCCTGAGCTGCTGCTGTCACCCCAACTGGAACCTGCCAGAAAAACAGAACAGAGTCAGAAAAAGAGCCAAACACTCATGTGTGCATCTCACCATAAAACAGAGAAGAAAATGTAGTAAAAAAAACAAAACATTTACAGATAATTAATGAAAATTTACAAGTAAACAATGTCTAAGTTATATTAATCCTTCATGTGTGAAGACTCCCAGGGATGGAGGAAATGTAAGGATATTTTTTGGCACGTTTTACCAGGTGTGTATCTGGATTCAGGTGAGCTCCAACCCCCCAACCTCAGTGAAGAGGGGTCCCAGCCAGTGGAGGCAGGACTGGGCTTCTGGCTGGTGAGACCAGGTGGAGGTCTGGAGGGGGCTGCCACAGACAGCGCCTTTGGAGGCAGGGGGACCTTCCACAGCTCATGGGCCAGGGAGGAGTTAGACACAGGACCGCCACCGGGAGACCACTTTGATTCACTGGGTCTGGCTGCAGGTGGAGACGAGAACAACTTGAGATGTTTTTACATCCATACAGGAGGTTTTCACTGATCTGACAGCTAACGCTTTTAAATGTTTCACCTATGAGTGACATAGTAGAGAGTGGAAGAAACCAATACGTCTCAGGCTGATATATTGATAGTTAACAGTTAAATTAATATTGACTGGTATCCTCTCTGTTCAAAACATTACTGTTCAGCATCTTGTATAGTCATTTTTATCATTTAACACTCAATTGAGCTGATAAAAAAAAAAACAAAAAAAACAACAATACATACCTGAAGTGCTTTGTGCTGTACTGGTGAGGGAACCGCTGTGGCTGGAGGCACGAATGGATGACCAGGCACTGTTAGAAGGCATCGTGGTGTTCAGTGATGAGGATGGCCCTGAAAATGAGAAACACACAGATTAGAATCTTTGATGCATGATTATTATTATATAACAATTTAGAACAGCATTTAATAACTTTATTAATTCAACCAAAGCAGAAAATTCATGACAACTTTCTTGGGTTTCACCTTTCAAAGTGTTAATAGGTTTTGATTGAGTTTTGTGTGTCCCACCGTTGTTCCTGTCCCTGAGGTGGTCTGTGTCTCGGACGGTGTTGATGGAGAGGTTGTTGATGACACTACCGGGGGTCACAAAAGGATCAGTCTCAGGGTCAATGTTGGGGTAACCTTTCCAAGGCTCTCCCGGGCGGAACTCTGTACAGACACAAACAAAGAGATGATTTATTAGGGAGGGTTTTTAGTTGTGTTTGTTAATTTATTCCCATGTTTCCACTGTAGATGCTGGTTGTACCTGGGGGCCAGGTGACAGTGTTTCCATGGGATGGAGGGGAGTTGGCACGGGGCGGCCAGCCATCACCCACAGAGCCCATTGATTGGCCAGGAGGACTCAGGGGAGACAGGAACTCATAGAAGGGAGAGTCCTCCAGACGCAGCCCAGACGACATAGCACCTGTAACACAAACACAAGCACTGATGAAATCCTTACAATCAGATTAGACCTGATGTCACTGTGATAACTGAGCAGGTGAGTGTACGTAAATGCTACAGTACTGTCACTCAAATGAATGTACCAGGTTTGCTGTTCTGCTCCAGAGGGTCAGTAGCCCAAAGTTTCTTCAGTCTGGACTGAGGTGGCTCCTTGTAGCTCACAGATCCACCACTATTACTACCACTAACACCCATGTCCAGGGATACATTCAGGTTAGAGTTCAAGCCTAGAGGAATACAAACAGAGGAAATCTGATCAATAAAGTGTGTCTATGCAATAGCCTAATAAATAAATACAGCAGAAGATTTAGAGAAACTAAAAAAAAGTCGACATACTTAAAGGGAAGTTGGTGAAGGATCCAAGAGCAGGAGAATCCTTCTGCATCTCATGTGTATTGTGGGACAAATAGTTGTCCAGGTATGGTTTGTGAGGCTGTGCCTGTTTCATCAAAGATGGGTCCAGATGACGTGGGGGCTGCATCATTGGAGAAGAACCAATAGGACGAGTCACCTGTTCAGTCTGTCGTCCTACGGGCATTGCTCTCTGATTCTGAACCTTTTGCTGTTGCAGAAGAAGACGCTGCAGAAAAAGTAAAGATCCTGTGAGTCTAAAACCTTCAATGTCAAGCAGGCAGTTTGTCAATATGTGCAGATTAAGGACATTCTACCTGCAACTGGTTGAGCTGATTCAGCTGGTTGAGCTGATTGAGCTGGGAGAGTTGGTTGAGCACAGCCACCTGCTGAGGGCCAAACAGAGGGTTCAGACCTCCATTACCTCCTGGGTACTTCAACAGGGGTGGAGTGACCTGAACACAAGCAAGAGTTTGGTTTAGAAACAGTCACTACGTAGTGATGACAAAACATAGACACTTTTTAAACCTCCAAACTCTGTTTACAATCTTTCTGGATATCAACTGATGATATTGTGTCCTTGGGCCCATTCAGGTTCAAACGTTGGCCACTGAGAAACAAGTTTTGTCTTGAATCATTCAAAGTGTGTCCACATTAGAGCTGTAGATATTTCGACTTCAACGGGAGACGGGACCCGACTTGTAGAAGAATTCCACAGCCAAAAACATAAAGAGCACTGTGTGTGTGTGTGTGTGTGTGAATTACCTGAGAGGGCGGGATGGGTGGAGGCACTTGGTTACGAAGGTTGGGTTGCGGGGGGATGTGGGACTGGGGGCCACCTCGGCCCTGTGCTACGCTGCTTCCACCCATCATGGGGTTTACATTCTGAGAAGACATAAGACAAACAAAAATATACAGTTTTGTATAAGACAATATTTTGATAAAAAAAGCTTTTTAATTGTGTGCTAAAACACTAAATAACAAAGGTTCTTTTGCATATTAATAGACAAACCTGTACAAAAAAACAAAAAAAAACTAGCTGACCAGACCTGAGAATTAAACCCGAGACATTTCCTGTTCTTCTATCCGCACTCACCTGCCGTGCAGCCCCAGAACGAGGAGGGGGCTCAGAGTCGAGACAGGGGAAAGGCTGAGCAGAATTGGAAGCAGAAAAGCTCATGCTCTGATTGGAGGAGAGATCGTCAGAAGCTGGGCTATCATAAGCAGAGGCAGAAGCAGATAGCTGCAGAAGCATAGGCCAAGTGCACAGCAAGCACAGAGGGACAGGAAGTGCGTCAGCAGCCAGGGAAATACCGAGAGACAGCGAGAGAGAAAGAGAGAGGGAACAAACAAAAAGAAAGCAGAAACCAAAAAAAAAAGTTACTTTCACAAAAGAAAAGGGGAAAAAAAAGCAAAATCAGAAAGGAAAATATGCAGTGTAGCAGAACAGAAAATTGGAAGCAAAAAGTTGAAATTAAAATAATTGGGAAATATAGACAGCGATTGGAGCAACAAGAAAAGCAGCAGAGCCAATCAAATACAGGACAATCACTGGGGTTCAAAATTATGCAACATCAAGGAATGTTGCTTAATTTTCTTATAAAACCTATAACACCCCATAGCTGAATTGTCCATTTCAGTTGTCAACAACACCAAATGTAGTGTGTTAGAACAACCATTTGGTGGCAGTGCAGAGCTAAGACAATAAAAAGAACTAACTACTCAGTCTGAAACAATATTCTACCTGTGCCTACAGGAAGAGAACAGTGAACGTCTCTGCTAACCTTGTCAAAGTAGGGGTTGCGATCCATGGCAGACTCCTTATGGAGCTGGTGTCGAGACCCAGGGTTCTTTCCCATCACTCCATTGTAGTCTCCCATGCTGCCCATGTCCATGCGCTTGTCCTGCACCATCCCTGGTCCTGTCTTCAGGGATTCGTCAGGAGAGTCTCTCTGAGAGGGCAAGATAATTAAAACCACATTAGAGACAGAGATTGGAAATGATGGATCTGGTCTCCAAGAAGAATCACAGAATTCTTATTCTACTGCACAGTTTGTGTTTACATATATATATATATATTAAATTCAATGATTAAATAAAAGAACAGAGGACAACACTTACTGAGAAGTTCATGTTGCTGAACTGGTTGACGAATGGTTTTATCCAGGGTTCATCCTGTTTGTTAACTGGTTTGTTCATCTGGAACGGAGCACAAAAATAATTTAATAAAAACGGCTTGGAGTAAAGCTTGTACGTTTGAAAGAAAACAGTCATAGATGCAATTTTTTTTAGCTAGTTACAAAAAAAGGAGTGAATTTACCTTGTTGCCTTTTTGCTTGTAATTCAAGGTGTTCTGGTCATGGGACCTGTTGTCCTGTTGGCTGTTGCTCCACATGCCAATCTCCACCTCCTCTTCCTGGCCCCAAGTGTTGCCCATGGATGTGTCATTGCTGCACCATGTCTCCATGGGCTTGGGAGCTGGAGATATCAGGATGGAACGCAGACAGATGAACCTCAGAAATCAACTCGCGACTGTATATAATGTTTAAACAGCAGTAAATACGCTGCGATCGTACCAGACTTATGCTGGCCACCCCAGGTAGAGACAGACTCTCTGCTGTTGTCCCGGTTGGGTTCGGCCCAGCCAGAGGAGCTATCTATTGGCTTGCCCCAGGCAGACGTGCCATTGTCCACTGTAACAGGTGGAGCAGCAGTGGGCTCCCCCCATGTTGATGAGGAGGACTCCTTCTGCTGAGGGTACGGATCACCCCAACCTGAAGAGGAGAAAGAAGTTGGACATTGTAACTGCAGAGTTTTGAGGCATTCTATTGTTCTTTCGTGACAAACTCCAGACGCTATAACTTTAGTGTTTCCTCTGCGGAAAACTGTAACTCTTGTATACCTGGTTAACCCCGCTTTAGTGTTACATTAACATTTGTAGGTGTTTACATGTTTACTGACTCCCATTATATCCTCAAATGTGTTTGTGTGTATTTGCTGAAAAGGGTCTGGTTACTGCTGGCCACCCCCGGTCAAACACTTTCTCCCTGTAAAGGTGGTATTTGGCAGGGGGTGCCAAGGATTCCTCATTGCAAAAATAGGACAGATCATGGGGTGGCCTCGGGCTCCAGTGTCCCTCATGTGACTGTGCATATACACACAAATACAAATACAAACATGTAGAAGACAGACAAACCTTTCACTTTACCCTCAGTCTCTCAAATGCTTTCTTAAACAAAAAGTGTGTTCCTACAGTGAGCAGCATTGGTGTGCAAAAAAGAAACGAAAGGTAGGAGAAAAAAAGGCAAATGGAGGAGAGAAAGGAAAAAAGAAAAAAAGAAATCAATGCTCTTAGCATTCCAGAGGGATGACTCAACCTGTTCTACAAAACCCCTCAAAACTGTAGGGGAACTGCATACCGTTTGTTTCTTTTACTTTTATTCTTTTGTACACACTGTGTGTAGTCTTTGTATACATTTATGAGTGTGTGGCTACCCACAAGATTCTTCTGTTTGTAACATGGGAGTCTTCGTTCTTTCAAGTCCCATTTTGCTCATCTCAACAAGCGACTGTGGGTGGGACTTGAATGCATCGTTGAATTTATTCACACAGCTCAAACAGGAGGCCACGTTTCATTCCAGTTACACAGAGATTCATGTCATGGCCGTTTCCTCTTAGACGTTACACAATAAAAGTAAATGGCACTCCTCCAGAGATGATGCAACTCAAGATTCACTTGTCTGATTTCAACACTGTTATTCAAGAAAGGAGAGATGAAAGTAATCCTTCAGGCCAGAGATTATTGGAAAATATTATGATCCATCTCTTGTGATTAAGTCTAATATTTAATTCAAACCTGTGAAGGACTCACTAACCAGTGATTTTGTATTTGTACGGCACAAAGGCTATTGTCAGCAACTGTTCTGCTTAGGCTCTTTGAACAGGACTTTTTGAAATATATATATATAAAATTCATAATGTAATATAGTAACACACACACATATATATATATACAATATATTTTTTTAAACTTACCAGAACTGCTTTTCTCCTGGGGAGGAGGCTGCATTGGCTGTGGAGGATGCATCGTGTTGTGTCCCGAGTGAGACTGGTGTTGAGACGTGTTCTCCTGGCCTGATGGGTTGGTTTTGTTCCACAAGTTGACAGATGTTCCACTGCCTTTGCCTGGAAAACGTTAAAACAAATGAATACTTAACACGGTCAACTCACAATTCTGAACAAGTCTTCATTAAAAAAAAAAAACCCACAACATAGTTTACCAGGGTCTCCCCATGCTGCAGTGCCATCGTCAATCTCCATCCTGCGCCTTATGGACTCTGGAGAAGGTTCCTCCCACCCAGTGGCTGCTGCTTCCTCCTTCTGACCCGCTGAGGGCATGGGGCCTCCCAGCCAACCTGGTCAAAACGACAATGAGTTTAACACTTTGTTATTGGTTGCAAGTAAAATTGAGAAATACATTAGTAAAGCCGAGAAAACGTCATCATGAATTACCTGTGGGCTTGGTTGGACCTTGATTGCCTCTGGACATGTTAGATTCAGGAGGTTTTCCCCACTCGTTGGAGGGTTTGGTATTCGGCTCACCCCAGCTCTGATTGTTCTTCACTGGCTCACCCCATCCCTGACTGTTACTCTGAGGATTGGGTTTGTGGACCGACTCGCCCCATGTGGATCCTTGATTTGGCGCGCCCTGATCAGGGGTATTTGATCCTCCACTCCCCACCCAGGTGTTGCCGCTGCTGGTGTTGGTTCGGCTTTGCTCGCTCCAACATCCAGAGCCAGACCGGTCACTGTCGCTATCCCAGCCCACTGAGCCGGCACCTTTGTGGGGCTCCCCCCAGTGGTTGCTGGCTCCTCCTCTTGGACCATCTCCACTGTTGCCCCAACCCTCAGTTCCATTTCCACCATGGGAAGACCAGTTTTGTTGTGGTTTGGGTGCATTAGTCCAAGTATTGGACCTGTAGAAAAACCATAAAGACAGTCAGTCATAAAGTAAGTGCACAGTTCATAACTAATGAGAATTAAATGCACTACTTACCTGTCATCTTTACTGAAGTTGTTGCTCCATGTGTTACTGTTGTTGTGGTTACTCTTGTAGCTGGAACCATCATCCCAGCCACTCTGCCCACTTCTACTCCCTGGGACTTTGCTGTCCCACCCACTCGTTTGCCTCGGTTCTCCCCAGCTGGAACCTCCTGCATCTGGGCCCGAGCCGACCTGTCTACTTCCCCAGCCTGCAAATAAAAATAAAGTGGGATTTATATCAAAGGGTTTTTTTAACTACAGTAACTACAATGCATTCACACCAATGAGTTATTTTGTACCTCCTGAATTTTGGGAAGAAGATTGTGGTGCTGCTGTGCCCCAGGTGGAGCCTCCACTGCTGTGCTTTCTTTCTTCAACTCTGGGACCCTGGGACTGACTGTTAGCAGGAGAATTGACATCCCAGGCTGTGTTCTGCCGTATGGGAGTCTGACCCCACCCAGTGTTGGACAATACACGTGGGTCTACATCAGCTTGAACTACAGCAGATGCGACCGTTGAAGACGGTGGGGTAGGTTTTCTGCGATTTCCTCCTTTTTGCTGGTAGCTGTCTGAGCTGGATCGGCCTCCAGAGCTCTCTCCACTTCCTTCACTTCCTCCTGAGCGACCCCAGCCTCCAGGGACACTCCCCAAACTGTGCGTACTACTGACTGCCGCCCCACCTCCCATGCCTATGGCGTCATCTTCCAGGCTTTTCCAGCCATTGTTGGCCGAGCTTCCTTTTTGACTTCCAACATCCAAAGGGTTGTTACCAGGAGCTGATGATCCCCATTCTCCATTTGAAATCTTGTTGTTCGATGCGGAAGAGGATGACGAGGATGAAGAAGAGGACGATGCGCTGCTTCCCCAGGGACGAGGAATGCCTGCTGGAGAGCCCATTATAGATTGATTCCCATTACCTGTTCCTGCACAGCCTGGGATTTGATTGGAGCCAACACTCCAGGCCAAGTTACTCTGAGGCTGGTTACTGGCAAGCCCCTGGTCCCAGGGTGGGACCCCAGTGTTGTGGGTATTATTACACTTATAAGCAGCAGTAGAGGACATTTGGGGATTTCCAGCCTGCATTAAGGCAGGGTTTTGGGAGTTCACAGTGTCTGAATTTGGGGGGCCCTTGTCTCCAGGGTAGGTAGTGCCCCAAGGCGTACCGAAGGCCTCAGAACTCCCTAATTCTCCTTGGGGGTTCTGGGTGGCTGATGAGGGGTTTCCATTGGCCAGTGGACCCCCATTCCCCCCTCCAACGGAACCCCAGGAAGAGTCCCCGCTGAGTTGGGGTGAGGCGGTAGAGTTTGGTGGAGTAGAGGTCATTGTGGCATTAGTAGTAGTAGTAGAAGTAGTAGTAGTATTCATCTTAATAGTGTTATTTGGTCCATTGGTTTCAGTGTTAAGGTTGGAAAGCTGCGAGCCACCGTTTCCACTGCTGCTGCTTCCTAACACTTTGCTGCTTGCTGTACCATTAGTCACATCAGTGTCTTCCATCATACTGCTGTTGTCTGGAGCTGCCATGCCACCCCAGCCCAGCAAGGGGCACTGTTGGGGGGCTATACCCAGTTTGGAACTCATCCCCTGAGCCTGTGGAGGCCTTTGGCCCTGGGACACTGGGCTTGGGGTTGGATTCTGGGGCCAGGCACCGTGGTTGGCATTTGGGTTCAAAGTGTTTGGGTTTAACCCTCCATTAATGCAAGGGATGCTTCCACCCGTGGTTATGATGCTGCTGCCTGACTGGGTGCCCCATACACCAGTGTTATTCACCAGCTTGATGTTGTGGTTACCCAAGTTATTGCTGCCAATACTGCTGGAACCAACCATGGAGGGTTGGGAGGACCCAGACATGTTATTTCCAATATTTGTGTTGGTCAAGGTTCCCATTCCTCCACAAATAACCTGAAGACCGTTGCTGTTGCTCTCACCGTTAACAGAAACACTGACCATCATTGCAGAAGAAGGAGAGGACGCTGTAGAAGACACAGAAGAAGCATTTGCTGACATCATCATTACTGTTGTCCCTGCAACAGCCGAGAGGTTTTTCTCTGAGCCGATTGAGGAGCTAGAGTCGGCGTCCATGCATTCTGATGCCAGCTCAGGGTCTGAGCCTGACCCACAGCCAGAAGAGGAGGAAGAAGAGGAGCAAGAAAAGGAGGAGGATGATGGAGGCCAAACAGAAGAGTTGGTTGAAGAAATGTTGTTGGGCTTGTCAGAACTTCCTTCCACTAGGACTTTTCCCCAGTTGCTGTTATTGTCACTGCTGCAGGGAGAGCCAGAGGACCAAGGGGAAGGCTCATACTGTGAGTCCAAGCCAGGATGCTCTAAACCTGCATATAGAAAGGAGACACAAAAAAAGACACTGTTGACTGAAGGTTCAAAACTGCCCATCTTTAACTAATACAGAACATAACTGCTGCTGTTTGTGTTCTTTGAATACAATGCTGATATATTTGTGGTATATTAGGGAGCAGAACCACGGCTGTTCCTAATGATCAGCACCACCACTGGCTCCAAGAGGAGGAAATGGAACACAAAGTGGAGATGGCAATGGCTTGTGAAACAGATGTGGGACAAAAAGTAATAATTTCATTTTACAACAACACACTTGTGTTTGAAGTTTTCAGCAAATTAATTGAATGTCTTAAGGTAAAAATATACCGTGATTGTACTCTTGTTCCTAATTGTATCATAGTGTCAGATTACTTCAGCTCCATCAGGTTTCAATATTTAAATATTTATGTACAACTCAACACTAACAATTCATATTGGCGTGGCCACTGGTTGTTCACTATAACCAATCAATGAAGAACCTTAAAAGCCTCTCCTAGAAAACAAAAACCCTTTTGAACAATATTCTGTTCACTCACTACATTTTCTTTCACCTATTCTATGGACTTTGTTCATTTAGTGGCAGCCAGGCCTACCTGCCTTTTGTGCAACACTTAGACAGCCAAAGAAAAGAAATTAGTAGACAGAAAGAATATCAGAAAAAAGAAGACAGTGCTTTGTTTTGTCATCACCTGTTTGATTAGAGGAGTGGCTGACGGAATCCCGAATGGGAGCCATTCCTGGAAAGAGAGAAAAGGAGGGGAAGACTGTCAAACAGGTTCAGGAGAAGTTAGTAATAGAAATGGAAATCAAACCAGGTCGAAATGTAAGAGGTAGCTGGGACAGACAGGACATTCACTGGGTATTAAGCAGAAAGACAGAACTGTGTGCGTTGGAAACTTTCATGTTGGTTGGTAGAACTGTTCACCTGCGAGTGCAGCTTGCGGCTGCTGCTCCTGGTGGGACAGAAGGGAGTCCTGGGGTTGAGTGGAGAACAGGTGACCTCTGGATCCCAGGGCAAACGGGGGAGGTCAAGGGTCAAAGCTCAAAGGACACAGCCTCAAGGATCTGAGGTAAATGGGTGGGGCTTGTCAGAGCGAGAAACAGGATGGCCGGGCTGTCTTGGCATTGCTGAAGTGGGTACGTGTATGTGTATGTGAGTGTATGTGCAAGAAGGTGTGTGTGTGTGTGTGTGCGGGGAGGGGGGGAAAGGGGAGAAGTGTGGTTTTAGATGTAGGACTCTGCGTTCACTTGGTATGCTCTGGCTCTGCAGGAAATGACAGAAATGACAAAAAGGGAGAAAAACTAGTCAGTAAAGAATGTACCGCAAATTATTAACTCAAAAGGTGTTATCTGTTACACCTAACACCCACAGAAGGCCAAAGGGATTCACCAGATAACTCTCTCTGACTCCTGTCTTAAGGTTTACAGTTGAACTTCTCACACTATGGGGAAATTAGGGATAAAAATCAACCTTACTGCTAACTTTGGGGGGAAAAAAATAATTTCTTTCTAGTGCCCCACTAAGGATGATTGGACACCAGTAAAAACCACTGTTTCACAACTGTGTTTCATGCAGAGTTTAGTTCAAGGGAAGGTGGAAACCACAACTGTGTTTCATGCAGAGTTTAGTCCAAGAAAAGGTAGAAAGCATTTCTGACAGAGCCAACAGTGCAGGCTTCATCAACAGCAGTCTGGGAATTTATTTTGTTTAACCATCTATTTAAAGTAACTTTGTTAGAGTAAAAAAAACTGCAAATGTTTGTTTTATTGTTTTTTCTATTCAGTGCCACCGTCATCCAAACAAATACTGCAAATGAATCCATTTTATTAGATCACTTTTGTACATAAAGCCCAGAGGTAGTAGTGTCACCCTTAGACTTTACATCCAGAAAACATTCTTACAAAACAAGAAAGGCAGCAGGGACCAGACATTGAAAGTGGATACAGACATGAGCAGCAGTGTGGAGAGGTACATCCTTCAGAGAAAGTGGACCAGTGTATTTGACAGCAGGAAGAAAAGTGTGCACGCATGCGTGCCTCCTGACCTTTCATCTATGCAGGTTAGACAGAGTGCTAGCTCTCTCTCTGCCTGCTGCAGCAGTACACAGCCCTATTTATAAACCCACCAGTTCAAATAGCAACCACTCTGTTCACTAGCCAACACGATAAGAGACCCAACAAACCCATGTGTGCACAATGAGCAAGTGTGAAGGTGCAATCAAACAAGCATATGTTCAAACCCTGAGCCACCATGGGAAAGCACTTGCGATGTAGCGACGGCTTTAGAGTTGGGTGTTTATTTCAGTAGAATAAAATTAAAAAAAAATCCAGAGGAAAAGCATCTATTTGGAACTCAGCTACCATAGCTATACAGGCCTACATAGTGACAAGACTCACTTTATTGAGGCCAAACTCTACATTCATTAACTCACAGCTCACAGCCTCCACCTGGGCAAACTGCCAGCACCTAAACATAAAGCCTGTCAAAAGTTTCTTAGCTGCTCTCTGGAACAGATCAAAAAGAGACTGGACAATGATAACGCTTTAAAAAAAAAAACTTCAAACACAACCAGAGAAAAAGTTAAATAGTGTTTACTGTGGAATTACTGACATAGGAAAAGTGTTTCCAGCGAAGTAAATGTTTACTTATTTGAATACTGACTCATCCTTACATGGAAGGAGCCATTTTCCAGCAGAAAATGATTTGTTTCAGATGTGTCAACTTACACACAGATTCATTATTTATTCCAATGACCATCTACTACGTTGATTCTGGTAAATCAGTGCGCAGTTACACGATATTCACAACAGCTGGTTATGTGTACGCATGTTTTCTGCTGCTGCTGAACACAAAGTACAGTTTGTTCCTCTCTCTCTCTCTGCTTCCACCTGAGAATGGCTTTCATGAGGGCCCCTGGAGTTGGCAGCAGCTCAGCTATCATCTTACAGACAGACAGGGGTGGGGGTGGACAGGGACAAGACACTGATGCAGAGTGTGTGGCTGTGGGTGAGTTGCGACAGAGAGGCTGACAGAAACAAGTAAAAGAAATGTATCAACTTTTATCAAGGGAGGAAACAATATGTTAGAGAAGAAGTGAACAGAAGGAGAGAGAAGAAGGCTGAGGCAGAACAGGCCATCATTAAGGATGATGTGAGTGGAATGCAGCTGCAGCTTCTGACATGTATAACAGGCAAAAAGGTCACCTTCCTTCAGTACAAAGTGTGTTTCTCTTTTAACACAGAATAAAATAAAAAATGAATAAAAAAATGTAAAAACAGGTAATAATAAAAAAAGTAAAAAGATGCATTACAAATATCCAGATTACTAAACACTTAAAACTGAATGAAAAACTGAATAAATCAGTGAGTCTTAAGGTGAATCTGTGACTTGAATTATGACTTGAGTCCCTCAGGATTTTGTAAAATACTGGAGATAATATGTATAAAAGAAACAGAATAAATTTTAAATTGTTTCCTCACATTTCATTCTGATCCTTACAGGGGGTAAGGCCATTAAAAGTACATTAATGGCCCATTGACAAACACTACTTTGGTCTACCTCTATCCAAACTATGAAAATGTGAAAGGGAAACAAAGAGGTTTCTATTTTAAGAAATCAAAACCAACTGCATGCCAAAAAGTAATAACAATGTATTACACATATTCATGACTGTCTACACTACTGATGTAACCAGGAACGAGTTCCGAGCAACTGATATTTTTACCACGTTGCTATGCAACTACAAAAACCCATTAACCATGTCCACATGAAACCCAGAAGGCATTTAAAAACACATCAAATGTAAGTGTTTAAGAAAGGGGTTATGGTTAAAGTTTAATGCTTTGTGCTGTGAACAGTGAACATTAAAGTATCCTCGGGAGCTGGGTAATCGGCGAGCGCAACAGTTAAGGAGGACCCTGTTGTCGTGGCAACATTCCTAAACACTGGCAACTCTTCTGGGCTTGTCCAGCCAAGATGACATCAGTGCAGAAGGCACACACCAGAGTGAGTCTCTCAAGTACGCAAAGTAATCTGCTAATAAACAGAAACGCCGAGGGAATCTGCAGGAGTTAGAGGATCTCTCCTGGTATCACTTGAGACCGAGGAGATCAAGTGTAAGAAAATGGTACAATTTAGAGCAGAGACGGCACTCGGCATGTCTGTGTAACTTCACTGGAGATTAGGTGTGCAGCATATGTGCAGGAGCTGATATGGTTGCTGGTCACGTGGACCAGCACGGACATTAACTCAAGGAGGGGTTTGAAAGGGCACTGACACAAAAAAATAATAAACACAAACTAAGTTTTTAGCTATTACTCACTGGCTGATTTCTTCGGTATTTAGTTAAGTATTCAATAATATGGTAACCTATTTAACTCCTGTTTCCTCAATGGCTCTGATGGTCACAGTAAAAGAAATCACTTCCTTTTAAAATGTTAAATAATTAGTTTTTGGTACTTTATGAAGTAAAGCCAGATTAAATCTTTTTTTAATTTTCTTTTAAGCTTTGGGAACCAAATATTATTTAGAATAGTAATAACTACATGTTTTAATATTTATTAATAGTTCTTCAATGTTACATTGTAGTTTAACCAGAAAAATGTAGTGCCAAATGGATACATGACCTCACAATTTAAAAAAAAAAAAATCTGGAGCATTACTAAGTCCTCCACAAGGGAAAGAAGTGACAACAAGCTACTGCTGCGTGTCGACGTCAGCCACAGCAGCTTCTAATGAGCCCCAACACCTGTTCAGTCAGCCGAGCAGTTGCCAATACTGGTCTGAGCCAGTTTGAAGTCCACATGATGTTTCATCTGATTTTTTTTTTGTAGTCTCTTGTAACCTTGTTTCTACACTGGTGTTTCTACAGCCACATTTTTCTTTTCACATCTCTCCATTTACACAGTTGACATGGGTTGACAGGCATACGTAAATGCTTCAATAACTGTACGCTAACTTTTAAAAACATGTAAGGATAAAGAGTAGAATAGGATGTGTCATTTTCACAGAATTGGGAAAAGAACTTAACTGAAGGGAACTAACTATAAATGAGCCTTCTGCTGTAGTGACAGATTACACAATTCATGTTTCAACACTGACCATTTTATAGCAATGACGAAAACAATGACACTCCTATACTTTCCAAGGAGGATGATTACACTGTTTATTCATTAACTGAAGGAAGAGCCTTCGTCGACAGTATTTTTATAACACAGAAAGACATGACCATGAATAACCCGTTTGCTTATTTGAATTCTAAAGCTTTAAACGATAAGGTAGGTGTGGAACAGAGCGTGCATTTAAGACGGGGTGGAGGAGGGAACACAGAAAGAGCAACTGAAACTCCAAAGACACGCTCAAGGTCAGAGGGGTAGATGCTATCAGACTTCCTGCCTACGTGAACCTGGGCCGCCGTTACAGCTGTAACAGAAGAAGACTGAATGGAAACTACAACAACAATTCAAATGGAAAACATTACTATGTCACATGGCGAGAACACCTCCTCCGTCATTAGGGCAAAGCACATTAGAGTGACACATTAACAGGGAAAAGACCAGTCTGGACCATATGTGCGGGGAACATAAAATCTATACTTTAAATGCTTGTCCAGCTAGTGGTGGAGGTAAACAAGGATACGGATATACATTTATTGGTTGAGCAGTTTTGGTCAAACATGCTTTCGAGGAAACTTCTTAGCTCATGTGATGCGACTTAATTCCTCATGTGTTACTCGTGTCAAGAAATTGTCTTGATGTTACATTTTTACAAGATTTCAAGTGTCAAGAAATTGTCTTGATGTTACATGTCAAGAATTCAGCTGTGTATTTGGAAACGGCTATTGGTCCAGACCGAGGTTTGAAAAGCCACAACGTTCTTACCTTTCGTCCAGTCCTGTGTTTTCTCGTCCTCCTTCCTCTTCACGCTCTCCGTCTTTCTCTCTCTTCCATTCACTGTTCTTCCCTCCGTGGTTCTGATCCCTGCGGAGACCAGGGGGCAGGATTACAGCTCATCGCACTGGTATTGTAATGTGTGTTTATTGAACCAAGAAAGACTTGAAAGAAAAGCCAAACACTGAGTTAAAACAAAACAAAGCAAATTTGAGGAGGAAAGGTTAACACTGGGTCGACTAATGACAGAGCTGGTTTCCATCCAAACATGTTCACATGGCAATCAAAGTGAATCATTGGTTACAAGCAATTTCTTTCACATTATGTCAACATAAGGTTTTGTTTAGCTAACTGAGCAAACTTTTTGGACAAAGTCATTATGCCTAACAGAGAAAATAATTTTTAAGAACAAAAATTCCACTTTTGCTCTTTTGCTGTACCATGTGAATAGATTTAGAAAAAAAAAGAAGTTTAAACCATGTGAATAGATTTAGAAAAAAAAATAAATGAAGTTTGGACCATGTGAATAGATTTAGAAAAAAAAAAAGTAGTTTAGTTTACTGTAGTAACAACAAACACTAATAGACCAATAAAAAGTAATACAAAAACAACCCCAACAAATAGATAAGATTTTTTCTTCCTCCGATTTTATCTGAGAAGACATTATTGTTTGTGTTGGACTTGTACTAGATTGGACTCAGACTGTGGTATGTCTACACTGGTCTCTGTGGGTGTGCCACTTAGCCTGCAGGAGAAAGTCTAATCCGATAAATGGATTACAGCAGAGCATTTACCTTTGCTATAAACAGACGACGAGGGTGCAACAACTCGAGTCACTGTGACTGAAACACCAACGCTTCTATTTTAGTTCTACTTTATTGAATGAAGTGTCTAACAGTCAGCGTCTACTAAGTGATCTGGAGTTCTAAGGTCCGGTTGTGATGATCACTGTAAATATCAAATGAAATGACTCAATGCGTTCTTAACAGCTGATCATCAAAATCCACACTATAACTAAGCTGCAAGCATAAAGTATTGTAGCTCTTTCTCCAGAAGATGACTGCTCCAACATATATATATTTTTAACCAATAGAGATGTCATGGTTATGTGATTATCTGCTCTTTAGTGCCACTACTGATACCATAACTGCTTATTTAATATTTTCTGTTTGAGAAATATTGACCTTTGTCATGACCTGGTAAAGTTGACTTAAGAATAAGAAATAATGAAATGTAAAACTGACCTAGTGCAACATGAAATATATCCACACAATGCTACATTACTCGCATAATAAAAATCAATAAATGTATTACAGACTCCGTAAAGTAAAATAAAATTTAGCTATCCTTTTCTCTCGGTTCCCATGCTCCCCCATCTCCTCTTCCTCCACTTCTTCCCAACCAACCATCAAATGCTTCAGCAGATGGCCCCAAGTCCAACAACAACAACAGAGCATGGATGGGGCCCTCCTGGAGTGCACCCATACACACCACCAAGAGCATCTGTTTATGAATGGACACACAATTGCCCATCCCCCGACAGCCCCAGCTGACAGAGGGAGGATGAAGAGGAGGAGGATACTTTGCGAGAGGTTACTTAAAAAAACAAAACAAAAAAAACCCTGAAAAACTTTGGTTAATCAAACAACTTAAGGTAAAGGACCTGTTTATATATATAACAAGACAAATGAGAAGGGTAACAAAGATTCGGTTTACATCTACTGTTAGCTCCTACATGGTTTTTTTCATTGCTTTAATATACTGTATATATATATTTATAGAGATTTATGAGGCGGTGCATCATTTCACCAAAATCCTTCCGTCTACTACATACTTATAACCGGGGAGTCTTTCAATCTCAGACATGAGTCATCAAGTGAAGGCAACGAGAACTGGGCGCTTGTATCCTTCTGAAGTAGTTTTCACACAAACCACACCAGCAGAGCCAAAGATAAACTGATTAGAAACAGGGCTCCACAAACACAGGTTTTTCTCGGTCCCCAAAGAACAAAAGCCAGAGGACAGTCGCATGGCTAATTTGCATGTAAAATGCTGCGTCATTTGCATCAATTTGCATTAGCATGTTCCCACACTGGATGGCCGGTTCAGGAAAGGAATCACTCAATTAGTAAATGACAGCAGGCATCGCCTCATCACAAACAGCACTACAGAGAAGACATTGGCTGACGGTGCTGGATGTGACATTTCCAGTCTGGCAGCATGGCGCTCCTTGTTTCAATAGATGAGTTTAAATACGGACAGTTCATTTCAGGTCACAGGAACTCAATTTTTTTAAATAACTCAAATCAGCTAAGCATTGCTAAAAGCTTAAATAATAGTACAATGGGTGTGTTACATATGTGCAAAAAGTTAAGTATTATTATAATTAGACGTGTTAGCATTTTTATAACCTTATCTTACTTACTATAAATAGTGCCATATTTAAAAGAAACTCAAATACCAAGCCTAAGGACAAACATCTGTACAGACTTTTAGCTCAGGTAAAATGACTGTTTTTTTTTAATAATCTTTACACCTGCACAGCTCAGAGACATTAAACACTCTAGTTCTGTTTCTCTTAACAGTGAACAGACGACAAATCAACGGCAGAAGACAAGGAACTCATAAACACCGTGGCATTAAATTCCCAGTGTAAGTGAGAGACTGCCACAACAATGTTACAGTGCTTAAAGAAACATTTTCTTTAACAAAAATACAACTATGAAGAAAACAGACAAACAGCAGCCATGGAGGAAATAAGTCAAACACCCAAAGCTGAAAATGAAACTATGTAGCACACTTACTGTTCTGAGGAAATAGAAGTAGCCACGCTTTGTTATCTGTGTTGTGAGTAGGAATTCAGACGCATTAGTCAAAATCTGATGTGTGTGTGTGTGTAGGTTTGGCTAATCCTTACAAACATGTTGGTATTGGATTCTGATTTACTAGGGATTTTAAAGAAGAATTTGTATTGTGGTGATATAAAAAAATAGCTGGGAATATTTACCAGTATGCGTCTTATTTAAACATAGATACTTTTGAAGACCCATGAAAATGTTAAAGTTCAAAGCCTACATGACTCGCTAGTGAAATGGGAAACATTAACCTCTAAACCAAACCATGTAAAGTGCAATAAAATATTATATTTAACACACTAAAATAAAATAAAAAAATGTTACAGTTGTCACTTTATTAACATCATTCAAACACAAACCAATCTGAATTAATCTCACTTTGACCACATTTTACAGAAGGATTTATTACTAAACACAGGACACATTCAACGTGGTTCCCAGTGCAGGGTAATGGACTGGTCAGGGTCTGTGACTCTATTGTGTGTGTGGATGAAAACCAACTGCAGGGACACAATGAGCTGCACAAACACCTCTCTACACACAAAACATCGCGACTCTGGCCTCTGTTTAGCAAACGTAAAAACAGCCGAGCATCGTCAGCACAAAGTGGCCGAGACCAATCCAGACCCTTCAATCCAAACGGAACTACATGTGCTTGCATAGGCAGCAGCTGCCCATCCTTTGTTCCACTGACCCACACCGACACACACACAGGTCCTGGTCACAACTAAAACCGGTGTCCACCAACTGGTACCATCAAAATCAACCACTGATGGTTTGGAACAATAACTGTAACCTTGTTTGTGCTTGCACAGTGGTGTGTAGGTGTGTGTGTAGGCTGGATGTAGATAGGTGTGTTAGCTAGGTAAATAGTGTGAAATAACATCAACTCAACACCGTAACCCAATGCATGATCGTTATTTTTTATAGGAGAAACAACCACCTTGAATCTGCAGTGGAAATTAAACATCACTGTTTCACACTTCGCTTGTTGCAACACCTTCATAGTTAACAATGAGGGGACGGCAGTGCACCTCACTAGACCACTGTGATAGGTATCTAAGTGCACCTCACTAGACCACTGTGATAGGGACCCCGATAATGTATCTAAAAGTCTGGCTCTTTTGATGACCACCCTGAGCACTTTACCCTAAAGGTTTAACCATTAACCCACTAATGTTGCAGCTAACATGTAGACTAGCATTGGAAGGAAACACCCACCCTACAGTTAAAATGGGAAATGGCCTTTTATAATGGACGACAGCTGCCTTTAAAGGTTTGACATTCAGATTGTTTTATTGTTAAAGATCCACTGCACAGGTTTGAGGTGCAAATATTTGTGTACTTTCTTTTAAAAATAAAATTTGTCATGTTGTATTGCACAGGTTTGAGGTGCAAATATTTGTATACTTTCTTTTAAAAATAAAATGTGTCATGTTGTAAATAATAGGAGACCACTGCAGAAAAAGTGAATAATTTGGTGTTTAATGGTAACTAAAGTCTGCACATGTTGTTTTTGCAATTCTCACCTGTTAAGATGCTTCAGTTTCTTTGGTGGCAACAGCTTCCAATTCCAAATCTCTGTAAAGCAAGAGAGATAAGATGAGTAATCTCTCGATAGCAAAGACCACATTAACCAAAACACACCACTATAACAATAAACAGTGAGGCTGCGTGTGGGTGTGATAAAGTTTTAGTGTTTTATTGTGATTCAGCAATGCACCAGCAAACAAAAAAAAACAAAAAAAAAAAAAACACCACACAGTCTGTCCCACAAAAACAAAAATGATAAACATAATGGACAACGTATAGATGCATGCATGCATATCACCTGTGCAATAAATATTCTGACAATCTTACACAGCGAAAACTTCAAAACCACTAATTGTTGATTGGGAAGGAATCAAAATAAGGTGATGTTGAAATGCAGGTTCAACTGCATAACACAGCACAACATGGCTGGGGCCCCTTGAGGTTCAGGTCTTATAAACAGACTTAGGAATGTGTGTCTGACTGATAAAGGCAGAGTGTGTTAGAGAGTGAGTGTAGGTCAGAGTTACAGATCTGCTCCTGATCGGCCATTATCTCAGCTGTAGCCTGACTTACGGCTTCAGCAACATGGCTTCTCCTCACTCTGGTATTTTTCCAGCAAAGCCCAACACAAACAGTGGCTGTGTTGGTACATCTCGTTACAAACAACGTAACCAAATCATATCACAGTGGAGCTCTGTTATCAGAGGACATTTAAAAAAGTTATGTAAATACGGATGTAAAAGAAGCAGAGCGGAGGTTCCCATGTAGCGCTGCTCCGTCTCTTTACCGACAGAGGGTGTTAAACGCCCTCGTCATAAAAAAAACAAATCTGCAGCTTAAAACGTACCTCCAAAATTTTACATATACAGAAAATCACGTCCATGTTTTGAGCGTGAAATTTGTTAACTGTACCATCGTGGTCATTGTGCAAATATCATAAAAGCAAGGTAATCAATAAAACCCGGGAGCGAACAACCTGCGTCGTCAAATTAGCATGGCTGCTGCAGCTAGCGTTACGTAGCTGCTACTTAGCTTCCCCGGTCTCAGTGAAAATCAAGCGCAGTGTCAAAAAAAAAATACAGTTGTGTATTTAATTTACAAACAAAGGGAGTCACCAACTGAGCCGGCCAAACTGCATTATCATAACAGATGAAAAACATAATTTTAATGAATAACACCGCCGGATAGACAAGGTTAACCTACACTAATAGTAGATAGCATTAGCACAAGGTTAAGCTGCCCACAAATACAAGTCTGTGCCTGTCACCATCGTCTATGCGTGCATTTTACAAATGCACGCTAGAAAAAATATTATCCCTTTTCAGTCGCTGACTTTATATTCTGAGAATGTCGAATACAGTGCGACAGAACCAAGTTGTGCTTAGCTGACTAGCATATAGCTCAGTCACGGCTAACTAAACAACAGCGGCGACTCGACTCAACTACACCAGTCCCGGTGTCTGTGCCCCGGGCTGTCTGTACTACAAAAGCAGCCGACTCTGTCGCTAGAAAGCACCGAAAAAGAATGCAGTCTCACCTCATTGAAGTGTAAAGTGCAACAGAGTGGAAGGGAAAACCGATTCTAAGGCTTAAAATGAAATTCAGCGCGTTTGCAGCATCTACGAGGGGAGGAATTCGTCCTGCATGATCGCCATTTTCTTCACTCGCTCACTGGCTAAACAGCTTCACTTGGTAGAGATTGGCTTTCCCCTCCTCTCGCTCTCTCTCTCTCCCTCTCTCTCTTTCGATGCGTTTATTTCAGCGTGCGTGCGCGTGTGCGTCGTGAGCCAAGCAGGAAACACATTCACCACTTCCTCTGAATGACAAACCCAAACAGCCTAATATAACTGTACAATGACTGAATGCAAGACTTTGACTCCAGCAGCCGTGTCTTTAGAAAGAAAAAAGTAACTTTATCTTCTGACTCTCCGAATAAGTCATCCATTAGGCAGTAGTAATAAATAACACATACATTTAGAAGACTACAGTAAATATATGCTGTAGAATGTATACATAAAACTGGGAGAAGATTTTACTAAAATCATCTGACTACATGAAAGAATGTTTACTTTGTAATATTAAAAGAAATAATATATTTTAAATTCTTATGTGTGAAAAAAAAATCTGATTTGTATACTCCTTAATGACATTTAATTGAATATATGTTTTGCAGACAAAAGCAGGTATTTTGATGAAAATCCATTTGACATTTTGCAAGCACAGAAAAGACTAGTCTGTTTGCCGATTCCTGCATGTAATAGACCAAAAAGCTATTGCTTAAATGGAGAATTATCTGCTGAGGGTCAGAGTAAATGTCAGTAATTCACATGCACACAGCTTTGACTCTAATCCCATAGGAAATTTGTGGAGTGACACAAAGACAGAGGTCCATGACAGAGGACCTTCAAACCGAGACAAACATGAGAAAACGTCAGGACACCGGAGACTTGTTCAAACCACTCCTAACAACTGCAGACGGTTCTGCTTCCTTCCTGGGCAGGCCTGTCTCGAGCCCTCATGCATGACTTTGTCTGAGAAAATGAAACTATAAAAAGTTTTTCTGAGAGTGGATTTTAAAAACAAAGGAAGTGATTTTTATTACAGCACAGAAAGAAGCAGAGTGTGGATCTGCCAAGGCTTCACCAACAAGACAGAAGCTCTCGCTGCTTACTGAAGAGAAAGACATAACGTGTGTACACTTTGTTGACCATTGATCCAACACTGGCAAAAACAACCTCCAACCTTGGCTTGTGCACAAATCCTGGTTCTTATCAGCATGTTTGACTGTGGGGGAAAGAGAGACGGGAAGGGTTCATCTCATGCCAAGCAATGATTTTATTTGACCAGGTATCAGTGACAGGAAGATTAGGTTGTACAGTACAGTGTATAAGCAGGTGGGTGCGCTCTAAGCTAAGAGGGGACAGTTGCTAGATACCACCCAACGATTCTTAATAGATTCTCTCTGCTGCCGCTTCTGGCCCGTGGGATTTTAGATTAAGAACACTCCCATAATCCCAGTGGGATATTAAATATTTCAGATGTAATTGGTCTCCAAATAGGATAATATCCCATTGACTGCACTCTCTGCTGTTTCCCTGCCTTTTTGTACTTGTTTGAAGTTTCAGTTTCACAGCTGTTAAGATATAATTACAAAGCTGGACAACGGGGGGATGTCACAAGGGTACAGACGACAGTGCTTCTCTGGGAAAAAAAGAAAACAAAATGAATCTGTAGAAGCCATTTCAGCATTTTAAATCAAACATCAAGAAAGTATGACATTTTGAAACCATTACACATGTTTTATTTTGGTTCATAAAACACTACTTACCTTTCAACAGACACTTGTGATTGTTATCATGCTGTTGTGGTTCAACTGCATGCGCTGTAGTAAGAAGGCGCAGGTAACTAAAGGATGTGCTGACATGATAGCATTTGGTATTGGGGCAATTTGACACGAGTGTGCAAACAAACACCACAACCCGCAGCAGTGAGTGAAGCAGTTTTTTAAATAGAAGTGACCCACATTAGTGCAACTCCACAACAACTCAAAACATGTAATATTTCAAACAGCCTCAATGTTTTATGTTATTATAAATGAAATGTTATTGTGTCAGAGAAGAAAAAAAAGGGAAGGTTATATTTTTCTCCACTCCCAAAGGAGTTTATTTGCTAGCACACTGAAATTTCTGCTTGTTAGCCGAGAAGCTAAGAAGCAGGAAGAAGACTCACGTTATACAATATTTATCAGAACATACTTAGTCAAGCTGACATGGGACAGAGAAGCTCGGATGACATAAAAGAGAAAAAGAAAATCACAGATTGACAGACGACGAATTGTGTGTGTGTGTGTGTGTGTGTGTGTGTGGAAATTGGTAATGATTTGTGACAAGGCAGTCACCTTGACAAACATGGCAGTGCATACAGAGGAGGCCAAGGTTTAATTACACACAACCACACATGCACACACGCAAACACACACTATCAACTGTCTATCTACTATCACGGCGCTTCCTTTGACAAAGTTATGCAAGTGCATGTGAACACACCCCTGCGACTGCCCGGGACGTGTTCTTTCACGCACACACTTCGGTGCTCGAGCTCTCTCGCAACTCTTTGCTGGAATGTTATATAGGTTTTTGTGGGTCCATTGTTTTTTTGGTTTGCTTTGCAGGGCTTTCACTTCACTGCACGTGTGCACACGCAAAGATAAACTGCAGCTGCGGGAGTTGTGGCGTGCCTAGTAAGAAATGGTAGTGCTATTGTTGTGGGGAGAAAAGGGCATTAAAATTGGTTTTGAAATGTGAGTGTGTGAAAGCAAAAAAGGGAAAGTGAGCAGACAGGAGCAGGAAACAGTGGGAACAAAGTTAGGGAGGAGAGAGATTATGTGCAGGGGTGAGAGTGTGAGACACACACTGACAGACAGAAGAAGGTCAGTAAAAGGGATTTGCATGTCAAGTAGGAATGGGCTTATGCTGGGTGTAGAGACAGGAACGCCACTGAACTGCAGCGTTCGCAGCGCCGTGATATATGTGTGTGTATGTGCACATGTAACGCAGTTCTTTGAAGTAGTCTCTCTACTGCTTTCTCTCTCTCTGTTTATGCCGTCTCTTTAAGAAGTTCTTCACCTGGAAAACAACAAACGTGCTGCATTTGAGCATGTGCATGTGTGTGACCTTGATGCCTCTTGGCTTTTTTTTTTTTTTGCAATTTCTTTGCATCTTATTTAAATTATGCATCATTTATTCAACACCCCCCCCCACCCATCTAGTCCACATTTTCCATTGCAACACCTTCATTTTTCACACTGTCCATCTCCAACCTCCTCATCTCCTCCCTGCCTCCACTCTAAACACACACACACAGTCCCTTGCTGATTTGTAATTATATATATATATGCAGTACATACATACACACACACACACATTCTAAATGACCTTCACCCTAACTTTGTCCTATATCACTGCATACAGCAAATACCTGAAAGGCTCATACACTATTTGCAGGAGAGCGTTCCATTTCTGGCCCCAACATCCATCACTAAGTCCTGCATATGCAGATAGTTCTGATCGGTTCCTTGGATAACAGTGTGACGTGTTTAAATGTACCTTTTTTGATTCAAATTCAGCCTTATTTAAATTCATATCCTCTGATCTGGCCTTGCGTTTCCATTACTGCAGGAACCCATGCAGATCAGTCGTCACAGGGAACCCTGATTGGCTGATCCCTCCGCTACCCATCTCTGATGTATTACATTTTTATGTATTCTGAGTAACAGGGCAGAGAACGTTAACACCTTGGAGACGAACAAAGTCACGGGGCCGGAGCACAAGAATTCCAGAGACATGAGAGAACAAACCTCCAGTCACATGTTAAAGGTCTGCACGTCACAACGTGGAAATGTCAGTCCACAGCAGTGGTGAAGACAGCCCTGGCACGTCTGCGTTGGTCATTCAGTGGAGTGCATGCTTTCACTGGAGGTAGATGAAGGGAAGAGGGAGGAGGGAAAGATGAATTTAAGAAGAGAACGTCCTCTTGGCTCATTTGCAGACATTCGAACGCCAATCACTTCGGTACAAACCCCGTGGAGCCAATAGATCCATCGCATCTGTGTCTCAAACATGCTGAATGAACGCTTATTTTCAATCAGGGAATGCACGCTAGTGCCGCCTACGTGCTAGGTGAGTGAGCCAATTATCTGTCAGCCTCCTCTAGAATAAGAGGGATTTTTTTTTTTACAAACAAAGTGATTGTTGGCAAATCTGTCCTATCATATCGATGGAGACCAAATGTTTCAATACAGAGGAAAACGATCTAATAAGATTAATAAATCATCTGCAGTAACAAAAAAAAAAATCGACGACAGTCAATACAGAGGAAAACGATCTAATAAGGTGAATAAATCATCTGCAGTAACAAAAAACATCGACGACATTTTTACTGAGGCAGTGTTTTATCGCTTTCACTTGTTACCACCTGCATGAAAGGAATGACGCATGACGAGTGTAGACAAACGCACTGACAGACAATCACTGTGGTCTAGACAGAGCTGCCTCACTGACTGGAGGTTCAGGATCTCTATAAGAGAGCTTCAAGTGTGACCTCACCATCTGGGTTTTCTCAATATATTTCATTAAAGCTCTGCAACATGTTTGGACTTTTCTTCTAAAGACATCTGACGTGAGAAATGCCCCGTGACTTTCAGAATAAAAAAAAAAAAAAAAAGAATATTGTTATTGGCTGAATACTTGATTAGAGCAGTTAGAAGTAAAAACCAAGCTGGTGTCCACACTGACCCACTGAAAGGATGTGGTATTCACCTGGGTCACCCTGAGCAAGAAGTGTGACGTCTCCCAGAAACTAAACCAATCCACTTGACTGGTTCTGGATTTTATTTTCTTACTTTTACAACAGCACACTGGCTGATGACCACATTGAGCCATTGTCATGGAGCCACTGCTGGCCATTCCTGGCCCTTTGTTTACGGCAGACAGATGAGGGGGGACCCCTTGTAGAGTGTGTGTTTGTGGCACTAGTTCAAAGTGTGAATGACAAAAGAAAAAGAAGTGGGGAGGGGACGGGGGACGGGGAGGGTTCACCAACAGGGATAAAAGTGGGATAGAGGAGAGAATCGAGCGGCTACTCAGAGATCATGTCACGTCATGCTGTCATAAAATTTTACCACATTTCCAATCTCATTCACACATTTTACACAGATACATCACTTATAAATCTAACACTGAGTCCAACCGTTCCAGCGTGA